GGGGCCCGGCGCAGTGGCACAGTGGTTAAGGTCCTTGCCTTGCACGCCCGGGATCCCATATGGGCGTCGGTTCTATCCCAGCAGCCCCACTTCCCTTCCAGCTCCCTGCCTGTGGCCCGAGAGAGCAGTCGAGGACGGCCCAAGACTTTGGGACCCTGCACCCACCCGTGTGGGAGACCCAGAAGAGGCTCCTGGCTTCGGATTGGCATAGTATCAGCCCATTGCGCTCACTTGGGGAGTGAATCATCGGATGGAAGATCTTCCTCTCTGTCTCTCCTCTCTGTATATCCGCCTTTCCAATGAAAAAAAAATAATAAAAATAAATCTTTAAAAAAAAAAGATATAATGCCTGGCCAACAGCAAAGTAGCCAAGGCTTAGAACAGGCATTGATGTCCATCATGAGCAAAGGAGAAAAAATGCTGGGTCTAGAAGTGGCACCAAAACTGCAAGACAGTCTGGGGACACAGTCCTGCTGTCACACGAAAGGGGAATGCATTTCAGGAGACTGCAGTTTCTGCCACACTGTGGCTATCTGGAACCTTCTCTGTAGCTTAGATCACGGCTTTCCCCTCAAACATCTATACGTAGGTTTACACTCATCCACATACTAATCTATACTGAATTTGAGTAAGCTTCTTTTAAAATATCTTACTATTTATTTTGAATTGATAAAAATAAATGTTTATGGTATACAACCTGATGTCTTCAAATACAAATACGCAATCATTGTGGATTGGCTGAATCAAGTGAATGAATATTATTACTTCACATAGTTTAAATTTGCTTTGTGGTAAAAACATTAAAAATCTATTACCTTAGCCATTCAAGTTTCTTTCTGTTTTTGTTTTGGTTTTATGAAGACATCATAAATTTATGGAAGCCACCAAGGTCCTTAAAATACCTCTCACCAAATTCCTCATTCTGTTCTTCAGAAAATAGTGACTCAGAAATAAATGCATTTCTGATGGAAGAGTTGGGCTGACCCAGGTCAGAGCAATTTCTGTGATGCTACACAAAGTCTTAGCAACCACAATTAAAACCAAACAGATAGTATGCCTGTCATCATCACAACATGTTTCCAAATTTTAAAAAGAATTATTTTTAGAAATAAGCATACCATCAACTAAACAAAAATCATTCTTATTGACAGCCATTATACAACTTCCCACTATCCCCAACCACCCTAATGTCTAGTTCACATAGGACAGACATCATATCATTTCCGGTTTTCTCTGTCTGGCTTATTTCACTAACATCAGGAACTCCAGTTCCATTGATTCTACTACAAATGTCAGAAAACCATTCTCTACAAACACTATCAAATAGAATTATTAAGTCCTAATGTTCCATAATACATTGGAATGAACGCAGTTCACCACAATGCATTACATACTCTATAAGACCTAAAAGAGAGGAACTGGCAGATTGCAAACATTAAAAATAAGGAAATTAAAATCTATTGATGCTGTATACACATAGTGAAACAGCACATTTTATGCCATGAAGATACACTAATATTACATGTTAATCAACAAAAATTTAATGATAATTTTTCAAATTAATCCTATTATACATGATGGCATGATATAAAAAATATTATATTAACTTTACATGATATACATAAAATAAGTCAATACAAATGAGTGATTTGGGTTGATGTGAATTTACAGCACTAGAAGTCACTATGAATCCTAAAATTTGCACCACATTCAAGATCTACAGAAGGCTGTACAAGGCTCTTCCCTGCTTTTTGCTGTGAATGCAGTGCCCTCTGCAGTTTAGTGTAAATTATGCAGTCCAGGGGAAAACTCAGGAACCAAAGCATCAACATTGAAGTGTGTGCCATTGACTTGCCTCACAAACCCATTTTCCCTCCAAACTAAATTAAAATACTTACATATGAATACCATAATAAACAATATACACTACAGCAAGTAGAGCAGGTGCCTATTTATGTCCACACATCTGCAATCTAGAGAAACACACCTTTACATGTGCCTTTCTGTATATTAATCAGATAAAATTTTTTAAAATGCTACAGTTGCCTACAGAGAGGCAAATGACACCTTAAAGATGAAATATACAAAGAAGAACTCCCACTATAAATCTTCTTGCTCAATTTTAATGTCGTTTTTGTTTAATAGCAAAAAATATTTTATTAAGTCTTTATTGCATGTCCTTTAGTAGCAATATTTAGATCAGCAATTTACAAATGTACAAAGAAAATTTTTCATTATGAATCTTCTTGGTCTATTTGAATGTGTTTTTTAACAAGACTTTTTTATTGAGTCTTTAGTACATGTCCTTTACTGTAAACATTTTAATCAGCAGAGAAATTTATCATTAGGAACTACTAATCTTAGCTTCCTATTTTGAAAAAAAAAGGAGAAATTAATGTTCAGAGGGATTAACTGCTCAAGTTTCTCCTGTCAATAACCTGTGAGTATAATGAATATCACATGACTAAAAATGGTAAGTCAGACAGTAAATAAATATAACTAATTCTTATAACTACTATGTCTCTATTGCCTAACGGCAAGTGTGGTGGTTGTGGATCTTTACAAGCTTTACAAAGCAACTAACTCTGAAGAAAGAGAAGTCAACCATATTTCAGAGAGTGGGGAGATACGGGGGAGGGTGTTGTGTAATGCAGATGAATAGAAAATTGAAGCCAAAGCACTGAAGTAGATTCACTCTGGGACACTGGTGGGGTGTGGGTTGATTGGCCCGGCTCCTGTGGCCAGCCTACTTGGTGGGTATCTGGTTTGTGAGTTCCAGCTGGCAAGTGCCAGGAATGGTGTGAATCATGATGTAAGACTGGACCACAGTATTCCCTGACAGGTGCAGGATCAGGACTGGAAGCATGCCTGGCACTGGAATGGTGGGCACTCCCCTGCTGGGCTGTACCTCCCAGTGGTGAACACAAGAACCAGGGCTGGGGGAATGTTAAACTGTACAAGATGGCAGCACCTGTTAGCACACATGAAGGCCAGGTCTGGGGGAAGGCTGGGCTAAGCTAAGCTACAGCATTCATTGGTGTGCCCAAGAACTGGAAGAGATACAAGTTGGGTCTGGCTAAGTTGTAACAAAGGCTGGCATGTGCAAAAACTGGAGCTGGATGTGGGCCTGGTGGAAGTTTTTGAGGGCCATCCCAACAGGCCACAAAACTAGCTGAAATGCAAGAAGACCAGGCCTGTGGTTGGGCTGGGCCACAACACCTGTTAGTTCTGGTTTGCATTCTGGATACTCCATTGTTGTGGGCTAAGGAGTTGACTTGCATTTGTTAAGCTTGACTCCTGCCGGAAATGGGCTTGGAGGCTAGTGGACCCTTGTCTGTCAGACTCATTAGCATCGATTGTTCTGCTAGAGGCTGGGGGGAAAAGTATATATGGCTGAATAAAGGGAGGCCAGGGAGAGACCTCTTCCACCACTACTGATCTCCTGTCGGTGTCTGATTCCCTGACCCTCGCCGTGTCCATGCTACCGGCTCTGCTGGCCGGGACACTCCACTTTCCATCCAGCTCCTTGCATGTGGCCTGGGAAAGCAGTGAAGAATGGCCCAAGTCATTGGGATCCTGCACTCACGTGGGAGACCCAGAAGAAGCCCCTGACTCTGGCTTTGGATCAATTCAGCTCCAGCTGTTGCGATCATTAGGGGAGTGAAGCAGAGGATGCAAGATCTTTCTCTGTGTCTCCTCTCTGTAACTATCTTTTCAATAAAAATAAGTAAAAGGAAAGGAAGGGCAAGAGAAACAGAGAGGAAGGAAAGAAGGAAGGAAGGAAGGAAGGAAGGAAGGAAGGAAGGAAGGAAGGAAGGAAGGAAGGAAGGAAGGAAGGAAGGAAGGAAGGAAGGAAGGAAGGAAGGAAGGAAGGAAAAAAAAGAGAGAGAGATAGCTGGGCCCGGCACGGAGGCCTAGCAGCCTTGAATGTGCCAAGAGCCCATATGGGCACCAGTTCTAGTCCCAGCAGCACCACTTCCCATCCAACTCCATGCTTGTGGCCTAGGAAAGCAGTAGAAGACAGCCCAAAGCCTTGGGACCCTGCCTGCGTGGAAGACCTGGGAGAGGCTCCTGGCTCCTGGCTCCTGGCTTTGGATCAGCTCAGCTTCTGCCACAAGAATGCTTCATTAAAAAACCAGCCCTTCCCCATTTCTACCTTACGTATCACTCTGATTCCACTTCATTTTTCCTGGTAACACTGGGCAGCACCAAGTGTTGAACCAGCACTTGAGATTGCAGCATTACTTTCCAAAACAGCTTCATTAAAGCATCCTTCATTCAGTCAAAAAGGAGGAGAGGCACTGAGATCATCACTCCTAAAGAAAATATTATCTCTTTGCTATGAAACATATTTAAGACAAAGGAAAAATCAAACACTGAGAATTATTTAGCATCAGATTCCAGTTTGAGCTAATAAAACTTTCAGTACAACACTAAATGATTTTTTTCTAGTCATCTTCCCATGAAGCTCTTAAGCACTAACAGGTAACAGAAACAGGAGTTAAATTTAAAAAAAAAAAATCTACACTTAAAACTTCTCATGAACACAACAAGCTTCCTAGGTTTACGAATTGGGCAGGGAGTTTTAAGGCTTTTTTTCCCCTCATTTAATAGAGTGATTTTTTTCAAAGACCGTAGTTTTCTTCGGAAATAATAAGTATCTGGCTTCTTTCTTGTGCATGACTGCAAACTGTTTCAGAAAGGTGCCTTGGCCGCTAACAGTTTTTTTCCCTCTTACCAGTCAGCTCCCTCCGACCCCTCCTCCAATTCTCCTCACAGCCTCTCGGTCCCCCTCCGCCTTCTAGCGGTGGGCGCGCCCGCCGCCTTGCCTCCCCCCCGCGCCGCGCCGCAGATGGCGTGGCCCATGACGTCACCGGGCCGCGGCTCAATCAGACGCGGCGTTTGGGAAATTTTAAATTTACGGGCGGGCCGGTGCGGGGCGTCGGGGACAGGGTGGTGCGGAGGGTCTTGACGGCCGGCGGAGGACGGCGCGGTGCGGGATGGCGGAGGAAGCGGCTGTGGCCGTGTGCGTGCGGGTGCGGCCGCTCAACAGCAGGTAGGCTGCCGGGCGCGGGCGGCCGCGGCGGGCGTTGCCCACGGCCCGAGCAGGCCGGCTCCGCGGCCGCACCTGCCTTCCGGGGCTCCCGGAGTGTCAGGGGACCTGGAGGGCCCGAGGTCTCAGGAAACCGATCCTCCCTCGCCTTTCGTCCCCCGGCAGGGTTGGCGGGCGCCCAAGGCCGCACCCCACGCCCCCCACAAATCCTGGGGGGGAAAGGCCATCCTGACGCCGTGTCCTAGTGCTTGCACACCCAGCCGGCCGCCTCGCCTGTCGCTCACCGGGCACTGGAGGCCTCATTCACATGTGTCGGTATTGACTTTTCCTGTTAAGTGCATTGTAATCTGCCTGACAGTCCGTGCGGTCGTCATTCTGTTGATCTCTCGTTGCTGTGGAGCAAAACAAACTGAATGTTGCACGGTGGCAGAAAAGCGGGAAGACCGGTACAGGAAGCCTTAAGCGCAGCTCTCAGCCCAGAATGCTGAGGCTTGTTGTGTTTGGGAATTTTTTTTTTTTCTTGAGCATTTAATACGTGAGAATGTGGAGGGGGGGGTGGAGATTTCCTGCTTTCAAGGAGCTCCCGTGGGAGAAAAGTCAGCCTGCTGCCGTACTGGGCGACCTCCCCGAGTCCCCAGCCCGTGGCAGGGATGAAGGTTTGAGTGCAGGAGGCTGGGGTTGGGAGAGTGCTGACAGCTTTGCTGAATGGAAGAACAGGTCCCCTAGGTGAATGGGAAGAAAACTCATGGTATTCCAGGCCCAGGATTGAGCCCTGTCATGTTAGGGAGACCTCCAGGCTCGTTGGTTTGTGCAAAGGAGGCAGTATACAGGAATATAGAGGAAGACGATTTGAAGAAGGAATCAATATGATCCCAGGTACCTTTTGCCAAGGGTTTTGAGCAATGGCGGAATTGGATTTTGAGTCTGTCCCTGCAGCTGCCAGGACTGGAGGACAGGGTGTGAGCAAAGTGGGCACGGCAGCCCAGTGTAGGAGTCAAGCCTTCCAGGACGGTTTTCCTTTTTGTCTTTCTCTCACATGTAGTGTTATTGCCATCTTTTAAAATAGTCTCCAGAAAATGAGGTGTCTCAAGATAGCCTTCCTATAATACGACTGTTGTCACCAGTTATGCTGAAATGCTGTGTTTTTAATCTTTCAGAGAAGAAGAACTTGATGAAGCTACTCAAGTTTATTGGAAAACTGACAATAATGCAATTTATCAAGTGGATGGGAGTAAATCTTTCAATTTTGGTAAGTATATAGTAGCTTTAAAAGTCAGTTATCTTTGTACTAGTCAGAGTGCCAAAGGATTTATTAAAAATATTAAATGTATTGTTTCTCTTCACTGAAAACAAATTATTCATTCTGTATAACGGCTAAAATGGTAAAGTGATGTTTGAAACCATAGTGCCTTATTGACTGAAAGTAACATTTTCTCTTATTCATTAGTGGTCTGAAACACCATAAGCCCAAGGTCCGTTATTCACTGTCAGGTCCCTGTAAGCTTTTCCAACCTCACATTTGCTGTTGTTGAGATTCACCAGGTGTTCACTTACTGTATGGTAGAAGGAAGCGCAGACAACTAATCACAAAATCACCCTGTGAGGGATATGATGTGGACTGAATGGGCAGGCCTGAAGGATGAGTGGGAGCTAGACAGGCCTAATGTGGAGGCATCAAAGTCACAGGTTGCTGTCTTTATTGACAGTATGTACATAGTGTTAAGCAAGTGACAGGGATTTGCTGAGTTTTATACATGTTAATTGATTTGATCCTCCTAACGAATCAGTGTAGCAGGTACTGTTGCTTCCCCGGTTTGGACAACTGACATAGAGGGGCACAGCAAAGGGAGGCTCTAGTTACTCTGTGTGTTGTAGCTGCCTCACTGTGTCCCTGCAAAGACAGCACAGAGCAACAGTGAAGTCCAGTAGACAGCCTCAGGATTGAGTAATTAGAGTGTTTAACCCAAAGTCAGATACAGCATTTCATAGCAAAGATAAACAGAAAAGATAAAGTGATTTCTGATAAAAGTCTTTGGTGCTATGCATGTGATTTCTTTTTCAGAGGTAAAACAATATGTGCCAAAGATTATGAGACCAAGAATCAGAGCTACCTAAGCATTCAGTCTCAGATACTACAAGTTTTGGTAGCTGTGTCTGTGCCCGCTGAGCTATGTGCTCCTCCACTCTCCCGACGTAGATGGTGGATAATCTTGCCCACTCTCCTGTCCTAAAGTCATGATGGCCGAGCAGGCCTCAGGTGGCCCTTCACTTCCCATTCTGCCAGCAGAGCAGTTGTGGCAGTGATTAAATCAATACATTTCCCTGCTGATTTATAGATCCATTTCTGTCAACATTTTATTGTGAAAAAATGATTTATTTTTAGTACACTATCAAACAAAAGAATCAGACTAGACTAGTGAATTCATTAGTACAAATGCTATTTTATAACCCAGTCTTTAGCTGTGAGATAGGTGTTCATTCTCTCTAACTCTGGTACTTTTTCCCTCAACTGTCTGAATTCCTTGTTTTGGTTTGAGCTAAACATTCTAGCTAGATATGGTAAAATTAAAAATTCTTCAAATAGTAATAGTCTAATATTAACTAGATCTCCACAGTAAGTCTGTAAAAAAATAATATGCACATTTGCAGATTAGAGGCAGAGGTACAGAAGCAGTAGCCACCGTGCTGAAGACCACACAGCTTGTTAGTGGCAGGATCAGTATTTGCATATAGACCATCAGATTCCAAATCCCCTTATGCAACCACTGTGTCATGGGACAGTTGACTTTCTTAGATCTTTGTATCAACACATTTTACATTAGTGAGGCATACTGCCAGAAAACCAAAAAATACTGAGCCTTAAATATTTTATGCTAAATTCTGACAGTTTTGTTTTGGACTGTAATTAATAATTCAGAATGCAACTTGCTTGACGTATTTAATTTCCTTGTATTTTTTGTTTGTTTTTAGATCGTGTCTTTCACAGTAATGAAACCACTAAACATGTGTATGAGGAAATAGCAGTACCAATCATCGACTCTGCCATACAAGGCTACAATGGTGTGTATTTACTCCATGCTGCAGGCATTTTAGTCTTGGGTATTTGTTTGATACATTGATGGTTTTACCCAGTGTGGACTCATTTTAATCTCTCATGGGTGTACTTTGTTTTTACAGGTACTATATTTGCCTATGGGCAGACCGCCTCAGGAAAAACACACACTATGATGGGGTCGGAAGATTGTTTAGGAGTTATACCCAGAGCAATCCATGACATCTTCGAAAAAATTAAGAAGGTAAGTAAGCTAGCTTAGTTGCTCTTATATGCAGCAAAAGGCACTGATTAGATTTAATAACAATTATGTGTTATTCTCCTGTGATGATGATTTGAGGTATGTCTTGATTTTTTTGGAGAAAGAAGAAAGGCATGTTATATTCACTGTATAGACGTTAAAATTTTTTCTCTCAAAAAAAATTCTCCCAAATCTTACAATAGTTCTCAACAAAAACTGAGCATTAAGTAACAGGAAACTCATGTCAAAATCCTCGCCTTTGTTTAGCTACTGGTAGTTATTAAGGAACTAGTAACTAATAGAAGCAGGTAAAAGAAGAGAAGCAAATCAAATAGAAAGCCTAATGAGGTAGGAATTGGTTTTAAATTAATATTTATGTTCAAATAAAGCTTACTGGTTGGATTTTATTTTAATCCTGTTGAGTTAGACTAGTTGCTCTCAGAATTTCATCATAGCATACTTTTTATTATTTCTGAAACAGTGCTTCTTTGTATCTTTGTGTTTATTATACTCAAAGGTGTGAGTCGTGCTTGTTTACAAAAATAATTCCTTACCTCTTTAGTTATAGTACCTAAGCACTCAGCATTACGTTTTTATGATTAGATGCTTTAGAGTGTTTTCACATAATTTTTCCTTTTAGTTTCCTGATAGGGAATTTCTTCTACGTGTGTCTTATATGGAGATATACAATGAAACCATCACAGACTTACTTTGTAATACTCAAAAAATGAAACCTTTAATAATTCGGGAGGACATCAATGTAAGTAACAGAGTCGAGATTTTAATACATTTTCAGATGAAGGGTTATTGTTCTTGAATATTCACCTTTAAATTTTTCTTTTCTGAAGTGTCTTCTGTTTCAATGCTTCATATTTTAATCAGATGTACGTATAATTTTAAAATACAACAAGTATAATATTTTAGCCTAAGTGCTCAAAAGAGCAAGATGATAAATAGGTTAGAATTTGGTTTGCTTTGATGAAATAAATTATGAGTATTCATCAGTTGGCTGGATATTTTCTTAGAGAAGAATAAATCCTAATTCAATATTCTACTTTTGTACAAATTGTATGGTAGTTTGCACCTTTTTATGACTACTGTTTCTCTAACCTTTCCAAACTTCTTTCAGAGGAATGTATATGTTTCTGATCTTACTGAAGAAGTTATTTATACAGCAGAGATGGCTTTGAAGTGGATCACAAAGGGAGAAAGTAAGACTATGCTAAACTCTTCATTACAGCATTTATAGAAACTGTCTTTCCAATTACACCACACTTTGAATCCAGCCCCTTAGACTGCTCGGCCACACTGCTGGTGTGCTGAGCCACGCTTTTTAATAAGATAAAATAAACTTCCAGTCATACCTCTGATTAATAGACCAAAAAGGTTTAATGTTTTATTTTATACTTTAATGAATTATGCTGATGAAATTTAATCCTTTTTACAGAAAACAGACATTATGGAATTACCAAAATGAATCAAAGAAGCAGTCGTTCTCATACCATTTTTAGAATGGTAGGTACTTTTATTTTTCTATTGTTCTTTCCACATAGGAATGCATTGATTTTTCTACAAGTTGTCTTTTCTGTCTAGATTTTGGAAAGCAGAGAGAAAGGCGAACCATCCAGTTGTGAAGGATCTATCAAAGTTTCCCATTTGGTGAGTATTAAAGAACCATGATAATGTTCCTTGTAAGCTGAAACAAGATTGAATTAATCTGCTAGGCAATTTAATAAGAACTGTTAACTAATTACGAAAATTAAAGGTCTACATTGGCCATTTACCTAAAGGTAGAGACTCTTTCTTCCTATTAAATCATGAGTGCCATTTCCTGCAGGTTAGATGTAAGAGCTGTAGGGCATGTGGTTAAGACTTTACCCACCAGCAAAGCAGGATTTTTCTTAGTGTGCTTAAGTGTTTAATCTTAGAGTTTAGGATTTTTTTTTTCTTAATCTTAGCTTATGTAACTTACACTTGTGTGATCAACAAAAATTAGATGAGATGATTAAAATGTAAATAGTATTATTTAAAAATTTTAAGTACGATAAGAAAATACAATACTTACTGATTTTCATTTTTTTTTACATTTCTATTTTTTTATTATTATTAATTACATTGCATTATGTGACACAGTTTCATAGGCTCTGGGATTCCCCATTCTTCCCCATTCCTTCCCCCCATGGTAGATTCCTCCACCTTGTTGCATTACCACAGTTCAAGTTCAATCAAAAGTCTTTCATTGCAAGCATATACCAAGCATAGAGTCCAGCATCTTTTTGTCCAGATAAATTCAGTGGTTTCTTGGGGAGACCATCTCTGGTCTGAAGACAGAGCTGGCAGAATATCATCCCGATCTATTAAAAGCCCCAACATAACATCAACAACAATTTATAATGTTATGGAATTAATTGACATGGTATTGAGTGACCAGCATGTTTAAAAAATGCAAGTTTTTAACCACATCCTGTGACTACTTCATTGACATTTCAATTTTAGTTTATATACGACCGGCTTCTATACACCTTAAAATGGCTATAGGGTACTATTCAGCTGCCTTGTGTTTATTTTCATTTTAGTATTTAGCAGTTTATAGTGTTGAAGCATAATTTTGTTGAACTTCATTTTCATATTATTTTAAAACAAATTCTAAATTATTTAATAGCCAGTCCTAAATTCAACATGTTCGTTTTGCTGTTAAAGTGTGTCACTTATTTTAATAGACTTTAATTTTGTTTAACATAGAAATATAACGTAGCCTCTGTTTTCCCATCCTACCCTGTGATAATTCGCTATGATTTTAACTAACCAACCAGAGCATATTCCGTTATCTCTTTAGTTATTTTTCTCATATGCTTTGATCACTGAGTGTGTCAGGTATGTAAAAAACCAAATTAAGACAGAAGTTCAAAAATCATCTACCAACATCTGATCCAACCGTTCAGGACCCATTACCGTGAGAATCTGGGAAGGAATACTCCCAAGGAGTCAGGTTCTGTATATTTAAGGGTAATCCGTCCTGATAGTCTCCTGGCCTTGGAGTGGTGATAATATCCACATTCCCTTAACCTTGAACCTTACCTGGTACTTTCTGTGTTTTCTAACTAAAACTTGAGTCTTCTTTGGCCTTTCTTTCTTGGTTTCTTTTTATTTTTAAGATTTATTTATTTTTATTAGAAAGACAGATTTACAGAGAGAAGGAGAAACCAGAAAGATCTTTCAATTGCTGGTTCACTCTCAAAATAGCCACAGTGACCAGAGCTGAGCCAATTCAAAGCCAGGAGCCAGAAGTTTCATCTGGGTCTCCATGTGGATGCAGGGTTCCAGAGACTTGGGCCATCCTCCACTGTTTGCCAGGCCATAAGCAGAGAACTGGATGGGAAGGTGGAGCAGCTGGGACATGATCTGGCACCCATATGAGATGCTAATGCTTGCAAGCAGAGGATTAGCCAATTGTGCCATTATACCTAGCCCCCCTCTGAATTAATTTCTTAATTGAAGTTTCTGTACACAGACATTTTGTCCTCACTTCTATGCTGATGACTGCCATATATTTATTTTATTCAGTCTCTGAGTTCTAATTTGCATCTTGTTAAACATTGTTGTATCATTATTTCAAACTTAATATATCTAAGTCAAAATCGCTTTCTTCCTACATAACTAATATTTTGTTTTCCACATAACACCAACATCATCCTGCTCAGATAGACTGAAGACTCAAGTCAATTTTGACTTGTCTTTTTCTCTGTATCCTCTTATGTTATTGATCCCACCTCTAAACATTCCTGTGGTGTTGCACTCATTCGGATCACTCTTGAATTGGTACAGTAGTCTCCTAGAACTTGGCCTCCTTGACTGGCTGTTCTTGCTGCAGTCCATCAGTGGATTTCTATCATTACTAAGTACTGTTTTTATTATGCCACTTCCTGAAATGATATAAGGCCTGATATTTTTTATTATTATTAAGATCTATTTATATTTGAAAGACAGAGAGACACAGAAAGGTTTTTGATCCACTGGTATACTTCCCGAATGCCATCAACAACTGAGGCTGAAACGGGCAAAACCGAAGCATCTGGAACCCCATCCAGGTCTCACTCATGGATGACAGACCCAAGTACTTAGAACAATCTTTTAATACTTTTTGAAGCACATTATCAGGGATAACATTAGCCAAGACTCGAACCTGCACTCTATCTGGGATAGAGGCATCACAAGCAACGACTTAACCTGCTGTACAAAAGTAATACTCTAAGAACTGGCCATTCTTAGCTTTCTTCTTCTCCGCATGGTGTTCCTCTCTTAGAAGCCAGGCCACTTAGGAGTTTTTAGTATGAATGCCTATTCCATTTTTATATTGTCACCATTATCTTTATCACCACTCTTTTATTCTGTATCTAAATCATCTTCCAATGAGTACTACATAAGAAAATTCGACTTATTTGAAATTTCAGAAAAGGAATTATCTGAAATAGGACTGTCCAGCAGGAGTGCAGTTATGTTACTACCACCTGAGACTCCACAAAGAAACAATCAAAGCTCTGATCTTGATTTAAGGCACTCAGAATATTTACAAAGCATTCCTCATGTTCTGAGCACACTGCTGTACTCTGAGGTTGAAAGAATAGAGAAGACACTCCGCTGCTACTCACAGCTATTCTCTGCTGTTTCCCTAGCCCGACCTGCCGCCAATTCTCACCTGAACCAGGCTTCTAACTGGGCTGTCTGTTGCCACTTATGCCCCTTTCCAAGTCATTCCTCACCCAGAGCCACAGCTGGTCCTTTAGAAAGTTTAATCAGGTTAAAATGCCTTTTCATAGACCCTCGATGTATTGCACTTAAAAATTTTAGTTATTAATCTTATTTACAAAGTCCTGTATAACCTGGCCCCTTACTTTTCTTACTCAGTCTTATGTAGTCTTCACTATACCAACTATGCCATAGCACCCTTTCTAGATTATATGTAAATAATCACAGAGAGCACCTCCATCACTGGTCCATTGTCCAGATGCCTGAAGCTGCGTCCAGGCAATGCCAGAAGCCGTGAATTCCAAGTCTCCTAATTGGGTACAGGGACCCACCTACTTGAGCCATCACTCACTGCCTTCACAGGCTTGTTAGCAAGAATCTGGGTAAGGAGCAGATGAGACTCAAAAGGGTTCTCCTGCAAGAGACATAAGCATCCCAAGCAGTGGCTTAACCCACTGTATCACAAACCAGCACCTCCCATTGACTTTTAACACACCAAGTGCATTCTGCATGTGACATGTCTGAAGTACAGTTTTCCTTCATCTTTTCATGGCTGGTTTCCTTTTTTTGTTAGATCATAGATATCATAGTTTGAATACTTTATCTCTGAATAAGGAGGAAGGGCAGACTAGAACAACTACTAATGAAACAGCAGAAGCTGCTGTCTGGTGTGCCAATTTGTAAAGAATCCTGTTTGCCAAGGGGCAATTTTGAACATAGTATGGGATACAAAGTTACTTGATCAGCATTATAAGGATGTTAAAAATAGAAGCGAAGTACAGAGACCAGTATGAGTCGCAGAGAAATGAAATGCCCAAATAATGGGGTGGGAGATAGGGATACAAATGGGATATTCAGATATGCCATATGTTTTAAATGTAGTTTGAATTTTACCATTTCAAATATCCTTCCTAAAAATCTATCTTCATTTGTCTTACAGAATTTGGTTGACCTTGCAGGCAGTGAGAGAGCTGCTCAAACAGGAGCTGAAGGTAATGAGAACCTCTGAAATATGTTAATCTTGATGTCTGGTTTTTTATTGGATTTTTAAAAAGGCCATTAGGCATTTTTAGAAAATGGCGAAGTTTCTAAGTAACAGTAATTTTCTGGTAAAGTCCTTAAAATAAATACCAGCATGTGTATCTGGCTAATTATGTATGTTGCGCTACTTTAGCATCATTTAAGAAACTAAGGCCTTGCAATGGATAGGGTTATATAGCTGGAAACCTAAGGCTTCTTAATTTGTGAAGTTATTAAGAAAAATAATGGAAAGTGTTCTTTCAGCACTAACATTGTATCTATAGGATTACGAAGTGCTTATAACATGTATAAGATCTTTCCTGATATCTTTGGCCTTCCAAAAATAGTATGGACTCTTCTCAGAGGTAATTGACAAGCATAATACACATGGGAAAAAACAGTGACTAAAAACAGCTCTCGAAGAATCTTTTTCTAATATTTGAAAAATAGTGCTCCGTGCCATACGTGTGCATCCATCAAGGAGAGAGTATCGAATGGTGATAGATTGAGCTATTTGCAATTTAATTTTGCAAAGGAAGGCTGGGAATGTAATATTTCTCTTTATCCATACAATAAAATATATGCAAAGCCAAAGGCCACAACAAATAAATAAATACAGAAGGGAAGGAAGTAGATATAAACTTACCTTAAAGATTCTCTCATGGATGCTTAAATGAACAAAATAACGCAGTTCTGAATAACTTTAAAAATGCATGTCCTAGGCACAAAAACTACACAGAACTGTTGGCAAGAAAGCTTCAGATCAGTTCTGAAGGATACAAATACTTTGTTTAAAATGGAAAAGGCACACAAAATGGATAGTAAGATTCAAAATCACAAAAACCTCATGCCTCCATGTGTTAATTTCTAGATGTAGCAGTCCTAACAAAAATATGAAGAATTGTACACTTGTAAATAGACAAGATTAGCAAAGAAAATTCTGAAAAAGATCAGTGAATGGGAGTTTAGCCCTACAACACAGTAAGACATTTAACGCCATAACACTCAAAGCAATATGGCCCCATTCTGTGAACTGTCAGCCCAGTGAAACAGTCTAGAAGGTCCATCAAGGGTCCGTTATACATATAGAACTTCAGTTGTAATAACAGTCCTTTAGATTCATGAGAAAAATATGTGTTATGAGCAGATTGTCACTTGGGGAAAAAATAAATTGGATACAAACATGACATCTGTACAGCAGGTAATTATTGTAACTGGCCATCCAACGTAAAACACTGTAAAAGTTAATGGAAGTCAACTAGCAATGAGAAGGAAATTTTCTATTATGTAAGGTCCCAGAACTTCAGAACAAAGCCTAATAACATTGGAAACTGAGCAAAGAGTATGAGTAAATATTAAATAATGTGTAATGTTTGAGAACACTCTTGGCAATCCTGTGATACACCATTAAAGAGTGACTGATTTCAGGAGGATCAAAGATTTGTACAACAAACTTCACCCTGCCGTCTCATGTAGAGCAACTCAGCTGGGCCTGGCCCGCACCCACCAAATCAAGACACACTCACATACGTGAGCAAGGAAGAAGTGCTTATTTTATGCTGCTTTGCTAGGTAGCAGTATGACAGCGGTAGCTAACTGATGTACCTATGAGATAACATCTGCTCAGACTTATTATTGGAGTATTTTTTGTATCGCAGTAAATCAGAAATGTACATCTTCAATGGAGAACTGAATTAGCAAATTCTGATAAAAGATAATTTAAAAGATATTAGCCTGTTTCCGAGATATTTTGCCAAGTTAAAAAAGCCAAATGCAAAATAGTGGATTGTAGTCTGTTACTATTTGTGTAAAAAAGGAAGGGAACATGCATTTTTTACATTGTGAGGAAGAATGACAACTGTTTCTAGTTCAAGGATAGGAACTGGTTGAGTGGGAAATGAAAGTAGTTTATGGAGTATACACATTTTTCTTTTTTAACTCCTTGACCCATGAAAGCATACTACAGGTGACAGCTAAGGGGCTGATTTGTTTGTAAACCCATAGTTTTGTTTATTTAAATATTTGAGGGAAAAATAGATTTGAACTGAGGAATTGAGAGGAACTCTTTTATGAAACAGTTTTTCTGTCTTCTTCCTAAGTCATCCTCTTGCAGTTTTTCTCAGGGACAAACCTTGCTGATTTACCTGACAAGTGGGGGGAGTAGGACGGGAGTTCCTACCAGTTATAGTTAAAAGTGAGCTCAGGTCCAATGCAAAGCGTAGACTTGAGCATCTGACCCCCTGAGAGAAAGCTCTGATTTCTCTCAGAGCTTGCTGATAAATAAGTTCATCACCTAATGTAGATTTGGTTTTCGTGTTTGTTTAATTCAGGTGTACGACTCAAGGAAGGCTGCAACATAAATCGAAGCTTATTTATTTTGGGGCAAGTGATTAAGAAACTTAGTGATGGGCAAGCTGGGTAAGTGATTCCCACAGCACACTTAGCAAATGTTGTATCTTTTGTTATATTCAATATTGCAATATGTCAGGCATGTTCTGACATATTTATTTCCATATGATCAAAAGTTTTAGGGATTAACTGAGTGCTATCATAATGATGTGACCTATTTATTTTCAACTTGGACTGCAGATTTATTTGAAGGACAGAGACAGAATGGAAAAGGCCAGGCTTAAACTTAATCTGGTTCTCTGGTGGGTTATAGGAACACAGGCCCTTAGATTATCATCCAAAACTTTCCTAGCCACGTTAGCACAGCGCCAGAAAAAGAGCACTCATGATTTGAAATGGTGCTCTGATGGGGGATTAAGAGGCAGCAGCTTAACCCACTGAACCGACACCATACCTCCATCAGTAATTTTGAACTGCCTAACTCTGTGTGTTCTACATTAAAAATCAACTTTTATTATATAAAAACTCTTTAATTTTTTTTTCTTTGCAAACTCAATTCTTGCTAAGTGGTTTCATAAATTATCGAGATAGCAAATTAACACGAATTCTCCAGAATTCTTTGGGAGGAAATGCAAAAACACGTATTATCTGCACAATTACTCCAGCATCTTTTGATGAAACACTTACAACTCTGCAGGTAAGTTTTGTTTTTTTTTTTGTCAATTTGAGTGGAAGTCATCAAAAATATAAACTACCAAAATTGGGTATAATCAGTTTTTAATTAATGTAACACCTATTATAATACATACATTGTCTGCTAAATAGTTTCATTATTTAATTTTCCCAAACTTGCATCATTTGTATCCCATCTCCACAGTTTTTGCCAAATCCTATACTATTTTTTAGTATTTTTCTTTAAATTATGCTTAATTCTTTGTAATTATATTTAGTAATTAATTGTTATTGCTTTATTACTGTTATAGTAGTTCTAGAAATGAAAAGCTATTATCACTTGCCACAAATAGAAAGTAAATCCCCCAAAAAGTGTGTGTTTTGTGTGTTATATAATTCTTAAATTCCTATTAACTGAGCCTAAAGACTCGCATTTCCTCTTTAAAAGGGAAAAAGAAAATGAAAGTTTTGTCAGTGAAAGATTCAGTGCTATTTAATGATCAATTCTGGTACCCATTTAAAATTATTTCTGTCACTGATACCCTGAGAAACATTGGTTTAAATGCCTATTGCCTATTATTTAAACATGGTATCAGCAATGTATACAGGAAAGATAGTCCCCGTCTTCCCAGAATCTGTGGGACAAATGAGATGTATCTTCTAACATGATTCTTTGAATACGAGTTAAGTGATGGATAAGTATGATAGGATTCAAAGGAAAGATACTTTTACCTAAGAGTGGAGCTTCTGAGTAGAGAGCATTCGCACTAGACCCTAAGAGGTAGATTCTAATAAACTTGTACTTGTAAGTTCTCAACTGGAATTTTTTATTTCTCTCTTGAGAACAGTTGGCCAACATCAATGATATAAAACTCTCACCATATTCAAAAGTACTAAACCAGATAGAGAGATTATTGATTTTTCTCTTTAGGAAATTTGATTATAAGAAATAGTCTTCAAAGAACTATGTTCGGGTTATTGAATACCTTACAGTTATGTTTTTTTCCCAGTTTGCCAGCACTGCTAAATATATGAAGAATACTCCTTATGTTAATGAAGTATCAAGTGATGAAGCTCTCCTAAAAAGATACAGAAAAGAAATAGTGGACCTTAGGAGACAATTAGAGGAGGTATGTATGAGTCATTTATTTTAGTAAAAAATGGCAATCAATTTACAATGAAAAACTGCCAAATGCTGACAAGCTTAATTCATCGATATCTGAGCTGCTACAACTGAAATTGAAAATGCTTTTCGAAGTAAATCAATTCATAAAAATTTTAATTGAATTTACTACAGCATGAAAGACTATTTCTTAGAATTTTCTTAGTCTTTATTTTCCATTTCCAAAGGACAGAGTTTGAAATTTTTCAATGACTCAATTGCAGATGCTTTATAAAATTTTTTCACAATTACTATAAAATCTGATTTAAAAGGAGACCAAAAGTAGTTACTCAGTGCTCCCTTCTGTATGTTCACATTGTCTTGAATTCCTCTTCTAATGCAACAATCACAATCTGATAATATTGTATAATCAACATGTTATTCTTATTTGTTTAATTTAACCATTGTGGTCCTATTGTGAAAACCTTACCTTCCAGTGGTCTTTCTAAAAAATAAATATCAAATGGTAATAAGTAGCGTTATAAGATGAGAATATCTATACTTTGTGATCACCTGCTTTTTTTTATTTATCTGCCTATTCATATTTTCTTAGGCAATTAATAGAATTATTTTAACAGTACTGTAATTTTATACATGAAGTATAGAATAGCGACATGAGAAGAACTACGTATTTTACATTAAAAGTTTGAGAAATATTTATAACTCTATATTGGAGTTTTTCAGGTAGGATATGCCTTATTTCAATAAAAGTCTCGTGATTCACACACAGATTTAATATTATTTTCATCCACTTAGAAAATTTTATTCTAGCTATGTGTGTTATTAACAGTGCTCTATCATTTAGGTAAATATAAAGACTCGAGCCCAGGAAATGGAAAAAGACCAGTTGGCCCAGCTTTTGGATGAAAAAGATCTGCTTCAAAAAGTACAGGATGAAAAAATTCAAAACTTAACACGGATGCTAGTGACCTCTTCTTCCCTTACATCACAGCAGGAATTAAAGGTAAAATGTGTAAGATGGCAGCTCAAACTTGGTACACACAAAATAGAATTGACATTTTTATATATTTAGTCATAAATGATGACAAGATCTCCTTATGGCTTTTGGAGCAAGTGGAGTTAAGTGGAAAGACAGTAGAGTCAAGGAGTTATTTATGACAGCTTTTACAGTGTAGGTGGTAGAAAGGTCTGGATATTTCCAGCAAACTGGCAGTATGTAGTGAGGCATAAAAGCATGCGGTCTGTTCTGGGGAAGACAGGTCATCTTGAGTAACATTTTGGTAGAGCAGATGCATGGATAAGCTATTGAAGTCATAGACATGAGGTCAACACCCAATTGGCTATATATCCTTACTCAAGTCCTCCGAACTTGCTAGTTTAAAAATGATATAATAACAGATCCTAACTGCAAGTATGTGGAAAGTATTAAATGCAGTCAGATGACCCTTGTACCCAGAGAAACAAACAAGAGACTATTGACTAGAGCAAATGCTCTGGTGAAGGAGGGTAAGCTGCCACCTGCAAAACCAGCATACCATGACAGTGCTGATTCCAAGCCCAACTTCCCCTCCAGCTCCCTGCTAATGTGCCTAGACAAGCAGTGGAAAATGGTCAGGGGCTTGAGCCCCTGCCATCCATATGGGAAAGGCAAGTGGATTTCCTGGCTGTGGCTTTCACCAGTCCCAGTCATGAGTACTACAGCCATTTTGGAAATAAGCCAGTGTGGATGGAATATCTCTCTCCCTGTCACTCATCCCTTGGAATAAATATTTAAAAGAAAAGAGGGCCCGATGGCATGGCCTAGCGGCCAAAGTCCTCGCCTTAAACATGCCAGGATCCCATATGGGCGCCGGTTCTAATCTCAGCGGCCCCACTTCCCATCTAGCTCCCTGCTTGTGGCCTGGGAAAGCAGTCAAGGACAGCCCAAAGCTTTGGGACCCTGCATCCGTGTGGGAGACCTGGAAGAGGTCCCTGGTTCCTGGCTTCAGATCAGCGTAGTACCAGCCGTTGCGCTCACTTGGGGAGTGATTCATCAGATGGACGGAAGATCTTCCTCTCTGTCTCTCCTCCTCTCTGTATATCTGACTTTGCAATAAAAATAAGTAAATCTTAAAAAAAAAAAGAAAGAAAAAGTATATTAACTATGTGAAACCTGGAAAGATACAAACTCTTAAAAGGCAGGCAGAAAAAGAGAAACCAGTGAAGTGAATGGGAAGGATGACTTAACTGGTAAAGCACAAAGGACAGGAATGAGGAAGGAGTCAGTAAATGTTAAGGAAAAGGACAGGAGGTGGCTCAGTGTGCACCAACAAATCCTCTGCCCCGTGATGCCAGCATCTCATATGGGAGCCGATTCTTGTCCCAGCTGCTCCACTCCCAATCCTGGGAAAGCCACAGAGGATGGCCTAGGTGCTTGAGACCCTATACCCACATGGGGAGGAAATGCCTGACTTTCAACTTCAGATAAGTTCAGCTCTGGCCATTACAGCCATTTGCTGAGTGAACCAGCAGATAGAAAACCTCTTTCTCTCCTTTGTCTATAAAATCTGCCGATGAGATAAAAAAATAAATCTTAAAAAAAAAAGTAGGAGACAAAAAATGGGGTCAAAAGAAAACAGCAATGTGACCCAAGTAAGGAGTCAAGAGTTCTTATTTTATTTTATTTTATCATTTTGTTGAAAAATTAAAGAGGGCTCACTTCAGCAGTACATATACTAAAGTTGGAATGATACAGAAAAGATTAGCACAGCCCCTGCACAAGGATGACACGAAAAATTAGGGGAAAAAAATAAAAGTGAGAGCAACCATCTGACCTCACAGCCCAGGTGCCTGCACGTCGTATCAGTGTCCCTGTGTTCAGCTCACGGCTCCAACCCCTAACTCAAGTTTCCTGCTAAGAAACACTCTGGAAGGCAGTAGAGCTGGTTCAGGTCATGAGCTCCTCCACACACACGGGAAACCTGGAGTCCCCAGTTTCTGGCTTTGGAGAACGCAGCAGCATCTCAGGGTTCTCCCTCTTCTGACTGTCTTTATCTAACTTTCAAGTAAACAACCAAAGCAGAGCAGCTTGAGTACGTAAACGTGGCTGAGAGGAGAGAACCAGTGGAGATAACAGATGAGCAGTTATCTGAGGGAGCAAGGTCTCAGGAGTGAAAGGAATCAGACTGGGAGCACTAGTAGAGGCTTTGTTTTGATAAGCACATTAGAAGGAAATCAGCATTGTAAAGGACAGTATGAAAGATTCACTGAAGGAAAATCCAATGGGCTATGTGTGATATTAGCCCCATCTTTACCTTCCCAGCTGGAGCTGGGTACTTAAAAGTATAGCTGTGGGTCAATGTGGTGATGGCAGAAACAGCTGTCCTGTGTAACACCAGAATGATTCATTGAGTCAACAAATTCCTTTCAAATAAATCCCACAATAACAGGCAAATTTAGAAAATGAAAGTTGGTGTGGGCATCTGGTAAGGCAGTTAGCATGCTGCTTTGGATGCCCATGTTCCGTATCGGCCTGGGTTCGAGTCCTAGCCCCATTCCTGATTCCAGCAAGCCCTGAGAGGCAGCAAGAGCTGGCGGAAGTACTTACGTCACTGCCCCCATGTGAGACACTGGCATTGGGTTCTGGGCTCCTGACTTAAGCCTGGCCCAGCTCTTATTGATGTGGGCATTTGGAGAAGAATCAGGGTACAAGACCTCTCCCTCTCTTTCTCTCTCTGCCTTTCAAATAAATAAAACTTTTATATGAAAATTAAATAGTTTTACAAATCTTTAAGGACCTAAACATTGATTTAAAACATTTGTATATGTTCTTATCTCAGAATGTCCTTAGGCTTATAATGTATTAAGTTTCTCTTAACCAGTTCTACCACTACCTTGTTAGTGGTTTTAGAAACAGAAGCTGCAGTATATTGTGGTCCAGAACTGCAAGAGATAATTTTATTTCTTTGTCTTTAGGCTAAGAGAAAGAGAAGAGTTACTTGGTGCTTTGGCAAAATGAGCAAAATGAAGGACTCAAACTATATAAATGAATTCCATTTGCCCAAGAATGTAACAACAAAAATGAAGACTCCTATGAGTATGAGTATAATAGGAGAAATTGATGAATGTGAGTATTTTTTCAAGTGGAATATCCTTTCATTATAAAAGAGAGACATATTAATGACTGTTAATATGATAAACATATTTAAATTAGATGTATACCCTCATATAATTAGAATGGATATTTTGACATTTCAGAAAAACAATTTTCCCTTTCTCTGTTAATTCCAGATCGCTTAAGAATGTTGTACTGCAGTTGAAGCATTAAGTGGATCTAATTATTATCCAGTTAGATTGCTGTAGTACTCAGCTAACATTCTATTTGATAATCCTGAGGGGTTGGCATTTCTATAAAAATTTGTCTAAAAATTATGTACTCATCATTATAATCTATTTCCTGAAGGCATTTTAAAATTTGCAGTGATGAAACTCAAATTGAGAATTTGCCCTCTTTACCTTTATTGTACTAAGAGTGTCAGGGACAGTGCTATGGTACAATGGGTAAAGCTGTAGAGTATGGTACCAGCATCCTTTGTGAGTGCTCGATTTCCAATCCAACTCTATGCAAATGCACCTGGGAAACAGCAGCAATGGTCCAAGGACTTGGACCCCTGCACCCACATGGGAGGCTCAAATGAAACTCTTAGCTTTGGACCAGCCCAGCTCCTACCATTTGGGAAGTGATCTGTGATCTAGCAGCTGGGTGATCTGTGTCTATCCTTTCCTTTCTCTGTAATCCTGCTTTTCAAATAATTAAATAAATCTCTTTTTTTAAATCCTAAATCCTAAATTGTATTATTAATTCCAGTTAAGGATCTTAATTCTTCTGCTAATATAAATTATCACATATGTTGTTATTTTATTTTGAGATACAAAGTCTGAGCACATACTAGCTAATTTGAGCTTTTTATTACATGTAATCAGAATTTTTTTAGTAATCTGTAATTGAACTTTTTTATAAACATGTCTATCTAAATTTTTGTTTGATTGTAGCTCTCTGCTTAGAATCTGATACCTTCAGCAGCACACTTGATACACTTAGTGAGGTGGAGTGGAACTCAGCAACAAAGATACTAAATGAGGTAATGTATTATACACAAATTTTACTCTTTTTAAAATTATTTTATTATTGGATATTGTTGAAGCACATCACTGGTTCAGACTTATTTTCAGATTAATGAATAATGAGTCATAGTTTGGTAAGTATAAGTCCAGTTGCAAAGTAAATACAATTTCATATGTCAGTAAAAATTAATTTAAAAAAAGTTCAAGTGAAGCACTAATCGTAATAATAAATACCGGGAAGTTCTACAATTGTATTCCAAAAGAAAGATAAAGTCTATTCAATGAATCCATGCACGTCTGTACATTTTTTAAAATGAGCAATCTTTAAAGGAAATATAAAATCTAAGCATATTAAAACATTCCTATGCATTGCTCATTTCTTAAAATTTTGCTAAGATTGGTTACAGTTGGCCCTGTGTGTCTGTGGGTACCTCGTCTGTATTTAGCAGCCCGCAGAACGAATAGGCTTACAGAGGTTCTATCACTATTGAACACATACAGACTTTTCTTCTTTTAATTAACTCCCAAAGAATACAGTGTCTAAGCTACTGATAGCATTTCTATCTTATTAGATATTATAAAGCTCTACAAATGATTTGAAGTATTTGGGAAGCAATACACAGCCATAACCAAATACTACACCATTTTATACAAAGAACCTCAACAGCTGAAGAAGGCTGTTCCATGACACACATGTGCCACGTTGATCCATTCATTACTGAAGGGGATGATAATCAGTAGTTTGTCTCTGCTCATAGAGAAAGTAGAAAATGTGCCTTGTTAGAATTTTAGAGTTCAAGAAGCACTATGTTTACCTTCCTGAATTCAAAGCCATTTCAGTAAGGTGGAGAATTAAATTTATTACTTGATTGCTGATTAAAGATTTGTGGCTGGGCCCAGCGCAATGGCGCAGTGGTTAAGGTCCTCGCCTTGCACGCCCGGGATCCCATATGGTGCCGGTTCTATCCCAGCAGCTCCACTTCCCATCCAGCTCCCTGCCTGTGGCCTGGGAAAGCAGTCGAGGACGGGCCAAAGCTTTGGGAACCTGCACCTGCGTGGGATTTGTGGTTGGATAGACTTCCTCATGCTCATTTTACCTCCATAGTTGAACTATGCGTATCAAGCAGGTTTATGATTTATTCACAAATATATTTTTAATTATCCTTTCAAAATATTCTTCTAAATTAGCAAGTTTACTAACATGTAGAATATTAGATATTGAGAAAGAAAATGGTCTTAACTGAATGATTCAAAGTTTTACTATGTAATCCTATTTAACTTTTTAATTTGGGTGATAAAGAATGTATGGTGTAGATCCTAATTGTAAAATCTTTTTTTATAATAGGAAAACTTTGAAAGTGAATTGAATTCACTCCGTGCTAAGTTTGACAATCTGGTATTGGATTATGAACAATTAAGAAGAGAAAATGAAGAAATGACGTTGAAATTAAAGGAGAAGAATGATTTAGATGAATTTGAGGCTCTAGAAAGAAGAACTGAAAAAGATCAAGAGGTAAGAGATGGAGATGGGAAACTAAAGTAAAATCTCACTTAATAGCATTCTCTTAAGGATATTTATTTGTAAGATTGCAGTAGTAAGGAACTAATCTTTTTTTGTAAACCATTTAAGAAATATTTAATTCATGTTGTTTTAAAAATTATTGTGTTTGTTTCTCTTATGCTTAATATGTATAAGAGAAGAAGGGATTAAGACCATCTGAGACGGTTTAGTGGATCTGCCTAGAGATGAAATTGCCTTGTGGAAATAATTTTCCTGGTTTTGTCTTGTCAACATTTTACTTTATTGAACATTCCAGAAATGCCACCCCATGAATTTCAGTCGCTGGCTGTTTTGTGTACCATGTGTTAATTGTACAGGTCGATGGGTTTCGTTTTCTTTGGAAAGTATCTTTCTAAATAGAACATTTTTAAGGTAGCGAGAGATGCTAGCCACCCCTGCAACAATTAACTGCTAGATTTTATGTATAAGTCACTTTTGCTTTTTCACATTTTTATGCTTTTTCACTTTTTTTATGCATACATCTTGAACAATATGTCATTGAGAGGTAGGTTATGCTTTTATCTGTACGAAAGATTTCCTGTGGTTGGTTTATGAGAGAACTTATCATTAACATGAAGAGCCATTTGAAGTGAGAAGTAGAAAACTTATTTCTACTTATTTCTAAATGGTTATTTGCTAAATACTTTCAGAAGTTAAGGTTGATCCTTTGATTCTTCTTTATTGGTAAACATGATTTTTTTTTAACATAAAAGCTAGAATTAGGCAAGGAATAAACGGTAAAAGATGGAACAGGTTTAAGTTAAAACCAGTAAAAGTATCTAATGTTTCATGTATAGCAGGATGGCCACCAACCACATTTGTCATTTGAGTGCTTAAAATGGGACCAGTCTGAAAAAAATAAAATCAATCTTTTTTTAAAAGGGGATGGACCAATCTGGTTTGATTTGAGTCATCTGTAAATGAAAAACATTTTCTTTTTTACATTATATTGATAACTTGGAGACATAATACTTTAGATATGTTAAGTTAAACAAAATATATTACTACAGTTAATTCTACCTTTTGTATTTTTTTCTGATGAATCTACTAGAAAATTGTAAATTGCACATGTAACTCAGGTTACATTTCTATTGGCCAGCATTGGCCTAAAACAGGGGTGTTAATGAACACTGGCATTAGTTGGAAATCTAAAATTGGTCAGGACTGAATTAAGCATCCAGAAAATGTTTAAGCAAGAAATGGCTTTCTTAAGTATCTTAACATTCCGTTAGACCTTGCTTTTACCCTTTAAATCCTAATTTGATTAAGAAGATGGAGCAATTGTAAACAAAAATGTTTATGTTGGTCACTTATGGCTTAATTAATTTGAACAAAAAACCTCGATACTCAAATATTTTGATAGGAAGGAAATCCTAGTAGACGTACTTCTGCCTTTTTCATTTTTAGATAATTGAAGAGTAAGCAGTAGCATCATCTTTTCAATATTTCCTATAGAGTGAAGCAACAAGAGAATTGAGACTCATACAACTTTTGTAGCTTTCTTAAAAAGATACCGTGTGAACAGTCCCAATACACACCAATTCTAAATTGTAACTTTTTTTAAAATGTGCTAGCATAAAGCTAAATGAGTAATTTTTAGGAATGAAAAATATATACAAGGGTGGATATATTTCTACACCCAACACAAACCAAAAAAAACCTAATTCTTCGTAAGTTTAATTATCACTTTACTATCTCCTCCAAATGAAAAATACTAACTTTAGCTTTATTAACAGGTAACATAGCTGTTGTTGTGGTCATGCCGGAAGATTTTCTTATTTGCTGGTCTTATGAGTTTTTCATTTATTTGGTTAATATTTCCTGCATTTAGAAGTAATGAGGTGCTCTGTTGCATTGACTTGGACAGTTGATCTTGGTCTCCTCTTATTATGTTGGGTAATTCCGCAGCTGCAGCAGTAAATAAATGTGACTTTTTTGCTTTATTAACGGTTGGTTTGCTCAGTTGCCTGTTCACATGCTCTTGCAGATGCAACTAATTCATGAAATATCCAACTTAAAGAATTTAGTTAAGCATGCAGAAGTATATAATCAAGATCTTGAGGTGAGCATTCATGTGCTATTCCTATTGATAACCAGAATTATTAAAACATATAACCATGTAATTGAACATGACTTCAAAACATACAGGTATTACATTTCTTATATGTATCAATACTTTTGGCAGTTCATTGTCAATTTAAATTCTTTAAACGTTCTTCAAATCCTTAAGAATTCAAATCAAATACAAAGTTGTTTGTTGCTATTGATTTTTCTTTTAGAATGAACTGAGCTCAAAAGTAAAGCTGCTGAAAGAAAAGGAAGACCAGATTAAGAAGCTACAGAAATGCATAGACTCTCAGAAGGCAGAAAGTATAAAAATGGATTCATCATATTCATTGGTAAAAATCAAGTTTATGTTATTTGATCATGTTAGCATTTATATTATATTATCACTGTCACCACCACAGCAAATGCTTACTTTGAATCCACTAGACACTGCACATTATTGTAAACGGTTTATATATTTCATTTAATCATCAACCAGATAAGATACTTTAAATATTACCATTTTACAGTTGATACTCATAGAAAATGGAGCATAAAGCATCTATTAAAAATCAATAATTTGGAGCCAGTGCAATTGTGGGGCATGCTAATTCTCCACCTGCAGCACCGGCATTCTGTATGGGTGCTAGTTTGTGTCCCAGCCACTCTACTTGTCATCCAACTCCCTGCTAATGAACCTAGGAAAGCAGTAGAAGATAGCCCAAGTCCTAAGGCTCCTGTATCCACATGCGAGACCAGGAAAATTTCCTGGCTCCCAGGTTTGGATCAGCTCAGTGCTGCCCAGTGCTGCCCATTACAGCCATTTGGGTAGTGAACCAGTGGGTGGAAGATCTCATTTTGTGTCTCCTCTTTTTGTAAAATCTGCCTTTCAGATTAAAAATAAATAAATCATTTTTTAACATCACTAATTAGAAAAATTTGAAATTTTTTTTTGTTTAATACAAATATTCATAGATGTATATAAACAGAGTTTTAAGATGAGTGCTTACACTGGTATTGCTATGTAACTAGAACTATAAACATGTACCATAGGTAGCAGAGCAGGACTATTTAAATTTCATTTCATTAAGACATGCATTATAATTTAAATAGCTATTTAACAATTTGGTGAATATTTTTGCCAGAAAGTTAAGGATTCAGATGATTCTTGTTAGTGTTAAATCTTTGCACTAAGAAGCAGTTAATCTTAGGGCTGGCATTACAGCTCAGCTAGTTAAACTGCTGCCTGTAGTTCCAGAATCCTGTATAGCCACCAATTCAAGTCTCTGATGTTCCACCTCCAATCTGGTTCCCTACTAATGTGCCTGGGAAAGCACTCGGATGAGCCAACTGCCTGGGCTTCTGTACCCACATGGAGACCTGCCTGAGCCTGGTCCAGACCCAGCTGTTATGGCCATTTGGAAAGGAAACAATAGTTAACATCAGCCAAGTGTTGCAGGGAGAAATAAATGCAAAAGGACCTCCAACCTAGCTGAATTACAATTGTGTTAACCTTCTATTAATCAAAAAGAAGTTTTCAAATTATAGCATTTCTATACTCACTGCAGAAATATAGCTAGAATTTTTTTTAGTAATTTCATTATGGGATGTATTTATTTTCATTTACTTGGTACTTAGATAGTTTCACTTTTTGATTACCAAAGAATAGCATCTATGTACATATTCTTTAAAATACTTTCCAAATCTAAGGAAATTGAGTTTCACTGAATTGCTATTATCATCTTCCCAGGAGAATATTGAAGACTTGAAACAAATGAAACAGACTCTGTTTGATACTGAAACTGTAGCCCTTGATGCCAAGAGAGAATCAGCATTTCTCAGAAGTGAAAATCTGGAGCTAAAAGAGAAAATGGTAAATAATTTCTATACTAATTATTACAGTGGGGTTGTAACAATCACTTCATTTTTGTGAATGTGTGTTATTTCTTCCAAAAGGAACAACTTGCAAGTACATGCAAGCAAATGGAAAATGATGTTCAGTTATGTCAAAGCCAATTGGAAGCAAAAAAGAAAATTCAATTTGACCTGGAGAAAGAATTACAATCAGCGTTTAATGAAATATCAAAACTGACATCTCTTATTGATGGCAAAGTTCCAAAAGGTATTTTATAATTTTAGAAATCCCTTTACATAATTTGACTTCCTCTAGAAATGTACCTCCTAATAACTATAATCCAGTGATAAAAATTCCATTATGCTGTTCTTTAGTTACCTAATGTTAGGTTATACTATCATTTCATATCAGTATTTGCATAGATTACCATGTGCATCAAATTTTTAAAAATTTCAGGTAAAGTAGACCTGAGTTTGAAAAAGATAATTTAAGAAATATTAAAATTAGATTACCTGGGGTCCAGCATGGTAACCTAGTGACTAAAGACCTCGACTTGCACACACTGGAATCCAATTTGGACACCGGTTCACCCATATGGGCACTGATTCCTATCCTAGCTGCTCCACTTTCCATGCAGCTCTAGCTCCCAGTGGCCTGGGAACGCAGTTGAGGAGGCCTCAAAGGCTTGGGACCCTGCATCTGTGTGGAAGATCCAGAAGCTTCTGGCTCCTGGCTTTGTACTGGCTCAGCTCCAGCTGTTGCGGCCACTTGGGGAATGAACTGCTCAGCAGACAGAAGATCTTTCTCTCTGTCTGCTTCTCTGTAAATCTGTCTTTCCAATTAAACAAATAAAGCTTTTTTAAAAAAATTAGATTACCTGTTGCTAACACTGACATTTAACGAAACTTTCTAGATTTGCTTTGTAATTTGGAATTGGAAAAAAGAATTACTGATCTCCAGAGAGAACTGAGAAAAGAAGTTGAAGAAAATGAAGCCTTACGAAAAGAAGTTCATTTGCTCTCAGAAAGCAAATCTTCAATCCCTGAAATAGAAATGCTAAGAAAAGAGGTACACTGAGTTTTAACTGATTAACTTATGTTTTGAAATGAACCCCTTGTGACCACAAAAGACATATTTTGTTATAATGTACATTTCAGTAGCAGGCACGGACTCTATATCTGTTCACCTCAATTTGTTACCAGTAAAAATCAGTAAAGTTCTTGCTTGTTCTTTGGCTACTAGATGAAGAAAAAAAAGTTTGGATCTTCAAAAATGTGTTTAATAATACACTTCCTACCATAATCCATGTAGAGCCCATAATGCTAAGATACTGCACTGGAACAGTTGTATGACCTCTTCTTCCCCCTTTGTTTTTTTCCTTATTTGTACTAATCGTATTACTGTAAAAGAAAGTAACAAGATAAAGGGAGTGTCATTAATAAAGTTTCAGAGTCCAGGGTAATCCTGAAGGCTTCTAAATATTACAAACCCCTGGCCTTTCCTTTCTCTCTATTATTCTGAAAGAAAATGGCAGGAATGCAACTGCATCCTCTGTGGAAAATACCATACTGAAGAACCTTGGAAATATAATGGGATTGATAAATTTAACCCTAACAGTTACCAGCCTCCTGACGGTAGTACCGGATCTGCTTCCTAAGCGTGGGATTGGAACCAGCAGGCTCTTAGAACCCTCTGCCCCTTGCGCAGTCGTTAGCCTCCAGTTTCTCTTCTTCTTCAGACATTATCATTCAAAGTGTTTAAATTGTTTCTTAACTGTAACATAAATTATTCATGAATTAAGTTTATAGTGATCTGAATTTCATTGAAATATTTTAAGGGAACAATAACTCAGATTCTAAGACAAATAAAATGCCCTCAACCCAGATGAGTTAGATAGTGGCTTACTATTTTCCATGCAGTGCTTACTACACTCGACGCATTCGTAAACAAAACGTTCAGTCTGAAGTTAAAGAAGCTGAATTAATGCTAAAATGGCGTATGTATATATATATATATACACACATACACATAGACATATACAGACACACAGAGGTGAAGCTTTATACTTTTGTTTAAACTGCTTCAGTAGATCATACACTACTAACATCCCAATTTTTTTTTGTTACCCATAGTTAAATGAGAAATCTGAAGAGATGTGCATAATAGCATCAGAAAAGGACAAATTATTATCTGAAACAGTTCATAAAGAGAATAGAATTCAAGATTTACTTGAAGAAATTGGAAAAACTAAAGATGACCTAGGAACTATTCAGTTGAATTATGAAAGCACTGATAAAGAATTACAAGAGTTCAAGAACCTTCACCTGGAATTTCAGCAAAAGTATGATAAGGTCTTAGAAGAAAATAAGAGATTGAATCAAGAAATTGAAAATCTCTCTGAAGAAGCACAAAAATTTGGTTCAAGTTTAGAAGTTTTGCAGTCTGAGGTTGGTACCAGATCCAATCAAGACAAATATCTGCATACTGTTTTTAATATGTTATACATATCATGTATAACATGTATCTCTGCCATATTTGTATTTATGACAGAATGACTTTATCGCATTTAGTTCTGTTCTTTTATAGCTGTCTCACAAGAGTGAAGAGCTTAACCAGAAAACAACTGAGGGGCGAGAAATATTAAATGAAATGGAACAGCTGAAGGAACAGTTAGAAACCGGAGATTTGAAGCTGCAGACTGCAGAAAGGGAGAAAACTCTGATGGCCGAGAAGCTTCAGCAGAGCTTGGAGGAGATGAGAACATTAAGCCAAGAAAACGATGAGCTAAAGCAACTCCAAGAGAGCCTTCAAACGGAGAGGGACCAACTCAAAATTGACATCCAGGATATGGTGAACATGGTAAGGTTTCAGATTTGTCAAACTTTGGAAAACATTGCAGGACCCAACACCTATTTTTTACAGTCAACTAGTAATTATAAAATTGTTTTCATTATTTTACATTTTAAAGAACATAGATACGCAGGAACAGCTGCGGAATGCCCTTGAGTCATTGAAACAACACCAAGAAACAATTAACACACTAAAAATGAAAGTTTCTGGGGAAGCAGACAGGAATTTGCAGTTGGAGAACATGGTAGAGACAGAAGATGAATTACAGAAAAAGGTAAAGCGTGTTTATTTTCGGAGTTTTCATATTCTTGTATAAATAAAACTTTCTCTTCAAACTCAGACACTTAAATAAACAAGGGTCATCTCAATTTTGTTATTCAGAACAGTCCTAACTAACATTAATTTTACAAGTTTAACTATAATACCTTTAAGATTACTTTGAAAATAAATGCTTATAATCACTTTGGAAAGGAAAGGGCCAAAAAAGTGTTAGCTCAAACTTTGAAGAACTGTTATTTTAGATTTCATTTTTATTGTACATGATACTACTTAATCCAAAATATTGACTGCTAGGGTTTTAAAACATTTTTCAATAGGAAACTAATAAAATAACCCTTGGTACAGCTAGCTTAGAGTACTAAACTTTTTTTTTTTGTAATTTATAAAATACACATACCATAAAATTTACCACCTTAACCATATTTAAGTGTGTAGCTCAATTTTAGGTCTAGTAACGTTGCATGGATGACTTATTGATGCATAAATTAATTTATCTAATACACTTTAATCAAGCAATATATAAAAATATAAATTAGGATGAACTATACTATTATGAAATAGGTTTTTAACAGAATTATTTTTCCCATATACATAAGATTCCATTTTTTCTAAATAAAACTGCCTGACAAAAAAGATTTTTAAGGAATATGAAATAAGGAATGCTTTTAAGCTATTTTCAGGGAGAAAATAGTGTTCAGGATTGCTTGTACCTTATTTAGTAGTAAAACCCAATATACTACTAGTATGAGACTTAGAAAATATGGAGAAAGCAAAGATAATATCTCTTATAATTGGTTTGAAATAATGAACACACCTGAAGATAATTGCTGAGATTTGTAGCTGCAGAGTTAGTTCTTCAAAGTGAATAGGTATAGGACCTAACACAATAACCTAGTGGCTAAAATCTCACCTTGCATCTACCGGGGTCCCATTTGGGCATGGGTTTGTATCTGAGTTGCCCCACTTCCCATCCACCTCCCTGCTTGTGTCTAGCGAAGAACATAGATACACAAGAACAATGCAGAATGCAGGACAACCCAAAGCCCTGGGACCCTGCACCCACGTGGGAGATTCAGAAGACGCTCCTGCCTCCTGGCTTCAGATCGGCTCAGCTCCAGCCATTACAGGCACTTAAGGAGTGAGTCAGCAGACAGATCTTTCTCTGTCTCTCCTTTTCTCTGCGTGCCTAAATAAATAGGTGAGTTGGCACAGGAACATATTTCTGTGCTGCAGCATAGAGTTCAAATCCTGACTGTACCTGTCTCTGACACTGTACCAGTGGCTTTACCTCTCAGTCCATCAGTGTGCTCAGTCTGTCAGACTGGGATATAGCGCCACCTTGTGGGGTAATGATGATTAAATTTATTAAAATAAGTAATCAGTACCATGTGTAACCATATATTTCTATGTGTTGGCTATACTCATTATTAATGTTCTTAGTAACTACTTTAAATCTTTCTTTGCTTATGTTTTAGATGGCTGCCATAGATAAACAGAATTTGCAAGACCAAAAATCTGAAACATTGATTGCAGATTTAATACAGGAGAAAAATGAACTCCAACAAATGTTAGAGAGTATTGCAGCAGAAAAGGAACAGTTGAAGTCAGACCTGAAAGAAAATATTGAAATGGTAAGATTTTTTTTTTTTTAAGATTTGTTTATTTTTTATTACAAAGTCTGATATCAGAGAGGAGGAGGGACAGAGGGAAAGATCTTCCATCCGATGAGTCACTCCCCAAGTGAGCCGCAACGGCCAGTGCTGCGCCAATCCAAAGCCAGGATCCAGGAACTTCTTCCGGGTCTCCCACACGGGTGCAGGATCCCAAAGCTTTGGGCCGTCCTCGACTGCTTTCCCAGGCCACAAGCAGGGAGCTGGATGGGAAGTGGAGCTGCTGGGATTAGAACCGGCGCCCATAAGGGATCCTGGCGCGTTCAAGGTGAGGGCTTTAGTCACTAGGCCATGGCGCCGGGCCCGAAATGGTAGGATTTAGTAATGTGTGTTTCACAATTCATTTGTTTTTTTTACCTTTATCATTTTTTGGTGGTAATTTGCATGCACTAAGTGTATCTGGTGAAAATGTACAATCTGGTGGCTTCTGACAAATGTCTGTACCTGTGTTTTCTCAGCCCCAAAGTACCCTGTGCTGCTACCAGCCACGCCGCATCTCCACCCCAAGTGGAGTTAACACAGTGCATAGCTCTTTGTCTCACCAGTTTCTGCTTTCATGCTGACTGCAGTGTAGCATTGTGTTATAGAAGTTGACCACATGTTTAAACTACTTTTCTGCTTGAGGGAAATGTGGGTTATTTGAGTGATATTTTTGGCATTCTTATACAGTGCTTTTCATTTTTCTAAGATAAATATCTAAATGGAATTGCTGGGCCATACAAGAAGTGTATATTCAGCCTGATAAGAACTTACTGAACTGACCTTCAAATTCTGTTATTTTGCATTCCTCTCAGCAAATTAAGAAAATTTTGTCCACTCTACATTTTCCTTCACAACATTTCTTCTTATCTTTGTTTTTAAATGTGTACATTCTAAGAAATGTATAACTTTACATTTGCCTTCCCTAATGACTAAAGAGGATGAACATTTTTGCTTGTTGACCATCTTATGGCTTCTTTATCTCTTTTCACCATGTACAGAGTTTATTAATTTGGTCCTAAAGATTTCTCTTTTATACTTAACTGCTGTTAAGGTTTTTATTTCATTTTTCATTTGTTTGTTGTTAGTATTGACCTATGTTTTTACTTACTTTAGTATGTTTACCTGTTCAGAGGCAACATAATGTGTGCATGTTGAAATTAGTATTTAGAGAAATTCCCGATAGATCACAGTACTGTATGAAGTCACGTTGTTTCAATTTTCTGTATTTTTTGTTATTTTCTGTGAAGCCTAAAGAATTGGGTGCATAAAGGCAGATAAATAAGCAAGAAAATAATTGTATTCTCTTGTTCTTGTTACCTTTCTATGTCTTGCTGCATGGATTATGCCAAGTCAAGCCAGCAAATGGTCACTGCACTTTTCATCTTGTTGGTGTCTATTAACCAAAACCAAAGGCGTCCTATCTTGTAAAAAACCTATTAGTCTCTTTGGGTTTTGGGAGCAGCAGTGAACTGTGCTCTCATGACAAAATGCTAAATCTAATTCTAATTTTCCTGATAGAAATATCAATCTAGCTATAAAGAAATGACACAGCACCCCGTGATTAAATTAAGAATGTGCATTTTTGTGTTGCAGGCTGAGATAATTCCTGATTTACCAGACTTCACAAATGTGACCTAGTATTTATCTTAGTTTCAACTTGTTTTTGATTCTAGACTATTGAAAACCAGGAGGAGTTAAGAATCCTTGCAGATGAACTGAAAAAGCAACAAGAGATTGTTGCGGAAGAAAAGAACCATACCTTAAAGAAGGAAGAAGAGCTTTCTAGGGCCTGTGTGAGACTGGCAGAAGTCGAAGAAAAATTAAAGGAAAAGGTAAGTTTTCCATTCTTCTTTACCATTTTACCTTACTAAGTTTTCTTAATGATAAATTTTGATATGTGAAAACCAGAATGCAGATATAATACATACATTCCCACATGTATAAACCTTTCTCTCTCTTCCCCATTGTTTTCACATACTATTCTTCTCTGTCATTCTGTGTCCACTCTGTCCTATAACATACTCTTATTACACTAAGAATTCACTCTAATGCATTAGGATTTTTTTCTCATTCCTTACCTGATCACAGTAAGTTCACATGCTGACATTCTGTGGAGACAGGGGTTTTCAAAGGGACGTCATTTAATCCACAAAGTCACTACGCATTTATTTTTAATGCTACTTGCCCACTTATGTTGGGATGATAGGTAGGCCTATGTTAATGATTTGCATAAGAATTTTTGAGATAACATAAAGAAAATAGTAATTGTAAAAATTATAAATCTTAAAGAGTGACCAGCTCCAAGAAAAACAGCAACAACTTCTTAGTGTGCAAGAAGAGATGAGTGAGATGCAGAAAAAGATGAGTGAAATGGAGAATTTAAAGAAAGAACTCCAGAATCGAGAATTAAGTTTGGAACATACGGAAACCGAGGGGCCTGTGTTGGCTCAGAAACAGCAAGAAAATTATGAAGATAAGAGCTCTATGACTAACGAAAGAGATGACCAAAAGGAATTACAGGAGACATTTAAAGTAGAAAGAGACCAGCTGAAAGAGTATATTAAAAAAATTGAAGCTGCAGTAAGTTATGCTCTTTTCCTTTACTCATTAAATGTTCCTTTAGAAACAACCGAATAAAAAGAGGGGTGCGGTGTTGGTGCAACACTGTTATAATACTCTTTAAATTTTACTCACTAATTAAGGACCTACAAGCAAAAGAGGAACTAAAAATCGCTCACATGCATATAAAAGAACAGCAAGAAACCATTGATGAACTAAGAAGAAACATTTCTGAGAAGACTGCTCAAATAAAAAATACTCAGGAGGAGTTGGAGAGATCCAGCGCCAAATTACAAGAAAAGGTCTGGGTTTTTTCTTTCTTGTGTACTCTCTCACCTCTCCCTTTCTCCTTTGAACCATTGAAGGAAAAATAACCAGAAAATAGTAGTTAAGTCCTGATTCATTTGATTGATGAGCATTTTTAAGTATTTATATCTATTTTATTTTGGAAGGCAAAGAGACACATGAAAGAGATCTTCCATTCACAGTTCACCCCAAAGGCCTGCGACATCCGAGGCCTGGTCTCACTGAAGGCAGGAGCCTGGCAATCAGTGTGGCTTTCCCACATGAGCAGCAGGGACTTGGTACCCGAGCCGTCGTTTGCTGCCTACCAGGGTGCACTATCAAGGAGCTGAAATTGGAAGTGGAACCAAAACTTGAACCCAAACACTCCAGTGTGAAGTGCAGGTTTCCCAGGTGGTCTCACCAAAATCTGTTGACTGAAGGCCTGGTTCTGAGTTACCAAAGTCTGATGGGAATAAAATGGACAAGATTCATAAAATCCTACCGTATATCTGAAGTGGAAGGAGTAGCTTATAAGCAGTTTTAATTGAGAAAAACATCAGATAATCATAAATGCTCTAGAGGTTAGAGTTGACCATAACCAGACCAACCATGTTAAAGCTATTCTGGGGAGCCCGACGGCGTGGCCTAGCAGCTAAAGTCCTCACCTTGAATGCGCCGGGATCCCATATGGGTGCCAGTTCTAATCCTGGCAGCTCCACTTCCCATCCTGCTCCCTGCTTGTGGCCTGGGAAAGCAGTCAAGGACAGCCCAAAGCTTTGGGACCCTGCACCCACATGGGAGACCTGAGAGAAGTTCCTGGTTCCTGTCTTCAGATCGGCATAGTGCTGGCCATTGCACTCACTTGGGGAGTGAATCATCGGACGGAAGATCTTCCTCTTTGTCTCTCCTCCTCTATGTATATCTGACTTTCCAAAAATAAATAAATAACTCTTTAAAAAAAAAAAAAAGCTACTCTGGGGAACACATTTAACCCAGATGATTTCAGCTCTCCTAACTCCAGTTCTGCTAGTGAAAGCCCAGGGAGGCAGTGTTGGTGGTTCTGTCTTTCCCTGTCTCTATGACTGTCTTTCAAATAAGTAACCTGTAAAAAAATTTTTAAAGTATATGCCAACCATTAAGTTATAAATAAAACACAGTTCTTTCCCCATACAAGGGGAATCTTAAAAAATATCGTCTGGGGTCAGCTTTGCGACACAGCAGGTAAACTGCCTACAATGCCAATATGCCACATGGGTGCCTATGTCACTCCCGGCTGCTCCACTTATGATTCAGCTTGTGCTAATGTGCCAGGAAAAGCAACAGCACACAGCCCAGCTGTCTCGGTCCCTGCCACTCACATGAGTGACCCTGATGAAATTCCAGCTGTTGTTATAGCCCAGCCCAGCCCTAACCATTGCAGTCATTTGGAGAGCGAACCACTTGATGGAAGGTCTCTTTCTCTGTCTCTCTCTCTCTCTCTCTCTGTAACTCAGCTTCTAAAATAAATACTTTAAAAAAGAAAAAAACCTCAATTTGGGATCAACGCTATGGCTTAGTAGGTTAAGCCTGTACATGTGATGTCAGCATCCTACATAGGCACTAATTCGTGTCCTGGCTATTACACTTCCCTTCCCACCCTCTGTCCATGGCCAGAGAAAGCAGCAGAGGATGGCTCAAACCATTGGGCCTCTGCACCCATGTAAGAGACCCAGAAGAAGCTCCTGGCTTCAGATTGGCTCAGTCCTGGCCTTTGCAGCCTATTGGAGAGCAAACCAGCAGATAGACAATTTCTGTCTCTCCTTCTTTTAGTAAATCTCCCTTTCAGATAAAAATAAATAAATCTTTTTTTAAATCCCTCAATTTCAATATGATACATGTAGAAATATACATAGAATTACATGGTAATTTCCCATGGGTATGTTACAAGGTATAATCATGGGAATGAGGATTCTGCATGTGCAGACAGAAAAAATTGACAGATAGCAATGCTTTATTTATTGAACCATGCTGAACTCTGACATTATATAGTCCTAGCATTTGGGAACTAAAAAATAAAAAGCATAAGCTAAGTTAACAGTTAATAAAATGTAAGAACTGGTTGATTTTAAATCTAACCTGTGAAGAAAGCTAAGACAAAATATGACTAACAGAGAAGTCATAAATAAGTAACTTCAGTGAGACCAAAGGAAAATGAAGTACAAGTTTGTGTGATCAAGGTAGGCTGCAAGGGGCAAGCAGGCATTTGTCATAGTGATTGGGACACCCCCTCCACTCTCAGAGTGCAGAGTTTAAGTTCCAACTGAGCTTCTGATCACACCCTCCTGCCAGTGTTCTTTGGGAGGCAGCAGTGAAGGCGCCAGTGCTTGGGTCCCTCCCTGCCACCCACAGCCAGTGACAGACTTGGGTAGAGCTCTCAGCTCCTGGCTTTCCCCATCCCAGCTGCTGTGAGCATTAGGTAAGAGCTGTGCATGGGAAGATCCACTTTCTCTGTCTCCCTCTTTCTCTCTGTGCTTCCTAAAAGTAAACTTTGAAAACCACAACAATTATCTCCAGATAGTAATGTTGGTATTTTCTGAATATTGCTAGATCTCAGGGATTCATGTGGAACAGGAGCCACTCGCTGATGTGAACGAAGTCAGTGTGACTGAGGAAACAGCGCATGAGCTGCAGGTACGCAAAGAACAATTCAAAAGCAAGGAGTCAGCAACACCAGCAGACATAGAAATGGAAAGGCTGACTGAGAAACTTCAAGAAAGTCAGGAGGAGATACTGTCTCTAACCAAGGAAAGAGATAACCTTAAGGTGATAAAAGAAGCACTTCAGCTTGAATGTGACCAACTGAAAGAAGCCATGCAAGAAACTTTAGCTAAGGTAAATTTCCTCCCATTACTTGGCATTTTATTTTTTAAGAATCAAGTCTTTATAGAGGGACATTTGTTTTATTATCAAAGTGTAGTTACCACTTTTAAGTATCAGTCATGAAGAGATCAGAAGCCAAAGAATTGAAAATGCTCATAAATATTGAAACTGTTGATACCAAGAGAAAGACAGCCATTTTCTTAAGCATTCAAACATAAGTTAGAAGACAGTGCTAAATTACAGGAAAGGCAAAAGCCAAAAATGGATTCTTTTCTTTCCGCCTTTAAATCTGCTTCTACAACATCTCATGAGGCACTAGTCTTCCTTATTGCTTCACTCAAAAATGTGGAAACCATCTCCGTTCATACCCTTCTCTCACCTCTTAATTCAGTGACCAGACCATGTTGTGTGTGTGTGTGTGTGTGTGTGTGTGTGTGTGTGTGTGTGTGTGTGTGTGAAAATCCTCCCACTTTCTCTCCCTCCTACCCTCCCATCCTTTCTCCCTCTGTGCATGTGCGTATATATGTGTGTATGTAATCCAACTCACAGCATTGTTTTTTTCTCTAACTGGTCTCTCACATTCATCATGTTCACATTCCTCTAACTTGTTCCACAAGCGAGTCCAAGTGTTGTTCTTAAATTCTTATGCTGTCTTATTAGTATAATTGAAACGAAGACCAGGCTCCTACATAGCTGCTCTCCAGCTTTATTTTAGCTCACACTTCCTGCTCATGAGGCTCTGCACCTCATGCCCCTCACACTCCGGTATCTCTGCCGATGGTTCTGCCAGTTGCTCTTCTGCCTAGCTGGTCATCCAGTCCTCCAGATCACAACGGAAGCCTTCTGTCCCCTGTGAAGCCCTTCCTAAGCACTCACACTGAAGTAGGTTGACACTAGTACTCTGATAAAAATTTTGCATTAAGTCTTGTCTTTTACCCTAACCTGGAAGTCTCAGAAACTCAGAAATCACATTAAGTGTCATTTGCCATTTTGTCTCCAACCACTAAGAACGATGCTGACTCAACAAGCCCTCATTAAAGAGGGTTAAATGCTTAGGTAATGGAAGGGTGGCAGAGGGGGAAGGATTGCTGTGTCCTTCCCTGACAGTTGTAGAAAGGGTCCTGGTTTCTTCTCCTCTAAACTAAAATCTCTCTGGATATCAACTAAATTGTCTTATGATTCACTTAAGCTTCAAGAGACTCAAGACAAGCAAGAAATATCCTTCACTATGAAAGATGATGAGACTAGTAAAATCATGAATGAGATGGAAAAATTGAAGGAAGAATTCAAAATCAAAGATTCAGCACTAGAAAGAATAGAAATGGAAAAACTGGAGTTGTCTGAGAAACTTAAAGAAAGTGAAGATGAAGTGAAGTGTGTGGCCAAGGAGAGAGATGACCTGCAGAGGCTGCAAGAAACTCTTCAGTCAGAAAGGGATCAACTTAGAGAAAATGCACAGGAGATCAGGGCTAAGGTAAGTTTCCATTTGACTTTCTGTAAGTAAATATTCTGAGTGAGAACTTTTGCAAACAGTTACAAAGCTTACAATGTTTCCACACATTTCTTGAAATAAAGCACCTAGAAACAGAAGAGGAACTTAAAGCTGTTCATTGTTGCCTGAAAATAAAGGAGGAAACTATAGATAAGCTGAGAGTGAATCTTTCAGAAAAAGAAACTGAAATCTCACGCATACAAAAAGAATTAGAAACAACCAGTGTTGAATTACAGAAAAAGGTAAGTGAAGATGACAGCACAATAAGGGAGTATCTACAGGGACTGTCTGGGTTATATGCTATGTTTGGCCTAGTGGGTGGGTCGCCAGTTAAGGCCTTCAGGGACTGATGTTATGCTGCAGCACGTTAGGCTTCTGCTTTGTGCACTGGCATCTTATTTGAGCACCAGTTCAATTCCTGGCGGCTCCACTTCTGCACCAGCTCCCTGCTAATCCACAGAAGATAGTGCAAGCTCCTGTTGGAAGTCCTGGATGGAGTTCCAGGTGCCTGGGTTCTGCCTGACCCAGCCATGACCCAGCCATGACCACCATGACCACTGTGAACCAGTGGATGGAAAATCTTTCTGCCTATCTTTCCTCTCTAAATAGGAGTCTGCCTTTCAAATAAATGTTTTATAAAAATAAAATAAGACCTTTATATTCCATCTCAGAGTTCCTGGGTTTCACTCAGCTCCACTCCTGGTGGGAATGACTTAGCTCATTGGGTTCCTACAAACTGCATGAGAGATGCGACCGGGTCCCAGCTCCTGCCTGTGGTCTCCAGCCTGGAGTTCTCACTGGTGTTTGGGGAAGAAACCAGCAAATGAGGAAGCTCTCTCACCCTCTTTCCTCTCTTCTCACTGATTCTCTGCTTCTTAAATAAAGATTGCTGTTTGTGCCCTAACTTTTGTCAGGGATTAACCTGCCTTTTGTTTTTGTTTTTTATCTTAAAAGGGATGTAGGTGTGTGTGTGTTTCTATCCACATTTTTACCTATTTTATCATTTTCAGATCCAGGAGTTTCGTGAGAAATCAGAACAGCTTATTAGTATAGAAGAAATTAGTGAAACTCTAGGAAAAATAAAGGAATTGGAACAATTCAAGGAACTTCTCAAAGCCAAAGAATCAGAGCTGCAAAATACAGAAAGTGAGAAGGTCAAGTTGACTGAGAAACTTCAAGAAAGTCAGGAAGAAGTAAGAATTGTAATTAATGAAAGAGATGAATTGAAAAGGGTGCAGGAGGCCCTTGAAATAGAAAGAGACCAGCTAAAAAATAAGATTAAAGAAATTTCAAATAAAGTAAGTTTTCCTCTTCTATTGCTTTTTGTTTGAGTACAAAAATAGGTGTAAGTTGATCATTAGTTGTATTCACTTATAAGGTTTATTAATTATTACTACAATTATAAAGGAACAGGAAACAAAAATACTAAAAGCTGCTTACATTCATGTCTGATAACCAAATAATATTTCACAGAAATAAAATAGTTTTTACATACTGAATTGTAGACAAAAGTAGATTCAATTTTGTAAAGTTAGAAAATAACGTCTGATTTTTTAGTTTCTTGTGTCATTTATGAAAGAAAAGAATAGACTAAAATGTAAAGATGATTGTCTTTGTTTAGGAATAATTCTTCATTTTGCTAACCAAAGGGAAAAAAAAGCTCTGTGCATATCCTAAATTATTTTCTCAGATCCAGGAACTTGAAGAAAAAGAACAGGGATATATTCAGGTGAAAGATGTCGGTGACTCTCAAGAAAACATGTGTGACACAGAGCACTTGAAAGAGCAACTTGAGACCCAGAAATCAGTTCTGGCAAACGTAGAAATGGAGAACATACAGCTGAATCAGAGACTCCAGGAAAACCTTGAAGAAATGAGATCTGTATCAAAAGAAAGAGATGACCTTAGGGCAGTGAGTGAGACTCTCAGAACCGAAAGAGACCAACTCAAGGAAAACCTAAGGGAAAGTGTAACTAAAGTGAGTTACCATCTTGCCCAGTTCTGGTAGGAGGGTGAAATGCTTCCAGCTTTGGGGAAGGTTGGGCATGATAGGGAAGGAAAGGGAGTGTCAGGTAAGACTTTGCAGATTTTTCAATGAGCTTGTTTTCAACAGACTTTTATAAGTTTATTTGTAACCTAAAAGTCCAGTTGTGACTCCTCATTCTATACATATTTGTGTAGCTTGGCAGAGATATTTATAGAGGGTTATTCATCACAGAAAATTATATTAACCAAATAAAGCAAAGGAAAATTTAGCTATTTCTTAATGGAGAACTTATGGAATACCTCATTTATAACCTGAACAAAGGAAAGAAGTATAGTGCTAATTTTATATGACTTGTTAGGAAATAGGGTTAAGTGGCAGAGTGGTATATCTAGAATGTGTTGATAACTGGAAATAGCTTAGAGAGTAAGGACCAAAATGTCGCAGGAAGACGGCAGAGTGATTCTTATTCCATACATTTCTGTACTGATTGAATTGAATTACTCCCGATGTATTATTTTCCTTTCTCTAATAAAGGACCTGGAAAAACAAGAGGAACTAAAAATGGCACACATGCACCTGAAAGAACACCAAGGAATTGTTGAACAGCTAAGAGGGATTATTTCAGAGAAGAAAGATGAAATAGCAAATTTGCAAATGGACTTTGAAAACTCAAATGCTACCTTAAAAGCTAAGGTATGCTTTGTTTTCTACTTATTTGAGTAATTGAAAGTATGAATTGAGTCATTTGTGTAATAAAATAGAATAGGAATCACCCTAAAATTAAAGACTAGTGAAAAATTACCTTTTCAGTTATTACATACTATTTAGTTTTTGGTCTGTATCTTTCACTATGCTCTCTTGTTACATCGTTACATGAAGTTCGAGGAACTTGAAGAAAAAGAATGTCAACTTATTAAAGCAAAAAATGATCTCCAAGAAAAACTGTATCAAACAGAACAACTGAAGAAGCAATTAGAGTCCCAGAGTTCAATTCTGGAAAGTACAAAAATGGAAAAGTTAAGGTTGTCTGAAAAACTTCATAAACACCTTGAAGAAATAGAATTTGTTACTAAGGAAAATGATGACCTAAAAAGAACAGAGGAAGCACTCAAAATGGAACGAGACCAACTTAGGGAATGCCTGCGAGAGACAGAAGCTGAAGTAAGTTGCTCATGCCCCGTCCTTGCTAGTGAATGTGTTGTTTCCTTAGAGCAGCAGGCCCCGCTTCCGAACAAATGCTGAAACTGCAAGAGTGAAATGATAGAACTTTTCAAATGGATAAATTGCACTGTTTTAAAAATTACTAGGTCTGTAACCAGTGTCTACAGAATTCAGTGATCACAATAAAGAAAACTACATGATGACACTTCAAAAAATTCACAAAAAGTGCATATTATAGTACACAGGGTATGCCTGTGATTCTCAAGGTGGCATGTTCCATAGTTACCATCAAATTAGTAAGCCTTTATCTTTCTGCTCCTAAATAAAGTTATCTTTTAATTCCATTTTCCATGAACTTTCTGAAGTTCTCCACGAGGTTTTCTCATTGTAACTTGTAATTTGCAAGTGGAAAGCAATCTAAATGTTATTCAGAAAGAAACTAGGTAGATATGAGCAGAATGTCAAAGTTCTGTGTATTCTAAACAAATGTAACAATTTGAATACCCTGTTTGGAAGCCAAAGATACGTCTACAAAGAATCGCAAATTATTAAATAGGATTTGTGTAAAATGTTTGCCACAGGAAAGTAGGAATAGAACGTAAGATAAGAAGAAGCGAAGAGAAAAAACTTAGAACAGTATTAGGAGTAAGAAGTAAAGATGTTGTTAGATGTACTAAGAAAATTATTACTTCATTAAAAATATCTATGTTCTTAAAATTCCCTAATAATAAAGGATCTGAGAAAACAAGAGGAACTAAGGATTGTTCATATGGATCTGAAAGACCACCAGGAAACTGTTGATAAACTCCAAGAGATTATTTCTGAGAAGACAAGTGAAATACTAACTATGCAAAGAGATTTAGGAAAGTCAAATGCTAAATTACGCGAAAAGGTACTTTGTGGGGGGTTGTTTGCACATTTGCACGTTTGATTTATTCCCAAAACCTATAGAGATGTAAAATGGCTCAGCCACATTGGGAGCATATCAAGAATACTTGAACTGTACAGTTAAGGATCATGAGAGTAAAATGGGAATCTCGTTGTCTTAATAAAACTATTACTTGTCCTTCCCTAAAAGTTGTCTGTACCCTAACATTATTTTATGATTATCTCAAGGATCAAGAACTTAAAGCAAACGACCATCAGCTGTGTAAATTAAAAGATGGTATCAGTGAACTGCAAAAACAACTGAAGGAGCAAGGCTTAACTCTCAATAAAATTGAAATGGAGAATTTAAGTTTGGCCCAGAAACTTCATGAAAACCTTGAGGAAATGAAATCTGTAATGAAAGAACGAGATAATTTGAAGAGAGTAGAGGAGAGTCTCAGGTTGGAGAGAGACCAACTCAAGGAAAATCTACAGGAAACCATAGCTAGAGTGAGTTTGTGTTTCTCCTTTTCACCCCATAAATCTCCTATTCTTAACGTAAAAAGCTCTGTTCCTTGAATATGTTGCTGAGAAAGTAGATATTATAACCTTTGTGGGAGACAATTTTAACAATATCTATTTTGGGGGAAAGGGGAAGGGAAAGTCAGATTTATAGAGAGAAGATACAGAGAGAAGGATCTTAAGTCCACTGGTTCACTCCGTAAGGGGCCACAATGGCCAGAGCTGAGCCAACCCAACGCGAGGAGCCAGGAGCGTCTTCCAGGTCTCCCACTCGGATGCAGGGTCCCAAAGCTTTGGGTTTTCCCAGGCCACAAGCAGGAAGCGGGCTGGGAAGTGGAGCAGCTGGGATACGAACAGGTGCCCATATGGTATCCCAGCACTTAGAAGGCAAGGACTTTAGCTACTAGGCTACCATGCCAGACCCAACAATATCTTTATAAAATGTATCAGCATGTACATTTGGAACAATTAACTCTAACAGTATATTCACACAAAAATACAACAGTGCTCACTGCAACACAGAGTTGGCAAAAATCTGAAAAAGAGTTCAAATATCCACCAACAAGACAATAAGGAGTTCAACTGCATGTTGAAATGTTAAGCATAGGGCCTGGCAGCATGGCCTAGCAGCTAAAGTCCTCACCTTGAACGCACCAGGATCCCATGTGGGCACCGGTTCTAATCCCGGCAGTTCCACTTCCCATCCAGCTCCCTGCTTGTGGGCTGGGAAAGCAGTCGAGAACAGCCCAAAGCTTTGGGATCCTGTACCCGTGTGGGATACCCAGAGGAAGTTCCTGGATCCTGGCTTTGGATCGGTATAGCATCGGCCATTGCAGTCACTTGGGAAGTGGATCATCGGACAGAAGATCTTTCTCACTGTCTCTCCTCCTCTCTATATATCTGACTTTCCAATGAAAAAATGAATCTTTAAAAAAAAAAAGAAATGTTAAGCATAAGATTGGGCTGGGCACTATGTCCTTGGCAGTAGGAGAGAGGCTAGTGGCACAGATATTCAGAAAGATTTAGATGAGTCAAAAGGTGAATTACAGGAAAAGGTCTGAATTGTTTTGTTGTTCCTTTGGGAGTTAACTGTGTCCAGAATTATTTGTAGAATGAGAAAAGATACAAACGTGTAGGTGTAGGTAGGTACAGCTTGAGCAAACTTACCCAAAATTCTGAAATTTGAAACCTATTGAGCAAGAACATTATGCTGCAAAAGTTAGATTTTCACATCAGGAATGTGTAAGCAATATAATCTGTGGAAATAATCCAAAATCCAGAAATCCACAGCAGCTGAAACATTTTTGGTTCCAAGTATTTCAGATAAGAGATACTCAACCTGTATTTACATAGATATATTACAATCTTATTTTTCTTCCTTGAAAGATTCTGTTTGTATTCTAACTAGTTTTGTAATTATCTCAAGATCCAAGAATTCCAGGAAAAAGAGCTCCAACTTCTTAAAATAAAGGAGGATGTCAGTAAAACTCATGAAAAGGGGAATGAAATGGAACAATTGAAGAAGCAGAATTTATTTGTCCAAAGGGTGAATAAGGATAACTTACATTTCATCAAAAAACCTTATGAAAATCATGAAGAAATCAGAACCATGGCTAAGGAAAGCATTGAGTTGAGGAAGACAAAAGAGTTTCTCAAAATGGAAAGAAACCAATTTGGAGAAATCATAAGAAAAATGATAGCTAGAGTGAGTTCAGAATCTTTGCATATCTAGTAACCAGTTATAACCAGTCTTTGTAGGGAGAACAACATGAGTTGTTTCTGGAAGTTTCTATTATTAATGAATGGTATTGAGAAAACTACTTTTCACACAATATGAGCCAATTTTAAAAAGTCAAAATGTACCTAAGAAAATGTAATTTATTAATTTCTAAGATGTAAAGCCAGATTATTTTCCTTAGTGCTATATTTTAAGCTTTCTTTTAAAGATTTATTTATTTTGAAAGTTACAGAAAGGGAGATCTTCCATCTACTGGTTCACTTTCCAGGTGGGCATCAGAGCCATCTGGACCAGGGCAAAGCCAAGAGCTTCATCCAGGTTTCCCGTTTGGGTGTCAGGCCCAGATACTGAGCCACCTTCCACTGCCTGCATTGCTTTTCCCAGTTTATTACCAGAGAACCAGATCAGAGATGGAGCAGCCATAAAACAAAACAGGGTCACAGCATCTTAGCCAGTAGCTGAACCCACTGCACCACAGCACTGGCTCCGTGTTTTTAGTTTTTTGAAACAAAAAAAATAGCATTATTCTAAATGACAAAATATTTTTCTACCTTTATGTAAGAATTGTAGAGATGAGCTCTTATTGCTGAGATTAAAAGGAAAAAAGTGAAGACATATGAAAAAAAAGTTATCCTGTGATGTGTATTTTTAGATATTTGGAATCATGGCTTGTTTGTTTGTTTGTTTAAGATTTATTTTATATATTCGAAAGACAGAGTTACAAAGAGACAGAGACAGAAATCTTCTAGGGCTGGACCAGAGCAAAGTCTGGTGCCAGGAGCTTCATCAGGTTTCTCACGTAGGTACAGGGCCCCAAGCAGTGGCACCAACTTGCACAACTTCCACAGTCATAGGGAACCGAATCTAAAGCAGAGCAGTCAGGACTCAGACCTGGTACCTGTCTGGGATGTCTGCATTGCCAGCAGCAGCTTAAACTTCTATGCCACAATGCTGACCCAGGAAGGTCAGACAATAACTATATGACATCTGCCCACCCCCCAAAAAAAGGCTTTTCAGTAATAATGTAGAAAACAGTTCTCAATTTGCAATCTCAATGAATTCTCAACCCTTCAGAATCAGGTTTAAATGGGCCTTATTTAAATGTATAAACAGATTTAATTCATTAAATAAGTAATTGTTGAGCAATCATTTTCTAGCTACTATAATGAACAATGTAAGCAAGTTGGAGATAATGTTTTATAATTTTAATCTGAAATACAAACTATAAGCAGTAAATGAATTTCCAAAGCACTGGAAGAGATATATGTAAATGGGGCTTAGAACACTATAAACAGGTATGTTTTGCTGAAATATTTAGTTGATAGCAGTAAGTCTGATGCAGAGATCTGAAGAGCAGAAACCAGGAATAAATTAAAAGTTAGTTAGCAACTCTAAAGAAGAGATCATATCTCTAAATGATATATGCTTCTCTTATTCTCTCCTACCACATCTCCAATGAATTAATTTCACTATCAAAATTTTCTGAGCATTTGAACATTATATTTCTAGTTGCAAATGGGATACTTCGTTTTACTATTGAAACAGTATAATACATAATAAAGTTTTTGGCTACATGTTACATGTGAATATAGTGATAGCTGAAACCCTGTTTATTTCTTGTACCACACAGGACCACACAGACCCAGTAAGACATGGGAAACTGCTAATGGGTGATGAAGAAGAACACTTGACAGAAAACCTGAGAGAAAAATGCATTAGGATAAAAGTAAGTGCCCCTTGCTAAAGCAACAAATGACTGCCAGAACCCTTTCAGAGGCTTCCTGCAGCCTGAAATGGAGTCAGGAATCTCATTCGAATGGACTGTGCTCAGTAATCGTCCAAAAGGTATAATCTAGTTCAGGTATTACATATGTGCATGTTTACATATATGCACAACCAGAACAACGGGAGTCTGTGGTTTTTGGTTTTTTTTTTAATAAAGGTCTCTAGAAAGGTGAGTACGTACCTAAAAGAAGAAAATAAGCCATTCTAATGTGTGAAGGAACAGACACATCCCAGAGAGAGAAACTGGTGTGAGTCCAGTACTCAAGGGATAGAAGTTAAGGAAGGAAGGCAGTGGGAGGCAGGCTGCGGTAACTTCAGAGAACTGTGGTATTGACAGTGAATGAGATGGAGGTCTTTGGAGGTGAGAGGCATGCTCTGCCTTACTTTTTAAGGGGATAACTGACTATTGCATTGCATGAAGTGGAAGCAAAAAAAACCATTGTTCAATGTATTTATTTATTCATTTTGAAGGCAGAGTTACAAAGAGTTAGTTCTTCCATCCTCCGGGTTACTCCCCACATAGTTGTAATGGCCAGAGTCAGACCAATCTGACTCCAGAAGCCAGGAGCTTCCTCTGGGTCTCCCACGTGGATGGCAGAGACCCAAGCACTTGTACCATCTTCTGCTACTTTCTTAGGCATATTAGCAGGAAACTGGACCTAAAGCGGCACACTCAGGCATTGAACCATTGCCAATTTGAGATGCCAGCACCTCAGGCAGCAGATTTACTGACTATGCCACAGTGCTAGTCCCCTGCAAGACCATTTGAAAGATTAATTTCAATGATTCATGCAGAAGCAATGCTGGCTTGGCACACACAGAAAGAGTCCTCCACACTATAAGGTGACTCACCCTAAGACCAAGAAGAGGAATCCCTACCAACGGTCCAGACTAGCCTCTAATTTTTTCTTAAACTGCTGAAAATTGAAGCCGTCTGTTCTATCATTCAGCTCCATGTAGTAAACCTATTATACACAATTGCAGCAGCTTAAACTCACCCTGTTCTTCCACCTGTGCTCTGGCCAGGGTGCCACCTACTTAGCTCCGAGTTAATCTGGCAGATGACTGAGAGTTATTGTATCTGCAGTATGCCAGGTGCTTTTGCTTCTGAGATGGGTTTCATGGCTGTTTTTGCAACCAGTGAAAACAGGCTCAGAGAAAAGTTCAGCACAGCCAGCAAATTGTTAGAATCTGAATTTAGGCCCAAACATAGGTGCAGAAAAAAATTTATTTCCTTTAAGCTGGGAGTCTATATTGATTTCTATATTGCACATACATTATATACCATACTTGATCTCCTAGAAAATTCTGTGCAATTATTATTGAGAAAACAGATCAGTAATTTCCTCAGTCAATTAGTGAAAGAGTCAGATGCTGTATAGGCTAGCTCTGATATAAGGATACAAAATAGCTAGGCAAATAACAGAGATGAAGTCATCAGATATTCAAAATTGACAAATAGGCAGTTTAAGTCTTGTTCCTAATTTCATTGGTTTACTCTCACCACATTCTGTAAACGTAACCAGCATTCGGCGTTAAGGTACGACACACAGCGGAGTGAATTCAAGCCGATTTCTCCTCAGGCTTGATTAGTACTCATTCAGATCCCAGATGTTCAAAAGACTAAAACAAAAGGCATCAAAATGACAATGATTGTTTCTGGTTTCCTTTGTTGTATTTGCTTAAACTTTTTAAATTTCCACAATAATTATGTATTCTTTCTATAATTCAATCTCAATATCTTCCCTGTGAAAAACATCATAATTAATTTCTTTTCCACCAAAATTATGTTAAAGTTTCTCCACAGCTCAAGGGTTGGAACTAGCTATTGTTCAATTTGAACGAATGGATTGTAATTTCTTTTAGGAGCTTCTAAAAAGATACTCGGAGATGGAGAATCATTATGAGTGCTTGAATAAAATGTCCTTGGATTTGGAGAAGGAAATTGGAACCCAAAAAGAGCTTTCAATTAGAATAAAAGCAAACTTGGCACTTTCGTATCCACAAGCGAGAGAGATTCAAAAACTTCTTACTGCAAACCAAAGATGTTCCATGGAATTCCACAGAATCATGAAGAAATTTAAGGTAGTTCTTTATTTTAGTAATATACATGTAAACATTGCCATACATTTCAGTTTCAAACATCAGCATTTTTAAGTCCTGCTTTGGAATTGACATATTTGTTATTTAATGTACTTAGTGCCAAGCCAAAGATTGCATAGCTCTGAGAACAGTAGTAACAAGATTCTCTGGACACTTGTACTCATTTGTTCAGCTAAATCTGAGCTCTGCCTAGGGGCTGAGAAACTGTCAAGGCGTTTGGCGAATAGGCACAAGCAACATCTCAAAGATCTCATGACCAATAGATGAGGCAGATGTATAAACATGTAGTAAGTACAGTGGCAAAAGTATTTGTGAGTATGACATGTCATATAAAAAATTGTAGTTGGGTTGGCTCTCATATACCAGAAGTTGTTCATGAAGCCCATAAGCACATGACATTGAACAGCTAAACATGCTTGGCTAAGAAATCTTGATGCATGTAATTATTTTATCAGCCACCCAATAAAGGCAAACAAAGAGAATGTTGAAAATGAATCTGTGGTGTCTACATTGTAAACATTTGTGGTCAACAGTTTAGTTAATGAACAATGGAAAGGAGTTTGTAGAGGAACGAGGAATGCCAAATTATCTGTTGTAGAATATGCATGAGACATTATCTAGTTTAAAAAAAAAAAACCAAAGGAGATGAGGTCTGGAATTCTCATGCTAAGAGGAATAATTCTTACTGGAAGATTAGAGAAATTAGAAACTGCCCTACTTCAAGATCTCTACCTGGCTAAAAAAACTTCTTGTAAATGTGATTAAAATTTTATTTTCTAACTTGATTGTTTTATTTTCTGCAAGTATGTGTTAAGCCATGTTACAAAAATAAAGGAAGAACAACATGAATCCATCAATAGATTTGAAATGGCTTTTATCGATGAAGTGGAAAAGCAAAATGAATTGCTAATTAAAATACAGCACCTTCAACAAGATTATGATGTCCCATCTAAAGAAGTAAGGGTCCTCAGACTGAAGCAGAATCTGGATCAACATATTGAGGTATAGCTTACTTTAAGTAAATCTAATTACGTTTTAAGTTTTTGTTTTGTTTTGTTAAATAGAAGCAAACATTTCCATGGGCTTAAAATCATTTTCATTGACCAGAATAGCAGAATGACAACTAGCCAAACATTAGGACTGCCAGGTATTGGACCCACTGTGCTGCAGAGCCTAAAAACCAGAAAATAACAACATTTAGTTAAATGTTGGAATTGGAAATTCTTGAAACTCCAGTTTAAATTTGCAAATGCTTCTAAAACTGCATCTGCAATTGGGAGTCCAGAAACCTTTTTATTCTAATAATTCCACATAGGATGTCTTGGTCTCACCTCACAATATAAGGCTGGCATCTAATTCCTAACATTGCTATAAGGTCTGCTGCGTAGAACAGAAATCCTTCCTCCAGAAATGCTTTGACAGTTTTAATTCTAATGTAATTCTGTTACATATATATTGCCAAAAATTTATTGTGCTAAGATCTTGAATGACATGTTAAATTAGAATTGTTTCGTAGTTTGCTTTACACTTGATCTTAGCCAAAAGGCCAAGAAGTGATTCCATAATTTACTTTAAAATAAGAAGTAAGAGAATCCAATAGATCATGTCCCCTTTTTTAATATTTGCATGATACTCTGATAGAACTCTCCTAGAATTTAGGCAATTTGATGTTTATTTTTCTCATAGGAAATTCTCAAAGATTTCTCAGAAGGTGGCTTCCAAAGCGTAAAGGCGGAATTCCAACAAATGCTAACTAACAGGAAGGAGATGACTCAGTTTTTAGAAGAGTGGTTGAATACTCACTTTGATGAAAAAAAACTTACAGATGGCATCCAGAAAGAAAATGATAGCATTTGTCAAGTAAATAACTTCTATAATAACAAAATAATTGTAAGTATTGATTATTAATGCTGCCTCATTCTTCCTGTCTACCTTATTCTTCAAAGGGTTTAGGAAGACTTAATTTAAAATCCGTTTGTATGAAAAAAATGTATGCTCTGTGGAATTCAAGAGATTTTGTGACACCTGTTCTCTTCCTTAAGATAATTAAAAGTAGCCTTTTAACCTATTGAGGTATATACTCCACTAAATTTTCTTTCCCTGCCTCGTTGTTTCAGTGGAATCCTGAGCACTTTCCTCACGTAGTCTCAGATGGGTCTAGGTGTAGGGCACAAAGTCATAAAGATGTTATAGATGAGATCAGCAAAACACTTGTAACAGTCAAAATTGCATTCCATAAGAGGTAGGAAGTAAAAGAGGATTGAGGGGCGGACTGTTAGTCCCTGCACAGAAATACAAGGTCCCCAGACTGATTACTAAAAACCAGAGAGCTATTCCTTATAAATATTGAAATTTGGAATGAACTAGGAACTGATAATTAACGAGTTTGATAGCCATGCTATACTGTTAGATATCAATGTTTCATAATTAACCATGAGTTATATAATATCATGAACTTGGACAATTCTTCAGTTCTTCTCTGTGTGCTATGAATATCTCATAAATTAGATTATCATCTTGCAGATTCCTTGCCAGTCCTTATTGTCATCCTCAACATCCAACATCTCAAATTTCAGAAACCGATGCAAAGTTCTCATGCTTTTAAAGAACTGGACTAAGGTGGTCTCATCCTAGTGTGTTCATCTTAATGAATTTGAGCATTGCAGAACTATTTAGGACTAAGTTGTGTTTTCCTGTTCAATAGGCTGTAATAAATGAGTCAACAGAGTTTGAAGAAAGAAGTGCTGCTGTATCGAAAGGGTGGGAACACGACCTGAAATCAATGAAAGAGCAAAATAAAAAGCTGTTTAAAGACTATGAGACCTTGAGGATGTCCATGGTACCTGGTGCACATGTTCCTGCTATGCCAGACATTAAGAATTCTCATGTTACTTCAAGAGCTACACAACTAAGCACAGAGGTATGTGATTTGTCATAGGTGTTTTGTGGTTTGCAGCTTCTTCACAGAGTTCAGAGAAAAGTTGAGTGTATTTAATAACATGTTGATTTATTAACTACATTTTCTTGAGTATCTGTAAAATGAATGAATAAACTATTTTTTCAGCACAAAAAAGGACTTAGTGCAGAACCCAATGAGAACTGTAGTTTATTTCACCAATATAAATATAATGAACCATTAACCATAGATTTAATAATTAATTACCAGTAGAAACTAGATGGTGACTAGTATGCAGTTCTGTTTTGATTTGCTGATCATCACAGAATTTAGCTGGTAAAGATAAAATAGAGAAAAGATGAACCCATCTATCAAATCAATTTAAAGGAGCAGATGAAATTCCATCTTCAGAGACCCAAGAAAATCTCAGACATAATACAATATATACATCAATCAAAATAATAAGATAAGGATGTGGGAATAAACAAATAGAGGAGTTAAATAGAATTTAGAAGTACACGCAATTAAGTGTGGAAATTGAATACAAGAAAATAATAACTTCACGTCAGGGAGCAAATTTGGTTTACTTTGTACGTGATTTGAAACAGACTAGCCCTCTGGATAAAAACTGGTTTTTTTAACAGATTTATTTGTTTACTTATTCAAAAGTTAGTGTTACACAAAGAGAATCTTTCATTCACTGGTTCATTCTTCAAACAGCTGCAAGTGCTGATGCTGGGCAAGTCTGAATCCAGCAACTTTTTCTAGATCTGCCACGTGGGTACAGGTTCCCAAGGACTTGGGCCATCTTAATGTTGCTTTTCCCTAACCATCAAGAGAGAGTTGCACTGGCAGTGGAACACCTGGGGTATGAACTTAATGGGTCGCCTGAATCACAGTAGTTGTTTACCTGCTACAGCACAGTGGTAGCCCCTCAGAGAAAGCTAACTCTTGTGCCACCCATCAGGAAAAAGTAAATTGTAGCTCAAAAAAAAAAGGTAGAGATTTTAGGGTGGATATGACACAGCAGTTAGCACAATGCACAGCATGCCAGCTTTGCTCCCTATTCCAGTTCCCTGCTAATGCACCCCCTAGGAGACGGTAACCACACTGTCATTGAGTTCCTGCTGTTAGTGTGGGAGACCTGGATTTAGTACCCAGGTCTTGGCTTCAGCCCGATTCAACCCCAACTGTTACACCATTTGCAGAGTAACTAGCAAATGAGAATAATTCTCATTCTCTTTGTCATTCAAGTAAATAAAATAAATTTTAACCAGATTTCACATAAAACATTAAAGTATATACATGAATAATTTTATAATCATGAAAACATTCTGATATTTTATCCCAACTTAACTTATATTTGGGGAAAAAACTGGAAATAGCCCAAGTGTTCATTTATAAATTACTGGTTAAATAACTTCATATACCTCATGAAATGAGATGCAGAAACAGAACAATATATGAATCTGAATGTGTTGATAATGGAAAAATCTGTAAAACATATTGTTCAGTAGGTTTTAGAAAAATAGCAGAACTGTGTATGGTATTGTTAACAATTTTTATGAACTGTTTGTCCACATTGATACACATAGAAATATTTGAACGCATATACTTGAAGAGGGTACGTAGTCATTGATTCACAGTCACCTGGAATCCAAAGTAGGAACAAGGAACTGAATTTTTTCCATATATTTATAATTTTTAATTTCAAACCTTACTAAATTGAAGGAAAATATATGTCACATGCATTTCTTTAGAGTCAGTGAACAAGTGTACTTCACGTAGTATTAAAACATAGTTTAAAACATGAGCACTTATTTAGTTTGTTTAACGCCATGCTGACCAGTAAATAATACAGCCACTGCACTTTACATTTACATGAAAGAATATATGAATTGTTTTAAAACTTTTAATCCAAAGATTACCATCTTTCAAATGAAAGAAATAACACATCTACAGGTTGGCTCTTTTCCTATCAGTTTAATCTGTTAAGGATTAAATAATATCATCTGTCTCAGTTATATACTGTGCTTGTCCTTATGATAGATCTAATGAGTGCATACTTTTTTTAATAGAGAATTAAAGAGCTGGAAACTAAACTACATGAAGCTAAAGAAAGTGCTATATATAAAGAAGGCAAAATTGTAAAGATGCAGAAAGAACTTGACATGGCTAATGACATAATAGCAAAACTTCAAGCCAAAGTTAATGAGTCAGATAAATGCCTTGAAGAAACAAAAGGAATGGTTCAAGTACTTCAGGTAACTTAAGCTCATTTTATAAATAGAAGGGTGGGTTTTTTTTTTTTTAAACATTCCTGTTGAGTTTAAAGCATTTGATACTGTTTTTCCCTTTCCCACAACCTGTATCAGAAGTTGAATAATCAAACAATGTTTTAAAAAGTGTTTTAGAAATAAATTGCTGGGACTATAATTTTTCATGCAAAATATTTTTTATCATACTAAAAAAGTAATTTTTAAAGACAGTATTGTTCTGCATAGTTTAAAATGTTTGGGGTATTTTTTTTTCCTAAACCTGCATTTTATTTGACTATATTTACTATTAGATGAATTGCATTTCTTAATGGTTTTTGAGTACTACCTGGTAACCTCTGGGTCAAATGTAAGCTGTTTCCTTTGATTTGCATCTGTTATATCTACTTTCCACCCAGAATGAAAAATTGACAGTTTTATCAGTGGATTATGTTTTCAGTAAAAAAATATTTTCAATAGTTTCAATTTTATGGATGAAATGCAGTTGTTGCGTCACGGTTCCGTTAATGCTCCAGCACCTTCTTGTTTTGTGTTCCTGATTTGCCTTTGTCTACCATTTCATTGTTTTCAACTCTTACTTTTTAAGCTTGTTGCTTTTAAAAATGGTTTCAAGAAATAAAAATCACATGCCTCCAATTACATATTGGCTTAAATACAGTTCAAATATACTCCACATCTAATATCCAGTTATTACTGTACCTCTCCTCTTTTTTATATCTCAAGAGGTTTTTTTTGTTGTTTTTAAGTGTTCTTAAAGTAGGTAACCATTCTTTAAATTTGGGAAAATTGAAACTGCTCTCCTGGTTTTTCTTTGCTGTATTTTTTTAGGATAAAATTGCTTTAGGAGCTAAGCCCTATAAAGAAGAAATTGAAGATCTCAAAACAAAGCTGGTGAAAATTGATCTAGAGAATGTGAAAAATGCCAAGTTATTTGAAAAACAGTATGTCCTTAATTGTGTATGGCTTTATTAGTTTTACTCTAAGCTATTTAAGTTTCTTTGCTTTAAGTTAACTTTCTATATAATTCATGAAAATGTTCTTATTGCTTTAAAAATATACCATGATTTTAAAATTGAGATCAATTCTGGGAAACTATATCTTTGTTTCCTTAATGGCCTGTGATGGAAAATAAATGTTAGAAACTTAACGTCATATATTTAGCAGTTTGACTAAAGTTTCTTTTGGTTCTCAAAATTTCATTTGTTCTTCCTGCTGTATTTTATCTGAAGATTATATTTTATTTCTTTATGGTTTATAGATTCCGAGATCCCACCTCTTATTAATTAGTTTATGTGGAATATTATACATAATTGCATATCTAAAATTCCTTATGGACTAGAATAATAAAAAGAACATTAAATCAGAGTCAAGGAAACTAAATTGAGTATATGTTTCTACTTATTAGTGCATAACCTTAAACAAGCTGTTAATCCCTTATCACCCATGCTCTTTTTCAATAAACTCAAAAGTTTATATTAGATTTGTTAAAATGTTTTCCATCTCCTGAAACTTCATTCTTACTATAAATTTTAAATGACTATTCAATGGTGAATTGTAGGTCTGCCAAGGAATTAGCCCTCCATGAATCCTTGTGCTTTCCAGCCGACTTTTCATTGCTAAGACCTATTGGCTTCAGTATAACCTATACCCATTGGATTCTTGTTTATAAAAAGCAGTTGAATTTAAGAGAGTCAACAGATGCTTACGTAGCATTATATTTCATAGTGCTATGATTAATAAATACCTAAACCAGCAATGCATGAAATGTCTTTCTAGCGGGTAACAGTGATCAGAATTTGGCCCTTGACTATATCTCAGACCAGAACTACAGACAGGATTTACTTTCATGACAATGGAAGGAAATAGAAATTTCATGATCTGGTAATTATACTGTCAAGATTTTTCTAGAAACCTATGGCACCAGCACAGTAATTTAATGAAGCCTGCAAATGTTATTGAGTATCTAATTAATAGCTTTCTGATTTATTAAAATTTTAAAACAACTGGTTTCTCAGCCTTAAGAAAATGGGAATATCCCTGCAAGCAAACAGATTATTTCCATTCAGTGAAATTATATGCCAGAGAATTTGCATATGGGCTCACCCACTCCAACCTAAACAGTTCTGGGCTCCTGACTCCTGGCTCCTGTCTTACCTGGCACAGCCCTGGCAGCTGTGGGCATTTGGGGAGTGAGCAAACATATGGAAGAGCTCTCTTTTTGTTTTTGTCTTTTAAATAAAATGAAAAATAAATTAAAATTTTAAAAGTACTACAATTGCTGGTTTTTTACATCTAATTATTGTTCTTACCAGAGTTAAGTCTTCAAAAGCCACTGTAGAATATCAAAAAGAAGTTATAAGAGCATTGAGAGAAAATCTTAGAAGAAATCAGCAGGAGCAGGATACTTCAAGTAAGTGGAAAATGCACATTTTTTTTTATTTTTTTCTATTTTACTCCTAACTTAACACACACACTTTGAAGACTGCTGCTGGATGTCCTTCATCTGATATGCTTTGCATCAGATTTCAGGATATTTTGGATTTGGGGATATTTGCATCCCAAATTTGAAATGCTCCAAAATCCTAAACTTTTTGAGCATTATGTCGGCACACAAAAATTTCATATTTCAGATTTTGCATTTTTGTAACTGGTATGCTTAACCTAACCAGTATTATACGTGTGATATTCAAGACTAAACCCAAATTAAGTTCTGATCTATTTTTAACATGAATTCTTAGTGATCATGCTTGGTTATATCTTTTTAATTTACTATAGTTGCAGTTACCTGTAATATATTGTAGATTCTTGACTAATACAGATTTTACTTCTGTATTATCAACTGTTTCCATATTACATAAGATATCTTTGTTACCATATAAAAAAACTGTTAAGGTAGAAGTGTCCTTCCCATAGGCCTTTTTTTGTTTTTAAGATTTATTTATTTTTATTGGAAAGGCAGATATACAGAGAGGAGGAAAGACAGGAAGATCTTCCATCCAATGGTTCACTCACCAAGTGGCCAAAACGGCTGGAGCTGAGCCAATCTGAAGCCAGGATCCTCTTCCGGGTTCCACATGGGTGCAGGGTCCCAAAGCCTTGGGCCATCCTCGACTGCTTTCCAAGGCCACAAGCAGGGAGCTGGATGGGAAGTGGACCTGCCGGAATTAGAACCGGCACCCATATGGGATCCCAGCTCATTCAAGGCAAGGAATTTAACCACTACACTGTCGCTATCACACTGGGCCCCATAGGTCTTAACATATTTGTAACTGTATGCAACTAATAACAAGTGATCATTGCTGTGTAGTAAAAGTAAGTAAATGCCAACCAGTACTTAAGGCAACTTGAGTGATAAAATAAGCACTAAAGTAAAAGAGCCACATTTCTAAGCTGACTCCCTTTACTTAAGTGAGATAAAAGATACTTTTTCATATATGCTTGTCATAAGAATCAGGGCAAAATTTGTGTGCAAAAGCACTTTGAAAAATCTAAACAGTAGTAGATAAGGTTTGCTTTATGTTATTGTTCCACTCATTAAAAAAATATTAGGGATAATGTAGCTGAAACTTCACAGGTGTTTTATTCCAGGATAATCTGAGCTTTTATCTGAAAAACATAAGTGTGTGTGAAAATTCAAGCAAGGATTCTTTGTTACTGAAGGATCAGGATAGTTCCACTTAATTTGTAGGTGACTTGAGGCACATTTTCTATCTAAACTCTCAAGAAAATGGACACTGAGGCTCATACCACGTAGCACTCTTTCATGAGTTGCAGGTGATCCAATGGATTATTTCACTTTATAAGCATTTGCCGTTTTTATGCCATTTTGCCTACATTTTACAAGAGTCTTGGGCTACTTAATACACATGGTAAAGATATGTGTACACTAGGATATGCTTAGTGTATTCTAAGGTGTATTTTGCTAAGAACAATGTGTTGAGTACTTACACTGTATGTCATGATGAGCCCCAGGTGAGAGCTAACAAACTGGCCATCGAGAGACACCTGTAATCAGGATAGGTTTTTCTTGCTGCAGTGAGGTGACATATTATGATGAGCCAGATATGCTAGAGACATTTAGAACTGAAGACTGAAGAAGCAGAGAGGACAAGCTAGAAGGCAGAAATAAAAAGTGACTCCTAGGGAAATGGTAGTTGTGGTGTCTACAGTTTTACAGTGATAATTACAGTTAGTAGTATCTCTTTATTTTGAAATCTGGTAATAAATTATCATCCATATTTATGCTTGCCTCCCGCAGTGATATCAGAACATGTTGATCCCCAGCCTTCAAGAAAACCTTTAACCTGTGGCGGTGGCAGTGGCATTGTACAAAGCACAAAAGCACTTATTTTGAAAAGTGAATATATAAGACTAGAAAATGAAATTTCTAAGTTAAAGCAGCAAAATGAGCATCTTATAAAGCAAAAGAATGAATTATTAAGGTATGATTCTTCTGCCAAGGATGCCTAGAACTGCATATGGTGAGAGGGATACACATGTTTTTGTAAGCGTCGGTTTCTTTAAAGAAGCAAAAATATGATATTACCATTCCAAATGTTTACTAGCCATCAACTAAGCCAAGGCAACTGAGCTACAGTGCAAGTCCAGACACACAAGTCAGTGAGGCTATACTCAAAGAAGAACCAATTGAGACCATTTTTTATAGCCTATTTACTTTTATTTTATAAACAAATCTGACAGATTTGTATGTTTTCTACCATCATGGAATATTGAAGTCTTTGTACCAAGAACTCTGCTAAAGATAACTGATATTTTATAGTAGGTGCTATAAAATAAAACAAAGCTGAAAAAAACCTTAAAAATATCATGAAAAGCTTCAGTTATAAAACAGATCTAAATTATTCTACGTGTTGGAGGTAGAGGAATGGTAAAGGAACTAATAACTAAGACTAAATCTTAGGAAAGTGGATTTGGAAAAAAGAGAGAAAGAGAGAGAAGCCATCTGGGCCACAAAAACACCTTTGAGTCAGCAGGAATGACCAGCTGGTGGGCTTGAACGGTGTGCACTGTAGCCCTTGTGTAGACAGGGAGACCAAGTTACTGATCACACAGGCTCTATAGATGGTTCTGAGAAATTTGAGTGGTATCCAAATATAATGGGGGGGCTACCTGCACAAAGGCATTAAGCTGGGACCTGATGAAATTAGGACTTTTTTGCTGTAACATCTTAGGGAAACCCAGTTTAGGAATCTGTTTGGTAGTCCAGGCAAATGAGAATTTCTACATAGATGAAAATGGCACGAGAAAGGGTTAAAGTAGAAAATGGAATTTTAGAGAAAGTTGTAAGATTGTCAGCACACCTGGCAGGAATACAGATTCGGCCTGCATGGCTGCTTCCCTGGTTTCTTTATGGAGGAAGTGAATACATGCTAGTAGTGTTTGCCCTAGACAGCAAGATTGTAACTATTCAGTCTAGAAAGACAGAAGACCAATTATCCAAGTATTACACTAAAGCATCACTAAATAAGCCATTCTACAGGCTACCAATTCTGATATCTTACCTTTAACTTTAAGATTGCATGATCAAAGAAAAAAAAAGATTGCATGATCCCAAATTTTACTTCACTTTTTTTATTTTGGTAGACATTTTCATTTCCTGAACTGCCCACATAGGAAGCATTGGTTTGAAATGTAAAGTGCCAGTATGATAAAGTAGTAAATATGGCATTGTTTCTGTAACATTTTTCCTGTTTTTTTTTCATGTGAATACACTTCAACTGTTGAATCTCCTTTTTTTCCCTTTATATTTAAGCAACAATCATCATCTGTCCAATGAAGTCAAAATTTGGAAGGAAAGAACTCTTAAGAAAGAGGTTTATAAAGAAGTGACTTGTGAAAATTCTCCAAAGTCTCCTAAAGTGATTAGAACAGATTCTAAAAGGAGGCCAAATATCCCTTCCCAATGCAAGGAATGGAACTTACAAGATCCTGTGCCAAAGGAATCACCAAAATCTTGGTTTTTTGATAACCGACCAAAGTCTTTACCTTCACCTCATCCAGCTCGCTATTTTGATAACTCGGGTTTAGGCCTTTGCCCAGGTGAGTAAATGTACTATTTACTTAGAGATAAGATGGTGAGAAGCTGAAATTTACCTTTCATATGTAGCTGTAAGAATCAGGTTTAGACAAAATCAGCTTTAGCTGAGCAAGTTACAGTGCATGGGCTCATTTGCCCAACGTGTTTAAGAAAGTGTTAAAATGTGTAAGACTGGAAATATAATTTTTTACCCATGAAATCTTCATTCTGCCTCCTGAGTCCTTAGCTTTAGCTTGTCCACAGAGATAGAAATCATGTTTCTTGAGAAATAAATATATTACCCTATAAACAAAATAACTTAAAAAAAAAACTTTGCAATTCCATTAGTCAGTATTTTTTCTTGCTTTTTGTTTTGTTTTGTTTTGTTTTGTTTTTTCATAATACAGTTCCTTAGGCTCAGGGATTTCTCTGCCCTCCACTGTCTCCACTGTTTCCCCTATGTAATTACAACAGTATAGTCCTTCAATAACAGTCACAAAGCCCTCATTCTTCTATTTAAGTATATCCTGACATTGTAGGTATAGAGAATAATGTGAAGTTCAGCATTCTAGTGTTAAGCTATATTTAACAGTTTCATTGAGAGTTAATATTTAATTTGGAAGTAATGTGGCATACTGCGATGCATCTCCACCTCATGGTATACTTGCCTCCGTTATACAGATCCTCTAGATAAATAGATGTATATGTATGCTTACCTATACATCAGTTGATGTTGTATTTTGAATGAAGGTTGCCTTATATCAGAGAGGACATATGGTATTTGTCCTTTTTGGACTGCCTTATTTCACTGAGCATGATGGTCTCTAGTTTGGACCATTGTGTTGTAAATGATTGAATGTCGTTCTTTTTAATGGCTGAGTAGTAGTATTCCATGGAGTAGATTATTTATCCATTCGTCTTTTGATGGAGCCAGTATTTCTAAGAACATTTTCAGTTTAAACAACCAGATCATAGAGTCAAATCATATACTACATTCATTCAATCAACAAGATTGTTTGAGCCTCTACTATATGCAAATATCAGACCCTGATGGCATATTGATAAGAAGCAGCAGACATGGTCTTTGCCTTTCTAGAGCTTACAGTCTAATCAGATGGGGTATGGTCTTACATTGAGGTGAAGCTTATCTCATGGCCATTCTGATTTTCACTTTCAGTACAGTATTCAACACTCTACATGAGATGCTTAGCACTATTATAAAATGGGCTTTGCTCAGTATGGTGTCAGTTAGGTGCATTAAATACTTTCAATTTAAAATATTTCCAACTAAAGGTAGATTCATTAGGTCATGAAGGCACAACCCCGCTGTAAGTCAAGGAACATCTGGAGTAGAAAGCAAGAGTCTGTCAGTACAAGAAGATTCCAAAGGGAAGGCTAAAGACAGTCTTCCCTGAGGAAGGGGAGTAAAATCTGAAAAGGTAATGTGTTTGCCTCAAAAACAGAGAAAGGGAGAAGCCCTTTGGGCACCTGGGACCCTGGCAGCCTGCAAGTTGAAGGAACAATGGCCAGGGAAAGAATGGAAAGAGGTGGTCTGTCCTGAGCACAAGGAGTTCAGGCTTGTTGTATAAAATTGATGAGACCAGAGATACGAATCAATGCGTTGTACTTTTGAAAATGAGAGAAGTTTTAGTCATCTTGAAAGCAGATGGAGGAAACCTTTGAAGGATTCTAAGTAATGGCCATTGAACAAAAGTTACAAATTTTGAAAACATCACTTGAGCTGTAAGGTAACTAACAAATACAGCAAGAGTATACAAGCATTGTTTAAAACACAATAGCAGAGACTAGTGAGATAGACTGAGAGAAGCAGGCAGATTTTAGAAATTTGGGAATAAAATAAGCAACACTGAGTAGACCTCATTTTAACAGGTCTAAGGATCCCCTAAATCAGGGCCACTGATAGCAAACATTTCCAAAGAAGCTCTGTATCATTACATTGGTTGTGGCCTTGCCACACAGTTACGAGCCCGGTGTGCATAGGCAGAGCCCCTGGTGACTCTGCCTGTCAGAAATACTCTGTTCTACAACTCTGGAAATCTAAAGTAACAAAATTGTACACAGGGAAAGGCAGCTGCACATTGCCTAGAGCCTGGAGAGGGCTTCACAGAAGCACATGTGAGCTCTAACAGCTCCGGTCTCTGTTCTCAGATGTGCATGGAAATTGCATCAGCGTAGTGATCAGAAGGTGCTCTTAGGGATACAGTAGGACACAAGGGCAAACGTTAGAGCTTTTCTGTTCACTGAGTAGCATTAAACATTTAAGGACCTTCTATTGGATAACACACAGGAAGCTTCTACTGAACACTCCACACACTCAAACACATGCATGCACACAAATTATTTTAGAGCTTAAGAATTAAGAAACCTTTATGGGCACCTTTCAACTTGATCAGACTGTGACTGTGCTGCTGGGGGCACAGGTATTACAGGAATTCATTCAAGTAGAAATAGAGATGTTAAGTTTTTTTTCCAATATATGGATCTTCATGGTACTATTTGTAGTTGAAATGAGTAATGGAGCAAGCTAGAGTACATAAATTTAAAAATCAATCAATTCACAATAAAAAATACTTTCAGTTTGAATTAGTGATAGCAATCTAAAAAGCTTTTAATGTTCATTTTTGCTATTAATTATGAGCGATAATCTAAATTATCTCACCAAATCATAATTCGGAAGATTGTGCTACATTTAGCTTTAGGAATATAAAACTTCAAGAACATGATTTATGTGTACAGCTGAAGTGCTTATTATTAAAGTCTCAGAGGCAGTTTTCCAAAAATAGCTAAATCCATAAAATGTTCATTTTAAGGCCCCCAATAAATGCCTGAAACTGTTCACAGTACCAAACACTAGACAGTGCATATATGCTGTTTTTTCCTATATGTAAATAACTTCTAGTAAGATTTCACCTTTTCACTTAGAAGAGGTACTTTACAGCTTCTCTGGCAATTTGAATTGTCAGCATCACTGTTCTACTGCACTGAAACAAGTGTTATTATAGGAACATAGGCACTGTAATTCCTGGACATAATCTGATGACCTTGACAGACAATGGGTGAGCAAGTGGCAAGTAGCACACGTGACATGAGTACCCTGGACAATAAATAGGCAGAAGGGAACAACACCACACAGTTTGTTCACACTATTTACTACAGGGTGCAATTTAAAACCTATGAATTATCCATGAAATTTGGGCCCAACACATAGTCTAGCGACTGAAGTCCTCACCTTGCACATGCTAGGATCCCATATGGGCGCTGGTTCTAATCCTGGCAGCCCCACTTCATATCCAGCTCCCTGCTTTTGGCCTGGGAGGGTAGTTGAGGACAGCCCAAAGCCTTGGGACCCTGCACCCACATGGGAGACCCGCAAGAGACTCTGGGCTCCTGGCTTGGGATTGGCTCAGCTCCGGCAATTGCGGCCACTTGGGGAATCAAGAGACAGAAGATCTTTCTCTCTCTCTCCTCCTCTTCTGAATATCTGACTTTCCAATAAAAATAAAAAATAATTTTTTTAAAAAATTATTAATAAAATTTTCCTTTTGACATTTTTAGACCACAATTGACTATAGGAAGCAACGTAGGAAGTGTGAGTTTATGTTTGCTTCACTTAGACTCTCAAATAGATGTGTTCCAAATAAACCTTTACTGCGTTCCTCTTCAATGTGTACCAGCATTTTTCTAACAGTTCATTCTCAGAGGATTCAAGTTCTGATGAGGTGACGTACACCTTTTTAACAACCAAACATGATGACTGCATTGCCATTTTTTAATTCCTTGTGTATTTCCTGTAACTTAACATTTTGCTGTTTCCAATCGTGCATGGTTTTTGTGCTTTTTAAATAGAATTAATTTTGGCTGTGGTTTTCTTTCTCAGAGGAACAAACTGTGGAAGCAGAGAATGTGGATCCTCAGCCGGCTCCTTGGCACGCCTCCTCAGAGAAAGACGGGCCCGAGTGCAGAACTCAGTAGTAGAACCCTCTGTGGTCTCGGCGTTTCTTGTGAGGAACTTGAAAAATTATATCACAGTCTAACTTAACCTCAATTTAGTTTTCACTTTGCCACTAGAGTTTGAAGATGAAGGAACACAAAATCAGTGCTTTCCAATAACTAGAGTGGTTATTGCAATACCTTCTCACTCATCAAGATGTTTGCATGTGAGACATTGAAATATTTTATTTATTTATATATTTTTAAATAAAGTTATTGGAAATTTCTCATTCCCTCTATAGAAACATAAACTGTACACATTTTTATTAATATAATTATGCAGATTTAATAAGTGTGAATTATTTCACGTTTTCTATTAAGCCACCCACCCCATTCTCTAAGCATACTTGGTTAATGTCTCAGCTATGCCTGCCCCTAGTCCTGGTTCTCATGCTCACCAGTTGGAGTGGCACCCCATCAGAGAGGTGCCCATTATTTCCTAACAGGGCCCACTCCCACCCCCAGATCTTGGACTCTCCAGGTGGTTGGTTCTACAGTTTCACTTGACAGAATTTGTACCCCTGCCAGCATCAGCCAGCTGATGCTGTGGCAAAGCCCATTCAAACCAAACCCACTCTGACTTACGCATGCGCCAGGAGGAACAGTCAACCCAGCCTGGCTTTTCTCTGATTTACCTCACATGAGGCCAAAGGTGTTGTAGCCCTGCCTGGCCTGGTCTGCCCCTATTCCAACTCACAAGCACCAGTGGGAGTGACGGTCCAGCCAAGGAGCCATATGTAGCACCCCTTCTGGGTTCTCCCCATCCCCTACTCGGTCTCACTTGTGCTGGTTGGGTGTTGTGGCCCAGTCTGGCATGGCCTCCCTCACTTTGGCATTTGCCAGTGGGTGCTGAAGCATATCCTGGTCCTGCCCACCCCCAGTTCCAGCTCATGCTGGTGGGGGCTACAGGATAGCCCAGCCCAAACCAGTCCAGCCAGTTCCAGGTCCAGAGAGTTCCCAGTCCCAGCCCTCATGTGAGCTGCCTTGTGCTGTAACCCAACCTGGCCCAACCCACACACCATTCTGGTGTTCAGATTTGCCAACAGGTGATATAAATTGGCCCAGCCTGGCTTGCCCCAGACCTGAGCCAAAAGTATGCCAGTGGGTATCATTAGCTAGCCTTGTCTGGGCTGCTCCCTTTCTTGGCTCTCGTGTTCACCTGCAGGGGCTTTGTCCCGACAGAGTTCCCCAAGCTCCTCCATCAGAACCCCTCCCGATGCCAGATCTGCACCCTCCTTGGGGTCCATGGGCCAGCTCTACTTAGTCCACCTCCTGTCATTAGTAGCCTTTCCTGACTGACTCTCATCCATTCTGATTTTTACTGTTGGGTGTTTCAGCCAAGCCAAGCCCAGTCCACATCCAGACACAACTCACGTGGCTCAGCAGGGGCAGAGACTTGGTCCAGTTCATCCTATACCCATCCTGGTATCTGACGATCACCAGTGGGTGCTGACATCTAGCCCAGTCTGACACATCCCTGATCCAGTCCACACTTGTACCATGGGACACTGCAGCCATGGCCAGAGAGACGGCAGCCCCCACTCTGGCTCTTACACTTGCCGATGGGAACCCCAACCCAGCCAGCATGTCCCCTTAGCTCCCCAACCAGACCTGTTTCCAGGCATAGATCTTGTGCATACCAGTGGTTGCTCTGACCAGCTTGGCATAGTTCCTTTGTTTGTTTTGTTTTTTGTTTTTTTGTTTTGTTTTGTTCTGGTTTGGTTTGGTTTGTGGAGAGTTAGAAAGATCATAAAACAGTTCAAGGGAAATTGTGTAAAAACTATGAATGGATTTCCAAAATTTTGGCACCAAATTTTTTTATTCATTTTTCCAAATTTATAAAAGACCCCTACATTTTGGTCATTTTATTAAGCCATATTTTCCTTTTTCTTCTGATTTTTTTTTCTCCTGAGTATAATGATTTGATAAAATCACCACCTCTCAGTATTCATGAACTGGTTTCATTCAGGGGTAGACCTTAAGCAGCCTGATAAGAGGCTCCTTAGACCTGAAATCTGAAGCACTGCATCTACTCAGCTTGTGCGTATGACTTCCTGCTTTAGATTTGCTGCTTCTTCAGGAGCTCACACTCATCTCTTTGTAGTATTGTAGATTCTTTACTGCTGCAAAATCAGGCTACTCTACTCTTAATTGTCAGTGGCTTTGGACATACAGAGTATGCCATTCCTTGTCAACTCAAGTCGGGCAGGACAGTAAGATACACACAGGGTGCACTCTTCACCCTGCTTGCTCCCTTCTCAGGAAGAAGAAGCAAGATGAAGAATTTTTTTTAAGATTTATTTATTTTTATTGGAAAGTCTGATATACAAAGAGGAGGAGAGACAGAGAAGATCTTCTGTCTTCTGATTCACTCTCCAAGTGACTGCAACGGCCAGACTGAGCCATTTTGAAGCCAGGAGCTTCTTCCAGGTTTCCCATGTGGGTACAGGGTCCCAAAGCTTTGGATCGTCCTCTACTGCTTTCCCATGCCACAGGCAGGGAGCTGGGTCGGAAGTGGGGCTACTAGAACACGAACCAGTGCCCGTATGGGATCCTGGAGCATGCAAGACAAGGACTTTAGCCACTAGGCTACCACGCTGGGCCCAAGATGGGCACTTTCTTCCAAGTGTAATTATACTGTGATTGTATTGAGCCATGCTTGATGCTTTTCCCAGCACTGCTGGCTCTGCCATGCCACAGGAGCTGCTCCCTCTCCCTTTCTTTCAGCAGCCCCCCAGATATCTAAACTATGCCAGTTCTGTCAGAACTCTTTAAGTTATAGAAAAGAGAAAGCAGTCCCGTGGACAGCCCTCCATACAGCCAGAATGTTGGACACACATGCCACTCTTCCCCTGGCCAGGGAGAGCCCACTGGAAGAGTAATGAGGTGTGATGGCATGGAGGGAGAATGGACAGAACATGTAACAGCTCTTCTTACCCATTTCAGTGAAGCTGTGTCAACTTTACACTCATCTGGTGTGTTACAAGTTCCTAACTGCTTTCTGAAGTCCCCATGAAGGCATTTGAGTCTGTGCAGTGGTGTTAAGTCATTGTAGCTTGTGAAAAGTAAGAGCTGGGATTCCTGGTCCACCATCTTGCTATCTCCCCTCCCCAGAATCTTGTTTAATTATAATGGTCTAAATTTCAACATCATGAATGATTGTGAATAAAGATGATGAAAACCAGTAATGAAAATTAGAAGAGTATTAAAAAGCAATAACATGGTTGGACTACACTGTAATCATCTTTAAGGAGACCAGAAAAGATAGAATATTCTACTACTCACAAGTCATATTGTGCTAGTCAAGGGTTCCAAAAAAACAGACCCAATAAGAAGATAAAGATTTGCAAAGGGGATTTACTAGGAAAGTTGTCTGACACAGTAATGGAATCTAAAAAGGCCAAAAACCATTTGCAAGCTGAGAAATCCTTAATGTGGTTCAGTCCAAAAGCCTCAGAATCAGGAAAGTCAAGAACGTAACTAAGCTCGAGGCCACTAGCCTTGAAAGTCCAGCAGAATCCCGGCATCCTAAGGCCAGAGAACCTGGAGCTTCAGTGTCCATGAGTGGGAGAATGAGTGCCACACCCGCCAGAACCACACCCTCTATCAATGGAAGGTGTCATCCTCACAGACACACCCAGAAACCATGGCTGAATGCCTCTGGATGTACCTTTATCCAGCCAGTTGACACCTGAAATTAACCATCACAGGCATTATATGCAGGGAAGTTTCAAAAGCCTGCTGTTCATTCTGCATCTATTTTGTGCCAGTCATTCTTTCGGACACTGAAAGGAGCTGCCAGTGTGGAATTCAAATTATAAATGGGAGAATAATGGCTCACGCTTTTTATAAAGAGTTGACCACAATCTAAAGGCATGGGAGATGTGGTCTCTAGCCTTAAAGACATTTAATCTGGTGCCAATACAAGGGAGTAAGTGAGGATTCACAGTACTTCACGATTCAGGCTCCTTTAGAAGAAACATTATTGAAGATCACTCAAGAAAACTACAGCAACATTTTTTAAAAGAATTACATATGGCCAACAAACAAAACCTACTCGGTGTCACCAATATCAGCATCAAGGAAATGCAAATCACAACCACAATGAGGTTAGTATCTCACTCCAACTTGAATGGCTTTTTATGTTACTAGGAAGCATAGACGCTGGTTCATGTCCTGGCTGCTCCACTTCCCATCCAGCTCCCTGCCTACGGCCTGGGAAAGCAGTGGAGGACGGCCCAAGTCCTTGAGACCCTGCATCAACATGGATAGCTGGAGGACACTCTTGGCTCCCTGCTTCAAATTAACGCAGCTTGTGGTCATCATGATCATTGTGGGGAGTTGAACCAGAAAGCGGAAGATTGTCTCTCCTATATCTATAACTGCCTTTAAATTAAAAATACAAATAAATCCTTAATAAGAATAGCTATTATCAAAAAGTCAGAAAATAGGGCCCAGTAGAATGGCTCAATTGGTTAATCCTCTCCCTTCAAGCAGCAGAATCGCATATAACCACTGGTTCATATCCCAGCTGCTCCATTTCCCATCCAGCTCCCTGCTTGTGGCCTGGGAAAGTACAGGAGATGGCCCAAAGCCTTGGGACCCTGCACCTGCATGGGAGACCCGGGGGAAGTTCCTAGCTCCTGGCTTTGGATCAGCTCAACTTCAGCCATCGCAGCCACTTACAGAGTGTACCAGCAGACAAATCTTACTGTCTCTATATCTCCTCCCTGTAAATCTGCTTTTCCAATAAAAAGGAAATCTTTATTAAAAAAATAACAAAATAACAAGTGTTGGTGAGGTTATAGAGGAAAAGGAACTTTTATATACTATTAGTGGGAATGCAGATTATCACATTGTTTTGGAAAACAGCATGAATGTTCTTTAATAAAACTAAAAATACATCTACCATTTGACCCAGCTATCCCACTTCTGGGAATATATCCAAAGGAAATGAAGCCAGTATATGCAAAAGACACCTGCACTTCCAAGTTCTTAGCAACTCTGTTTACAATGGCAAAGAAACAGACAACCAAAATGTCAATGGATCAATAAGGAAAATGTGTACATGCATAATTGAGTATTAGCTAGACAGAAAAATGAACTTCTTCCACTTGCATCAAGGTTACTGTGCCGGGCTCCTAGTTCTGTGCTCTTGACTTTGGACTGGCCCAGCCCTGGCTATTGCCAGTAGCTAGAGAGTCAATCAATGGATGGAAGATCTCTTTGACTCTACCCGTCTCTGTCTCTCTGTCTTACAAATAAAACAGGAAAAAATGAGTAAATAAAAATAGTATGCATGTGTATATAAACAACATTTGCCTAGCAAGTGAATGTGGCAAAATGTTATACCTTATTAAATCTGCATATGCTTATTGAACTCTTCTTTGTGCTTGTCTATATAATTTGGAATATTTTTTTAAAAAAGGGAAACAAGAAGTGTTGGATCCAGCCTCTATGAGAAAACTCTCATATTCATACAAGTCTGTTACAAGTCAGAGGAACGATGTTGCTAATAGGGAACTAGGGAGCACATGTTTTCTAGCCATTGTATTAAAGAGATATATTTTTACTGGAAAGCACATTTACAGAGAGAAGGAGAGGCAAAGATCTTCCATCCATTGATTCACTTCTCAAGTAGCTACAATGGCCAGAGCTGAGCCGATCTGAAGCCAGGAGCCAGGAGCCTCCTCCAGGTCTCCCTGGTGGATGCAGGGTCCCAAGGATTTGGGCTGTCCCTTACTGATTTCCCGGGCCACAAGCAGGGAGCTGGATGGGAAATGGAGCTGCCAGGACATGAACCAACACCCATATGAGATCCCGATGCATGCAAGGTGAGGATTTAGACACTGAGCCATCAAGCCAGGCCATTTTCTAGTCATTTTAGCATGAAAGGTGGGAGGAAAGCAGCTGATGTTGACAAACAGCCTTCACAATCACTCTGCTAAAGCAAGAATCCCCAGCCCTGTGCATAGGGCTCACCCCATCTTTTGACCTGCTGGATTCTCTTCAGTCAACCATGGGTCTGGCTGTTATGCTCCTCTCTCACAAGCCTCCACACTATGGCTCCAGCTCCATGTGTCCATGAGGCCACCTCAGTGTAGCCCGTCAGCTAGCATTCTACCACTAAATGGATGCTGGTATAAGGATAAATGGAGCATGATAAAGCAATTGCCCACATAGTGCATTAAGCACAAGAGAGGTTCCAATTTCTTCCCTCAGAACAGTCCAGGTCCATGGCCTGAAGGGCATCCAGAAACTTGAATGACCTGGAATGTTCCTTCTGCTTTGTTGTTCTGTTGTTTCCCACAGTGAGTGTCCAGTTCATCCAACCCTGACTGCCTCAGAACAACACAGTTGAGACACAATTATTCCCACATACCAAGGAAGCTGTAAGGTACTCATCCAGTTCTTGAATACTTATTTATTTAGTGAAAAGGGAAGAAAAAGCAGTGCCAATCTTTCATCTATGAATCACTACCCAAATAAATACCCAACTCCAAGTTTTAACCACTGTCCCGCACCAGGCACCTGCTTTTACACTTTGACCCTTCTAATGAGAGTCAACAGTTTTATCCAGATTCCACTAGGTGGCAGCGTGATTACAAAGTGCATAAATCATCAGAAAACCTTTTTAAAACCCAGAGAAACTGAACCGTAAATCCTGAAGCCAGACCTGAACTACAAATCCCAGGATTCATTATCAAGCACGGGACTTGCTTCTGCACAAAGGTCTCAAGTTCATCACTCCTGCCGGGATCTGGAGGACGCCATCCACTCTTTGCTCTAAAGTAAGATTTCCTAATAGTTTAAAAATGGAACTTTGGACGAGGGAGAGGGGAGGTTTAGTTTTGAGACGTTGCTTGTTCTGTGGATTGCCTACCAGAATCAATCATAGCTAATAAATCAAGATAAAAGTGGGTTGTAAGGAATTTGCAGCTCTGCCATATTTGCAAAAGTTTTAAAAGAAGAATTTTTACAGTATCTGTCCTAAGTGGACACCTTCTTCCTGACCCCTGACTATACAGAGAACTTCTGAATCTGTTCTCTTTGTGTTTCTGCTAATCAAGAGTTGCCATGCTCATGCCAATACTGAGACTCTGGGAGCCAGCGTTCTCTGCTTTCACACTGGGTTTAAGAGTCTCCTTGTTCTCTATTACAGGCCATATTTACCCTCACTTCTCCAAAGAAATCCAGTGGAGTGTGAGGCTGTAGCTTTTCTGATTCTAAGGCATTGGCCCCAACATCTGATCCCAGAACAACAGGGGTGCTGGCTGGGGGTTGGTGCTCAGGGAAAGCAGAAAGTGCTTCAGTGAAGGCTTCTGGGGTGTCATAGGTTCCAGGGGAGAATGTTGAAAAAAACCTTTCCTGGGGCAATGTGCCACCCACTGTAACACCAGTGTTGTAAGGTAGCAACATTTCCAAAAATATACTGAATTTCTCTCTCAACTTTTTCTGTGTTCAAAGTGCAATTTTTATATCTCATTTTGAAAGGAGAAAAAAAAAATACTGTGAGTTCCTTGCGTCCTAGTAGGTCAGGCACTGTAAAACGAGCGTCCTCCCCACCTGGCTTGGCACAGGTGCAGGTAACAGCCAGTTCCTCTAACGTGGTCGTGTTAGTCTGGTCCTCATGAAAGCAGACTCTGAAATGGAGCTGAATGGGCATGGATTTCGAAATGCTGGTGTGAGAGAAAATGAGCAGACTATTAGGCAGGACTGGGTACACTAACAGGAAAGATGGGGGTGTGGCCAAGTTGAGCACAGTCTGGTGAGCTTCCCCAAGACCAACTGGGACCTTGCCAGCCAGCTGAGCCGTGGCTATGCAGCTACATAGCCCCACGACGTGATCACGCTTCTGTGCCATGTACATTCATGCATGGAGGACAATGGCTTCAGTACAGGCTCAGCCACTCAGGCTTGCCACAGCAACACCTGATCTCACAGTCACTACTGCCCCCTCCCTGGTGGCAGGGGTGATGGGGAGTGGGGTCTGTGAGGCAGAACCCAGACCTGGGCCAGCAGGTACCTGGAGACAACTCAGCAGGAGGTCTTCTTTTAGCCCTGCAATCGTAAAGCCCAGATTTGATATCAGAGCTGTGGAAGACCAGGCAAACCACTTCATCTCTTTGAAGTGAGCCCCTGGCGTGACCAGGCACTGTGGCTTGTCACTGAACTGCTTCTCAGATCCACTCATCTCTCCCTGCTCCAGTCAGTGTAGAAGGTTTCGACCGAGGTCATGGAGATGTCAAAGGCAAAAAGGGCCAACTGGAAACAGCAAAATTAAAATGAAAGTTTGGCTCTTGGGAATGGAACTGCATTAGCACAGAAAGGACATGCTGCAATGCATCTGGGGACAAGGCCAGCAGCTGTACTGTTTCGGGTAGCAGTTAAAGCAGAGCAGCTTGATCCCTGCAAGTGATGGAAGGTGGTTCACCAACACCATCCAGCTCCATCCCACTGTCCTTGGCACCACAGCTGCTGTGTTTGCCTAACCCACACACTTGTGTTTACAAATGCTGGGAAACAATGCTCTCCAATTTTTAGCCTCCTTTGCTGTTAGGTTGGCCAGTTCCCACAGATGTGGCCAATGAGATCAAGGCTGACTTTTCTTTGGGCTTGCTGGCTTTTGTGTCATCCTTCATTTTACTCTCTAAGTGGATGCAATGGCCTGCAGCAGAACAAATGCTTTGAGTTTGTGTGTACATTATGGCATACATTAAGGACAGATGGAGCAAGAGCAGGAGCCTGAGTCAGTGAGGACAACCTCATCCGAGAGTCCTTGGGTTCTTCCCCACTCCAGCTCATGGCTGCATTCCTCTAGCTCCGTGATCTATGATCCAAGCATTGGACAAATATCACGTACACATCAAATTTCCCCTGCAGCAGAATTTCTCCATTCTACCTTTTAGAAAACACCTATTGTGTCTGTTAGAGCACTTAAGCATGGTGAAGCTTTCAAAGAGGAGCAGCGGAATTGTGGAGTGGACTGTTCTCAGAGCGAGGGTCCGGAAACCTGTGTTTAGAGCTGCTCCTGTGGTTAATAGGTCCTGTGGTTAATAGGTCATCTATGGTTTCCTCTTCCAGACCTTTTGTTCAATGACTTTCTGAGGCCAAATGGTTCCAAAGGGCAGGAGAGACCACAGACTTCGGCAATACACACTGCAATGCAGGTTCAGCAAAGAGAGGTTGAGAAGCAGCCCCCAACCATTAGGACACAGCCCCAGCCATGTGTGCAGGGGCACTGGGGGGTTAGTGGTGGTGAGGACTTGTTGCCTCCACTCAGAGGCTGTCCTCTCCAGGAAGTGAAGGATCGTCACCTGAGGGCTGAGTGGCCTTTATATACAAAGCTGAGTATCCAGCATTCTTCAAGAGGTCGGGTGGTGGGGACGCTTATTTGAATAGAGGCGCTATCTTCAGTTCCTTAGGGGAACACGTTGAGCTGCCTCCCTAGATGTCACTGCACAGAACCCCCTGACATCTCTGGATGCAATTACAGGTCACGTGATGGGGCGGCTGGATGGAAAAATCATCATCCTGACAGCTGCAGCGCAGGGGATCGGCCGGGCAGCTGCCCTGGTAAGTTACTAGCTTTCGTCGTTTTGTTCCCTTACTCACTTTTGAAGTATTGAATGATGTGGTTCTTTAATTCTGCTCTACTTCTTTTTAAATTGGCTTTTGTGCTTCTGTTGTCTTGAGTTACAAGTTGAAGTCACACCCCGTGAGGCAGACGAAGGCACAGATGCTTCACCTGTCACTGGTGTGGCATCACTCACAGCTCTGATTCTGAGAAACCGATTTCTCTGCCTCAATTTTTTTTTCATGCATTCTGATGTTTTTATTTTCATTTCTTCAAAACAGATTTTTTTCTCATTAAATTTTTTAATGATTCAAGGGGTCATACAATAGTATCATTTCTTCAAGAAGGTTCTTCGTTTTCTGTTTCATTTCTTCAATGGCACGTTAGTCATTTAACAGCAAGTTATTTAACTTCACGATGTTGTAGATTTCTTTCTTCTTGTTTTGTTGCGTTTTGTTAGTCATTTAGGTTCTCTGGATCTCAGCTTTTGCATTTGTGAACTTTTTTTTTTCATTATATTTTGACAATCTTTACATAGTTAATTAGGGTAAAAAGGTTCAAGGGCTACAGGAACATAGGAAAGACCGTTATTTTTTCCATATTGTTTCCTTCATGTTTAAAGGGGGATATTAAGGGAGAAGGCCCACCCAATTTCCCACCCTCCCCAGGTCCCACGTGTAGGGTATGCTCTGAGGTTCTTGCTCAAGTGGTTTTGATTTTTCAACATTTATGAATCTCTGCCAATCTTGCCACTCCAAGCACTATCAGGTCTTTAAAGAATCCACTGATTGACATAATCCATCACAGAGTCTCTTTTTGCCCTGTATTTCGCTGCCAACATATAGCTGCTATGGTTGTTTAACCTGTTCTGTCTTCTGTCTTTTCTTGGTTAGGGTTCTGAGTCCGGCATTTCGATTGGGGAGATCTCCAAAGAAACTTTGTCTGAGGTGTTCTCAAACCAGATTCTTGTATGTGCTAGCAAGTACAGGGCCTGGCACAGTCCATCGCCCTGATAAGCTGGTGGTTGCAATTGCTGGGTTGGTTCTGTTTTCACTCCCAACTTCCACTGGAACCAATGGGTGTTGCAGTCCAGCCTGGTTCTGCCCAGCACATTCTAGGCCCTCGCATAAACAAGTGGGAGCTGCAGCCTAGTTGTAGCAACCCGCAATAACCCCCACCAGGCCCACCCCCTACCCTGGTTAGCCAGTATGTGTAGCAGTAGTCCAGTCTGTCCCACATCTCATTCTACCCCATCCCCTGTCCTAGTTTTATGCCCTCCCGTAGAAGTGATAATCCTAGAGGGAGGAGCCCACTATTTCCCTCCCAGGCCTCTCCCACTCCCAGATTGTGCACTCTCCAGATAGTTCTGTGGTTTGACTTGACAGAACTAGCCCCCAGTGCCAGCTTTTGCCAGCTGATGCTGTGTCTGCCTCAATTTCTTTGCACCATAGAATTCAGTACAGGAGCCTTTCTGAAATTGTGCCCATGCAAATGTAGAACTCCAGATATAAAACAATCAGGTTACTCTGTGTGCTGGTTTATATAGATTTCTCCCAAAGTATGCCCCTCCGCTGCATTAACAATGTGCCACAAGTATAATGGTAGAGATGCTTCGACATTTAAGAAAGCTCCACCTACTCCTCAGAGGAAAAGTGTTGAAGTAACCCATTGTTTTCTTATTTAGAATTCAGTCAATTCTCCAGAATTTGATATAAGCAGGCTAGTGGCATTTGGAGAGTTATTAAAACCAGAATTATCGAGGTCAGGATTATATAGCAAGTTAAGTCATTGCTGCTATGCCGAATTCCATATGGACACTGGTTGGTGTCCCAGCTGCTCCACTCCCAACCCAGTTCCTTGCTAATGACCTGGGAAACCAATGGAAGATGGTCCAGGTTCTTGGGCCCCTACACCTACATGTGATACCCAGATGAAATTCCTTGCCTTGGCCTGGCCCAAACCTGGCCACTTTGGCCATTTCACTGTGAACCATTGCATGATCCTGTCTCTCCTGCTCTGACTGTAACTCTGAACAAGCCTTAAGAAAAAACAGGATGATTGTTTTACAAAAAGTCACAATTCTGTTTTATATTATTCGAAGGAGCAAAGTTAAATGGTTAGCAAGATATTTGACAAGTGCTAATTAATGGTAAAATTAATAACAATGAGAACGTATGAGTTGAGATTAGATAGTTTGAAATTCCACCTGTGCCATGGGGCAAACAACAATGAAAACACAGTAAATAGGGGGAACGACCAGATCACTTTCTCTTCAGTCAGGTTCAGTGAAGTAAACACAGGCTTGATGTGTACTTTCTGTCTCCCAGGCTTTTGCAAGAGAAGGTGCCAAAGTCATAGCCACAGATATTAATGAGGCCAAACTCCAGGAGCTGGAAAAGTACCCAGGTAAGCCACGCAGCAGCTTGACCTCGGAAGGCGGCCTCCGCTGGCTGTCGTGAAGCTGGGGTACTGCTTATGGCAGGAACACTTCTTTAGCTGCTCAGTGGCCCCGCTCTGCTTTTTAGCAGCAGTACCTTCTGTGAACCTACAAACAGAAGTCTCTGAACTCAAACATTTAAGAAAAATCTGGAAATGTGTGCCTAATTTTTTTTCAATTTTTCAAAGATTTATTTTTATTTTTATTGGAAAGTCAGATATACAGAGAGGAGAGAGAGAGAAAGATCTTCTGTTTGTTGATTCACTCCCCCAGCAGCTGTAACAGCCGGAGCTGAGCCGATCCAAAGTCAGGAGCCAAGAGCCACTTCTGGGTCTCCCACGTGGATGCAGGCCCCAAAGCTTTGGGCCATCCTCAACTGCCTTCCCAGGCCACAAGCGAGGAGCTGGATGGGAAGTGGGGCTGCCGGGATAGGAACTGACGCCCATGTAGAATCATGGAGTGTGCAAAGTGAGGACTTTATCTACTAGGCTACCGCGCTGGGCTCTTTATATTTTTTTTATGATATCATTCCATAGGTTCAGGGAAGATTTCCCTTCACATGCACCCCTTTCCCTCTTCCCACCCCACTGATTTCCCCTATATTATTACAATAGCATAGTCCTTTAGCAACAGTCACAAGTCCAACATTTTTCTATTTAATTGTATCCTGGCATTGTAATGGTAGAAAACCCTGTATGATCAAGATTTATCCAGCACGTGTAAAGATTTGATTCCAAATATTGTGTTACCTTTTAACAGTTGTGCTTGATTAACAATAACTGTCCCCATGTGTGTAGTACAGTATAGCGTTTCAATATGTGCATGTGATGTGTGCTGGGAACGTGGCAGTCAGCCTTTGCCCACTGGGACTCACACCCTGACTGTGGAGTGCCCTCTTCTGTTTGCTCATGATCCGCGTGGTTAAGCGACGTCTTCATGCCCCACTCCCCCAGGCTGGCACTGTCCTCCAGCAACAGGGTCGGAGCCACACGAGTGATTTCCAATTTTCTTTTTTTATTTTCTTTTTTATAAGTTTTACATATTTGATTAGGGTGCAAAGGGTCAAGGGCTAGAGGAAAGTGGGTGAGACCATTCTTTTCACTTTCCACATTCTCTTTTGTCCTTCCTGTATCTGGGGTAAGGAGAGAGATGAGGGGAGAAGCCACACCCAGCCTCCCAGCCATCCCAGGTCCCAGTGTGCGGCCTGCTCCGAGGGTCCTGCTAAAGGGATTTTGATAGTTCAAAGGTTCTGTATTGCTGCAAATCTCACCACTCCAATTATGACGAAATCTCTCCAGCATCCACTGGCTGACACAGTCAACCTTGGAGTCTGTTTGCCAAGGTATTCACTGCGAAAATTTGGCTGGGGTAGTTAATCAATTTGTTCTGTTTTCTGTCCTCTGTCCTCTGTTATGGTACCAGGTGTCCTCTGCAGGCTCCAGTGTAGTGCCAAATCCTCTGTCTGCATCTGGATATGCTGTCCACTGCTCCATCTAATCCACTGAGGAGGCCCAGCTCTGACACATGCATTCCATGGTCAGACCATGGATCCTGCAATTCTCTCCATGGTTGGAGTTCTGAGTCCAGTGGTTCAGTTGGAGGGGGGGCTCCCCAAGAAACCTTTGTGAGGTGATCTCAGACTTGATTCTTGTGTGTGCATTCCAGTAAAGGGTGAGTGACCCAAATCAGCCTACACACACTGTTGGGTCAGTTCTGTCTCCAGCTCTATCTTCTAAGTAAACTGCTGAGTATAGCAGTCCAGCCTGCTCCTGCCCACCACACACTTGGCCCCCAAGCAAACCAGTTGAAGCTGCAGTCTAGTTGGAGTGACCTGCAATAACCATCACCAGGCCCACACCCTGCCCTAGTTTCTGTGCTTGCCAGCATGAACAGCAGTCTATCCCATAGCCCATTCAACTGTCATACATGTCAATGGGTATTGAAGCCTAATTCAACTCAACCATCCTCACTATTCAGTCCACACTGGTGCCGGTGGGTGCCACTCTCTGTCTAGCCAGACTGGCCTCTGGTCCTGGTTTCCATGTTCACCAGTGGGAGTTGCAGCCCATCAGAGAGATGCCTATTATTTCCCTCATGGGCTCACTCCCACTCCCAGATCTTGCACTTTTCAGGTGGTTCTGCAGTTTAACTTGACAGAGTTTGCCCCACCCACCCCACTGTGTCAGCATCTGCCAGCTACCAGCATCTACCAATAGACCCACACCCACTCTGGCTTATGCATGTACCAGGAGGGGCAATCTGCCCAGCCTGGCTTTCCCCCAATCCAGTTTACATACAAGCCAATAGGTGTTATAGCCCTGCCTAGCCTGGTCTGTCCCCAATCCCATCTCTCATGCTCACCAGTGGGAGTAGTGGCCCAAAAGGGGAGTCCCCCCCCCCGACACACCCACTACCAGGTTCAACCCCTAGCCTGGTTCTGACTTGTGTTGGTTGTATGCCACAGCCCAGTCTGGAATGGCCTGCCTCACTTCGTTATTTGCCAGTGGGTGCTGTAGCCTAGCTCAGACCAGCTTTCTCCCAGTTCCAACTCACGCTTGTGAGGACTACAGCCTAGCCCAGCCCAGCCAGCCCCTAGACCTGGCCCTCATGTGAGCTGGCTGGTATTATGGCCTGACCAGGCATGACCCACATACCATTCAGGCTCTTGGATTTGCCAGCAGGTGACGTTCACTGGCCTGGCCTGGCTTGACCCAGACCTGAGCCAAAAGTATGCTGGTTGATATAATTACCTAGCCTTGTCTGGGTTGCTCCATTTCTTGATTCTTGTGTTCACATGCAGAGACTATATCCCGACAGAGGAATTCCCCAAGCTCCTCCATCAGAACCCCTCCCGATGCCAGATCTGCATCCTCCTTGGAGTCCATGGGCCAGCTCTACTTAGTCCACCTCCTGTCCTAGCAGGAACAGTAGCCTTTCCTGACTGGCTCTCATCCATTCTGGTTCTTATTGTTGGATGCTGCACCCTAGTCAAGCCTAGTCCATACCCAGACACAACTCACACGTGGCTCAGCAGGAGCAGAGACTTGGTCCAATTTATCCTACACCCATCCTGGTTCTCACAATCACCAGTGGGTGCTGAAATCTAGCCCACTCTCCATTCTGGTTCTTATTGTTGGATGCTACACCCTAGCCAAGCCTAGTCCACACCCAGGCACAACTCACATGTGGCTCAGCAGGGGCAGAGACTTGGTCCGATTCATCCTACACCCACCCTGGTTCTCACGATCACCAGTGGGTGCTGAAATCTAGCCCACTCTTGCACACCCAACACGCAGCCATACCCATGCCAAGGGACACTGCAGCCATGTCCAGACTAGATAGCAGCCCCCACCCCAGTCCCTTCACTCCCCAGTGGGAACCCCAACCCAGGCAGGGCTTCCCCTTAGCTCCCCAACCAGGGCTTTTCCCAGCCATAGATCTCATATTTGCCAATTGTTACTCTGACCCAGGATGGCATAGCCCCTCCCCTATCTTAGCCTTTACCTTCAGATGCTGTAGCCTGGCCTAGCCCAGTTGACCCCCAGTCCTAACTCTTGTTGGCCGATGTTGGAACATGGCCCTGCTCAGTCTGCTCCCATTCCCTGGCTTGTGAAAACTGGTATGTGTGATAGCCTAGCCCAATATGACCTGTTCTCCATCCTGGTTTCTACATTTGCCAGTAGGCTAAAGTTTGCTTGACCCTGCCCATTCTGCCCCCTTCCAAAGCCACTCCCACACTTACCAATGGATGGAACTACCTTGCCCAGTTTTCTCAATGCCCATGTCTGGACCAAGTGCTCATCAGTGGGAGCTGTGACCCACTAGCTGAGTTTTCCAAGTTCCCCTACTTGGTCCACTCCCAGGTCCATATCTCACATATTCCAAAAGGTGCTAGGCCTTTAATCAGCATGCCCTGTCCTGTTCATCCCGGCCTTTGTATGGGATGGTCAATGTTGCAGCCCAGCCTGCCCCACACCTTGTTTTAGGGTGCTCATGTGAGTGCTGCAGCCTGAACCTACCCTGCTTGTTCTCAGCCCTGGTACCCATGTGAGTCGGTAGAATTCCATGGTCATGCCTAACTCAGCCCATCACCACCCCAACTCTTAAGCTAGCCAGTGGGACTTATAATTCCATAGGGTTGTACCCAGATATCCCCACAGAATCCAACCCCAAACTGGTTCTCTTGCATGCTGGTTGGTGTCATGGCCCAGTCTAATGTGACCTGTCCCCTGATCCAACACTCACTGACAGGTGCTGGGATCTAGTCCTGCCAGACAGGTCCCCAGCCCTAACTTGCATGTGGGCTGGCATGTGACAGTCAGCAATGTTCCATGCTAACAAGCCCAGCTCAGGTCTCCCAAGTGGGCTGGGGCATCTGTCTGACCCATAAAGGTCTTTCAGTCTCTCCCCTCCCAACTACCAGGCCTCAGCCCCCTCACTTACCTGCAAGTACAGTGGCCTTGTTGTTGGGAGTCCATCAGGAGTCATTTCTCACCTACAAGATATTCCCAGGATGATCCTCACTACCCCGTATTCCCTTGCTCCTTTGCCTAATCAACCCACAATCCTTGTGCCCAGGAGTGCATGGGTTCTCCAGCCCACCCTTCTGAAGCACAGTGAGTGGTAGGTTGGTCCAGTGTTCTGCCACCCACCAGGTTCCCAAGCTCCTGGCACATGTGCTGACCTGGTGCTTTAACCCTCCACATATCCAAAATCTAGGCCCATTGAAATCTCCAGGCCTGGTCCACCAGCATACCAGAGCAGCATGCTGACCTGGGGCTCTCCCCTGTGCTCTTTTCATCTTGCCCAGGACCAACTACATGAGGCAACCCCCAGGTTCACTCCACCTGCCTAGAGGTGAGCTCCCAGGTTTCGACATGCCCATTGGTGCCCTCCCCTGCCCCAAGCCCTCATTCATAGGCCCCACGGGCTCCCCACCACCTCCTCAAGGTTGGAGTGTGCCAGTACATAATTTCTTTTTTTTTTTTTTTAAAGATTTATTTTTATTTTTTTTTTCATTGGAAAGGCTGATATACAGAGAGGAGAGACAGAGAGGAAGATCTTCCATCCGATGATTCACTCCCCAAGTGAGTGCAACGGGCCGATACTATGCCGATCCGAAGCCAGGAGCCTCTTCCGGGTCTCCCACATGGGTGCAGGTTCCCAAAGCTTTGGGCCGTCCTCGACTGCTTTCCCAGGCCACAGGCAGGGAGCTGGAAGGGAAGCGGGGCTGCCGGGATTAGAACCGGCGCCCATATGGGATCCCGGGCGTGCTAGGCGAGGACCTTTAACCACTTGCGCCACCGCGCCGGGCCCGAGTACATAATTTCTAATTTTCTAGTAGCCATTTTTTAATAAGTAGAAGGAAGCCTCAGGAGGGAAGCAAGAAATGGTTAAAATGAGCTCTCAGGAGTTACTGCTGACTTTCTGAGAAACACCTGATGCAGATGGGGCACTTGGTGATAAAGGCAGTACTCAGGAATAATTCCTACTCAATTTAGAAAAAAAGAAAAGGAGGGAGAGGGGTGAGCTTATTATGGGGTTTAGGGCATGGAGCAGCTAACATGGAGCCACTAACAAGGTTTGTACTAGTGGGGTGGCCCCCTGGCAAACTAAGCTGAGCCTCCACATACAACATCAGCATCCTATATGGGGGTCGGTTCAAGTCCCCGCAGCTGCACTTCCAAACTTCTCCTGCTTATGACCTGGGAGGTCTGCAGAAGATGGCTCAAATCCTTATGCCCTTGCCCCCATGTGGGAGACCTGAAGGAATCTCCTGCCTCCCAGATTTGCATCAGCTTAGTCTAGCTGTTTCAGCTAGTTGGGGAGTGAACCAGTGGATGGAGGAGGATCTCTGTCTCTCCTGCCTTCTCTCTCTCTCTCTCTCTCTCTCTCTCTCTCTCTCTCTCTCTCTCGCTCTGCCTTTCCAAATAAATAAAGAAATCTTTCTTAAGAATTCAATGAGATTTTTAAGACCCTAGTAGCAGCAGACAGTTCTTTGAAGCCTACCTAGATAGATGTTAAAGTCTTCACACTTCCTATCTCAACACAGCGCAATTTTCGATGCTAAGCATTTTTTGGGTGGCTGTAGATAAACTATGTCTGTTATTTTTTCAGGTATTCAAACTCGTGTTCTGGATGTCACAAAGAAGAAACAAATTGATCAGTTCGCCAATGAAATTGAGAGAATTGATGTTCTCTTTAATGTTGCTGGGTAATTCAACCCTTTTTCATTTCACTTTCCTGGAAAAAGATTTCTAGAAATGTTATTTAAATTTATGTTGGTAATATGACAGTAAAAATTCATTTTGAACTATGATAAAATTCCTGGGAAATATGGTTAGATTTCACAAAGCACTTTCATGACTCATAAGATTCAACAAATAAGGTAGCCTGAAAGGTGGGCATGGCCTCAGGGCTTAAAGGCAGTGAAAGCCTGCACAACCAGTGTTGTAATGTCTACAAAACTGTCCTGTGTGTTGCAATGTGTGATTAAAGCAGCGAGTTCTGATCCTTTATTGCATAACTAGCCTGCTCATCCTCCTATAAAAATCTATCCAAGTACCTGCAATAGTGAAGTCAGAGTTTGAGCATGTGCTATGTGCTGTGTTGTCAGCAGGGTTGTGGTGGGCAGACACAGCACGGGAGTCCTGCCATCAGGAGGCCGACATTGCAGGGCACTGCACACACAAGTGCTGCGGGGCATGGGCCTCAACCACCGGGAACATTCTGTAATTAACCACATAACTTTGGTTCAAATCACTGAGTCAGTAAAGATTTTGTTGCTTTGCAAGCTTCTTTTAAGAATTGTGGAAGTTCGTGTGTGAGTCATGTTTTATTCTACCTGTTTGTTCTTGTCTGATAGAAGTATACCTGTATACTAGCTATATCATCTTGCTGTCCCAAGATACTGATACGCTTGTTTACCTTGCAATTTTGACTTGAGAATGACACATCTCTGCCACCTGAGGGCACTGTTGTTCTGGAAATAGGAGCTAATTGGGGCACGTGTTCAGTCCTGAGTGATTTGTTGATTGTCTTTGGCAGCTTGGATGTGTTCCATTACAGTTGATGTACACCTTCTTACGTTTGCTGACCCCAAACTCTTGCCTGTTTCTTTTAAAAGAGGGATCTTTTTTTTAACATTGCAAGCATTGCAACTTCGTTTTTTGGATTCTTAACAACCTAATGTATTAAGTGATACTATGTTCAATTGTTTAAAGTTTGAGTAAAAGGAAGAACACAATGGTATAAGCCAATAAGTGACCATAGAAATTAATAGCAAATGGGCTAGAAATTTCTGTAGTGACAGTTTACTCTCCTCTTTAATCACTCTTGCAGTTTTGTCCATCATGGAACTATCTTGGACTGTGAGGAGACAGACTGGGACTTCTCAATGAATCTCAACGTTCGCAGCATGTACCTGATGATCAAGGCATTCCTCCCCAAAGTAAGATGAGTTCAATGTCAGGTCTCCATGCTGGATCTCCCTCCACCCCCAAGAAAGATCCTCCCTGTGCTGATGAGTGATCATAGCTAAGCTAATAGCTGATACCCAGGGATCATCTGCATGAAGGCACTATAAATGAATTCCTTTAACTTGCCAGTTCATCCATTCAAGAAACAGTTATTAAGTGTTTTCTGTTTACCAGGCCCTCCTGGACTTTACTTATAAGGTTAAATTTTCATAGAGATCAGAAAGAAGTGGGGGAGTTAACCTTTCAGGTATCTGGGCAGAGAGTTCCTGGCAGAGGGACCAGCAGGGTACATGGGACCAGAACAGTTCTACGAAGTAGGTGCTGTTTTCATCACATCCACTGTACAGACTAGAACGCAGAAGTCAGGTAACTTGCTGAAGGTCACCTGATGAGCCAGTGGATATTGAACTGAGGTTTGAAGCTGGGAAGGTCAGCCTCTCCATGAATTACAGGGTCTAGGCACACACTCTCCGGACGGGAGTTCCTATTGCCTTTCTCTCTCTGAAGGACCTTCCTTTCCCTCCTGTTTCAAACTGAGCTGTTGGGGTCCTGGACAGGTGAAAGCCAGCGCGTGCTGAAGACAGCATTCCTCCTTGGTCGGCTTCTTTTGAACCCTCCAGCCATCACACAACTCATCCATGTTCTAACTTTATTTTCAAACAAGTGTTAATCACCCCTTGGTAATAAAGCACTGTTTTATATGCTCTAGGAGGAAAATATGGGAAACAAACAGCCCAAACTTCAAGAGAGCTTGTAAGCAGGAATAGCCAGACAGCCTAGGCTGGGGCAATGAAGGAAGAAAGGGGAGAGTGAGAGGAGAAGAGGAATTCATCCTCAGGTCCTGGTTTACCTGTCTCCTGCCCTTGGAAATTGACCTGATTTCAGAGGCTGATCTTTGACCTGTACTCTCTGGCTTGGCAGGCTACTGGAGTTGGTAAATTTCCTCTCTGATGCAGCCTGGAGTTGTAAATTAAATCCCGATGAAATGCAGAAGAGTAGTTTTGTATGGCAATTCCAGATGAATTTGATAGCTGACCATACTAACTGCTATCCAGCTAGGGGCAGAGGAGCGTGCTCAATGGCGCAGCAGGGCTGAATCTAAGCTGTCAGGATCAAAGCCATTGTCAAGGAAGATACAGGTGAACTCTGGCAGGAAAAATTAGAGAAACTGACTTGCAATAATAGTGTTTAGTGCCTACAAGGAATCTGTGGGTGAGCCCACATAGTGCTGAGATAGCAATTTTTTCACCTAGCAAATCGCCTTCTTTTCCTATTGGAGTGTATGAGAAGCCATGTTGTGTGGAAGTCAGAGATGTTCATCACTGGCTGTGGGAATGGAGCAGGGGCTGTGGTGAAAGGGGAAGCTTACTTCACAGTGGGCAAGGCTGTTGCACATGAATGAGACTCATTTGCAAAATGAATCAACTTCCTGTGTGACACACTTGGTAAATACTAGTTAAGGAAGCTGGGTGGGTCATAGTGGAGCTGAAACTTAACCTTGTGTTAAATCTTAAAATACATAAATGCCAACTTGGAAATTAGTTTGCCTGTGACTTAAATCATCTTAGCAATAATCTATGTGAACCAATAAAATTTATTCTTTTTTAAAAAGATATTTAATGACTGGGTGCGATATGGAATTAGCAGACAAAAGATCTTCTTGTTGTGCCCAGATTTTGAAATCCCCAGAAATCACCAGGAGTCTGAAGTCAATCCAAGTGCACAGGGTGATTTATTCAACATCGCATGTCCAAGCCTGGGTTCTTACTTGAGAGCAGGCAGCCGGCAGACCACCGATTGGCTAGCCAGGACCAACACCCCTTACCAGAGTGTGGCCCCTAACAGCACATTCATAGGGTTCTTATAGGGGCAGTCCACAATAGCTTCAGAAGGGGCAATTCACAATAGCCTGCAAGGTGAGGGGAAATACCACACATTCCCTACCTATCTCGGCTGGACAGCCCATGCCTCCAGCAACTAAGGTAAGCACCCACTTAATTACTTGGAGCCACTTGTAAGATAACCAGACCTTAGTTCATAAGAATTGAGGCCAATCAGCTCTAAAGGTCACATAGGTCATTTGGCCTGCAAGCTCACATCGTTTCTTAATGGTTGGGGTTTTGATACTGAAGTTCTTCACTCTCTGTCCCTCCTCCTCTCTGTATCTGCCTTTCCAATAAAAATAAATAAATGTTTTTTAAAATTCTCATTTTAGTAAGGGAATTCTATGTTTTTAGGACACAACCCTAAGTAAATGAGGCTCACCATCATTGCAGCCCATCCTACTTCAGTAATCACCTCCATCACCCACAGATGTTCCTTCAGCCCTAAGCCTCTTGCCAGCCTAGCCTAAACCATCACATCAGCTTCTACTGGTCCCTTCTACATGGTGCCAGGATCATCATCTACACAGACCCGATTCTGAACATGCTGCTTCTCCTCCATTTCCAACCTTTGAGTCCAAGGCGTTGCCTACAGGATAAAACCCAAGTTCCTAAAGTTAGCCCTGTTGGCCTCTATAGCCTCATTTCTCCCACACTCAGGCATGCCACCCACCCCACCTCCTCCATTCTGCTGCTGGATGGAGCCTTTACATGAGCAGCTCTCAAAAAGTTCATGAGAAATGTGCATTAAGCAAAATGAGGCATGAGTTTCAACGTTTTTGCACCAAAGTAAGGTTCTTATTAAAATTATGTTTTTCCATGAACACTTTGAAGTCCTCTTGTGCATGTACTAACATTTCCTTGAAATGCAGTTTTATTTTTCTGAGCAGCATTCTGGTTTTCAAATCTCAGCCCCAGACTTCCTCCTCAGGAGCTTGGCTCGGTGTCCCCTCAGCCTGATAGGTTCTTTCTGCCCTGGATCTCCCTTCGATCTCTCTAACATCACTCAGTGTGGCTGGTCTTGTCATTCAGATGGCCTGTGGTTAGGGAATGTGCTGTTCATCTTCGAATCTCTTAGACCTAGCACAATACCTGGCCACCATAGACATTCAACAACAAATATGTGTTAAATAGAGTCATGGGGCGTGATAATGATTGACATCCATTCACATCCCGTTTTGCTCAGAGTTGATTCTTGGTCTTGCTGCTGCCTTACCCCAGAAAGGCGGTAATCCCGCATGTAGCTCTAACAGTGCATGTACACAGGCCATCCAGGCCCAGCAGTGGGGTGAGATGCCAAAGTTTCACTGTCAAGACCACTTTTTAGTTAATGGGTAATAAGATGATCAGCTCTGTTCTGCAAACCACGGGGAAAATCTTTTGAAGATGTATTTTCAGCCTGGAAGAGTGCAGGGTTTTTTTTGTCTTGTCTTGTTTTGTTGTTGTTTTCTTTTTTCTTCTTCTTTTTTTAAAAATTCGTCTTGTTTCTGGCAGATGCTTGCTCAGAAGTCTGGCAACATTATCAACATGTCCTCGGTGGCTTCCAGCATCAAAGGTAGGTCTATCTCCTTCTGGGAATCATGACACTCATAGGCATTCAGAATTCAGTCTAAAAGGGGGCAGGGTCGAGTCAGGCAAGCACCCACCTTCAAGGTGGTATTATTGAGAATGTGAGAATGGTCACAGGTTCTTGGGAAGTGCTGCCACTGTGTGGAGGAAGTTCCTCTGGACACTGAGAAGTAAGTGGGATGAGCTGCAGGGCAATATGGACATCAGGTGGATTTGTGAAACCAAACAGCAATAGCTGCTGCCGAGATACTGTTCCTTCTCTTACCAGGACACACATGGAGTATTCCTAAGAGGGGAGTGCAAACAAGTGCCTAGGTCTCTTTTATTGTTCATTTTCTTTTGGAATCAGCTTAAGGGTTATGCTGACTGCTGAGAAAAAAAAAAAACAAAACCCACAACCACTGTTAAATAAGTGCAGCATCTCATTACCTAAATCTCAATTAAGCTGTGCCTATGCTATTTGCCTAGTTTTAAAAACAGGCTCTGTTAAGGGAGAAATCTGATCCCACCTTTTTGAAAGGTGAAGTTGTATGACAGTGGCTCCTGGGGAAATGTGCTTGCGTTCTTTTTGGCCCTGACTAGGATCCCTTCCATCACTGTGCCCTCTCTTTGCCCTTAGGAGTTGTGAACAGGTGTGTGTACAGCACAACCAAGGCAGCAGTGATTGGCCTCACCAAGGCTGTGGCTGCAGACTTCATCCAGCAAGGAATCAGGTGCAACTGTGTGTGCCCAGGTGAGCTAGTCCCTGTCAGGCGCTGAGCTTGTCCTTTCTCACATCCTGCTTGCTACTGTGAAAGATATCTACGTAAGTTTGTCTACCACATGCTGTGTTGTATTCCATCACTGGGAGAATTTCAAAGGAGATTCTGGTCTTACGTAAACTAACTGTTCAGTGGTCAGTAGGAATGGAGATCCTGCATCATTAGATTGAGTCACATTTGCAAAGGGTTTAAGTGCTACTCATACATGGGACAATGGAGGATCAACTGGCTGAGAGACAAAACTTGCCAAAACCAGCCATTTTAGAAGCAAACCAGGGGTGACTTTGTGTGGGCAGAGATGTCAGGGAAAAGAATAGACTTTGTACACAGAACAATGGAGAGAACAGAAGAGCCTCCCAGCAAAAAGGGGTTAACTGCTGAAGTTATTTAAATCACCAGGAGTGAAGTGACCCAGAGGTTCAAAAGGAGGCATTAACCTTTCTTCATGTTGTACATGGGGAACAAGCAGACCATGATCCACAGGCCAAATCTGGCACACCACTTGTTAAATAAAGCTTTATTGGAACATATCCACACCTATGAGTATTGACTGTGTATATGTATATGATATGAATGCCCCAAAAAATTGACTGTCTTGATCTTTACCCAACATGTGTTGATTCTCCTATAAAGAAAAGAAGGCAGAACTTTCTTTTTCTTAACAGTTGTGGGATGTCTATTAAATCTATTGAAGTGTCCAAAGGAAGGATCTTCAATGCATTACCCCCTGTTTTATTTAGGATAAAGGGAGAAAAACTCAGATTCTGAAGCCGACATCTCACAGAACCAGAACAGGCTGTAAGAAGTCCAGTCAGCAATGTGACTGGGAAGTATTTATACTTAGAAAATGAAAGTGAAGTATAAAAACAGCCTGGGCTTGGTGCAATGGTTTGATTGGCTAATCCTCCACCTTGCCAGCACTGGGATCCCATATAGGCACCAGATTGTTGTGTCCCAGCTGCTATACTTCCCATCTAGCTCCCTGCTTGTGGCCAGGGAAAGCAGCAGAGGACGGCCCAAAACCCTGGGACCCTGCACCCACATGGGGGACCTGGAAAAAAGCTTCTGGCTCCTGGCTTCGGATTGGTCAGCTATGGCTGTTGCAGCTACCTGGAGGAAGAACCAGTACATGAAAGATCTTTCTCTTTGTCTCTCCTTCTCTATAAATCTGCCTTTCAATAAAAATAAATAAATCCTTTAAAAAAAAAACTTAATTGCTCACAACTCACAGTTGGTCCTATTGAAATAAAAAAAAAATTTGACCATCTGTGATTGGTTGATATTCAGCTAATATAATTGGCCCAAAGTCAGCTGCATGTGTCACAAGTTTTCTATGTTGGGTCTTTAGTTAAGTTGTCGTACTGAGCCAGGCTGCAGTTCATTATGGAAGGACTCAAATGGGGAAGCATCTTCAGGCTGAATTCAGGACAAACAATGTAAATTACCAGTATAACTACCTTTCATCTCATTTCACCAATCCAAGATGGATGCATGATGCTTATTAATAAAGCTTAATGTCTCCTGGAAAGAAATCAAATATTATAAATCTAGAATCAAAGTGTCTGTCATTTGTTCACAGACAATGTTGGGGATTATAGAGGGGGATAAGCTTAAAATTACCTCTGGGTTTTTCCAAACATCAGGGCTTATAAGAATATGGAGGAGTTGATGGAGTGGACAGTGTGTCATTTGCAAAGTCTCACAGGAAGTTACATTGACTCTTATGTTAATAATCACTGACTTAGAGAGGGTAAACTACTAAATATCACTCAAGCTACAGAATTTGAGAGATCAAGATGTTTTGTCTTACTTTTCTTGAAATAGAAATGTAAACACAGATACAGCCGGGGGTTGGGAACCCACAGGCTGCATGAGACACAAAATCATCTGGTCTGGCCCTATCGAGGCGACTGGAACATTTGAAAACTATGTAATGGGCTGTTTTGTAAGTTGCTCATTTTGTATCGTTCATGAATGCTTTTGTTTATTTATATATTTTAAAGATTTTATTTATTTTTATCAAAAAGTCAGATACACAGAGGAGGAGAAACAGAGAAGGAGATCGCCTATCCACTGATTCACTCTCCAGGTGGCAACAACAGCTGGAGCTGAGCCGATCTGAAGCCAGGAGCCAAGGGCCTCTTCTGGTTTTCCCACACGGGGAGGGTGGGAGGGTGCAGAGTCCCAAGGCTTTGGGCCATCCTCGACTGCTTTCCCAAGCCACAAGCAGGGAGCTGGATTAGAACTAGCACCCAGATAGGATCCCATCGCGTTTAAGGCAAGGATTTTAGCCACTAGGCTACCACAACGGGTTCCACAAACGCTTTTACCAAAAAGACCCTTGGCAGAAAAAAAAAAGGATCTCCATTGCTAGAAAGGAGAACACAGGAGAATCACTGAGTTTCCGTTGCACATAGTGATAATTCTTCCATCTGGTGATTCCTGTGTCTGGCTATTCTTGCAGCCATATAGCCAGGGGGATACAGGGCAAAATGATTTGGAAACTTTGGCTCTTTTAGCAGCTGGATATATTCAAAGTTTGGAAAATATGTTATCAGACTTTCTGGAACAAGGAAGTACCTGTGATTCAGCAGTCATAGGAGAAAAGCTGAGGAGTAATGACTGTGGCTGGTGTGGCAATGAATCTCCAGCCAAACGTGGAAACGGGCGCAGCATGCCTTTCCATGTCATGGACACGACAGAGTCAAGTAGTAATAGAGTCCAGTAGCAGGCTTGGCCTGCTCCACAATTTCTACTTAACGGCCATCAGTACCAGCCATATCTAAGATCTTATGCTCATCTAATTCTGTAAGAGGAAGTTGTTAATTCTATTTTTTTTTTAAGTACAGTGAAGGAGAGAGAGGAAGAAAAAAATGGAGAGAGAGAGAGATTTTCCAATCACTGTTTCACTTCCCAAATTTCCACATCAGCCAGGACTAAGCCAGAGCAAAGCCAAGGGCCTGGAACTCCATCCAGGTATCCCACATGGGCAGCAGCACCTCCCGGAGCACACAGCAGCAGGAAACTGGGAGTAAGGCAGAAGCAGGACTTGGACAAGGTACTTAGATACTGGACACAGTTGCACCAAGCCACACCCACCCCCAAAACTGCAAGGATTTTGAAGAGAATGTTTTTGAAAGCTAGTTCTGATGATGTGTTTCTGTTCGTAAAATTTAGGATTTAAATGAGACTGTTGATAAGAAAATTGAATAAAATGTTATTGGAAATTGAGTGAAAGGGGATTTTTATTACATAATTTCAGAAAATTTCTCAGTACATTTGCCCTATTTATGCACAAGTAGAAAATGCTTCTAATGTCCTGTGAGCTCTAGCTACGGAAATTTCGAGCCAAAATGTTATAAATATTGCTTGTTTCTAAAATGGGAGGAGAGAGAACTTGAAGAAAGGGTCCAAAGTAGGAGCCAGGAGTTCAAATTGTAAAGATGCTGAGCCTGCCTGGAAAAATGGGAAATGACACTAATATTAAGAAAGGGATTGGGGAAAGTAAAAAAGAAAAAGAAAGAGAGAGAGAGGAAGGAAGGAAGGAAGGAAGGAAGGAAGGAAGGAAGGAAGGAAGGAAGGAAAGAAGGAAGGAAGGAAGGAAGGAGAGAAGGGGAAGGGAAGGAGGGAGGAATTGGGCATGGGTGTTGTGGTACACCAGGTCAAACTGCCTCCTTGGGTGCCCCAATCCTATATCAGAATACTGGTTCAAGTCCCAGCTACTCCATTTCCAATCCTGTTTACTATTAATGCATCCTAACAAACAATAAACGATGGCAAAAGTGTTTGGCCCTGTGGCACTGACATGGAAACCTGGATAGAGTTCTAGGCTCCTAACTGTGGCCTCACCCAGCTCTAGTCACTATGGACATTTGGGGAATGAGCCAGTGGATAAAAGATATCTTGTTCTTGCTCTTACTCTCATTCCACCTCTCAAGTACATGGAAATAAGTAAACTTTTAAAAGGGGACTTCTGAGCAAAGATTGGGAGCATGGGCTGAAGATGAAGCTGGTGGTATGACTAAAATAATTTGCTACAACCACCCGAGGTCTTTCCCATTCTGAAAAGGCCCCTTCCAAAGAGAATTTATGTAATTTATGAGTTAACAAACATTTCTGGGCAACTCAAAGTGTGAACCAAATAAATTTTTTTTAATTTAATGCCATTCTTTTTTAAAGTGAAATTATTTCAAATTGCATTTTTATTTGAAACTTGAAGCACTAGCTAAAAATAGAAATTGGAAACTAGTGCAAATGGGTAAGATGGTGAGGAAGTGCCCCCAACTCCAGCGACTTCAGGGGCTGTGGAGTTGTCACTGAGGGTCCTCCCATGAACTTGACAGCAAAGATAGTTTTTGAGATCGATGCAGACTAAGTCCCTGCACTGGTAAAGTGCTTGTATTCTTTTACAATTCTCACATTTCAAAGTTGTTGTGAGGATTAGCCAAGACAAGATATGCAAAAATGCTTAAGATTTATAAAGCAGTATGCAAACTCACTGTGACTCAATATGTGTCCTTAAGAGGGCTAGAAGTGTCGGAGTTCCTCCTATTACCAAGAATCACATTCCGTGTTAGATATCAAAGAAGTGTTATTAAAAGTTGTAATTCAATAAGTTTGATCAGGTAGAAATGAACCTGTCATTTTAATATAAAGTGCAAAGAGCTTGTTGGTTGCTACATTGTATGAAAAGGAAGTTTAATAATGCGTTTCGCTTTCAGTTTAAGTAATTAACTAAACTCTATCCATGCTTTGATATAGGAACGGTTGATACTCCATCGCTGCAAGAAAGAATTCAAGCCAGAGAGAACCCTGAAGAGGTATACAAGTTGCAAATGTATTTAAACCTTTTGATTAAAAAAAGAAAATGTCTTCCCAGAACAAATTTACAGAACCAGGATATAGAATGGTGGTTCCAGAGACAGGAAAAATGGTCAACAGAGAGCTACAGTTTAATGAGCACAGAATGTCAGTTTTGTGAGAGAAAAAGTAGCTCTGGAATAGGGTGGTGGCACACTTGTCATTTACTGAACTACACATACAAAATTATTACAGTGATAGATTTTATGTGTGTTTGATCATAATTTCTCAAATTTAAAAAAAAAAAGAATGACCTCTTTTTTTAAAATTCACCTTTGTGATCCATAGGGGTATCTGTGGGTTTCAACACAAGACAAATAGTTTGAGTAGCATCTTTGAATCACTCTAACCCCTGAAATTTCTATTGGTTTAACCCCTTGGGAAGTTACAGATAAGCGCATGTATCACTTCACATCATTGATGTCTGGGGTGATCTCTGGTCACAGGCTCTGCATGATTTCCTGAAGAGGCAAAAGACGGGACGGTTTGCAACTGCAGAAGAAATAGCTCTCCTCTGCGTGTATTTGGCTTCTGATGAAGTAAGTACAGTTCTTCCCTGGGAGTTTGTTGTCCTTACTCACACTTGGCCACTGCCTGCTCATTAGAACAATGCCCTTTTAAAAGTGCATATACTGGACAATAAGACGCTGAACTTTATGCTAGGCATGTGTTTGCAAGCAATGAATCTCAACTGAACTTGAACTATGGTTATGCAACAAGGTGGAGGAATCCACCATGGGGGGAGGGGTATGGGAGGGGTGGGGGGAATTCCCCAGCGCCTATAAAACTGTACTACATAATACAATGTAAGCAACAATAAAAAAAAAAAAAAGTGCATATAGCATCTGTGTTAAGATGCTGCACCACAATATAGGGATAAGTTCTAATTTGATTTACTCAAGGGAGAGGCTACTTTGCTTTGTGCCACTAGTTTTTCTTATTTAACTTCACATGTCAAGGAATCTTAGAGGAGCCAGCATTTGGTACAGCAGTTAAGAATCAAGTTAGGATTAAAAAAAAAAAAAAAAGATGTAGTTAGGGACATGTGAAGCCCTCATCAGAGCACCTGAGTTTAAGTCCTGTTTCAGGTCCCAATCCCAGCTTCTTGCTGCTGTACATCCCATAAGCAGCAGGTGATGGCTCAAGTCATTGGGTCACCATTACCAAGAGGGAGACCCAGAGTCCTTGGCTCCCTGACTCAGCCCCTCCAGGCCCTGGCAATTGAGGGCAGTTGGTAAGTAAACAAATCAGGAGATCACTATCTCTGTCTCCCTCTGCACTTCAGATATAAATTAATTTAGTAATTCATTAATTAAAGAAATCTGTATCAGGGCTGGTGTGAGTCTCAGTGAACTAAGCTGCCACCTGGCAATCCTGGCATCTCATATTGGAGCCCTGGGCTGCTCTGCTGCTGATCTAGTTCCTTATTCATGTGTGTGTGGAAACAGCAGAAGATGGGCCGAGCTCATAGGCCCCTGTCCCTCATGTGGGAGACTTGGGTGGAATTCCAGACTTCTAGTTTTTGTCCTGGATCATGCCTGGCAGTTTCAATCATTCGGAGAGTGAACCATCAGATGTATGATCTCTTTCTCTTTCCTTCTGTATTGCTCTACCTTTCAAAATAAATAACTATCTTTTAAAAATTCTTATAGCAAACAAAATGGAAGACCAAAAAATTAAAATGCTCGATTTTCTGACAGATAACTACAAAAGTTATTGTTGGGGAAATCTTCACTGAATATAAGTCAAACAAATGAATTCAAAGGATTACAAGGACACCAGATAAAATGACAAGAGGGTTAGCCAGACTTTACTGTGGCTGAAAAGTTTGGATTTGACAAGTAGTGTTTTAGTTCTGTGGATAACTTCTTTGGGAGAATTCCACTGGCTCTTTTTTTCCTGTTAACTCTTGTTTATCATCGTGTATGGAAGTTCCTAATTCAATTTTTTTCCACCTTGCATCTGCTTAATTTTTTTCTCTTGCCAAAGATTTAGTTATTTTTGGTGGAAGGGGAAATCCCTGAGTCTAAATGGAATTGTATCATGAAAAATAAAATTGGGGGAAAAAAAGGTTTAGTTATTTTTTATTTGAAAGGCAGATTTTTTTAAATGTTTTTTTTCCATGATACAGTACTGTTGGCTAGAGGGATTTCCCCTTCCACCTTCTCTGTTTCTCCTCCCTCTCACTGTTTTCCCTCCTATTATTACAATACTATATATAGTTCATCAGCAACAGTTACAAGTCATTCTTCCATTTAAGTGTATCATGGCATTGTAGGTATACACAATGATAGAAAGTCCAGCATCTGTCTAAAAGACAGACTTTTACAGAGAGAGGAAAGAGAGAGAATCTTCCATTGGCTGGTTCACAGCCCCAAATGACCACAGTGTCCAAAGCTGAGCTGACCCAATGCTGAGAGCCGGAGCTTCTGCCCAGCCTCCCACATAGGTCCAGAAACCAAGGCCTTAGACCATCCTCCAATGCTTTTCCAGGCTGTAAGCAGAGAGCTGGATCAGAAGTGGAGCAGCCAAGACACAGATGAGTGCCCATATAGGATGACAGCACTTGTAGGCATAGAATTAGCCTGCTACATCACCAAGTTGGCCCCATCACTTCTTTTCTTAATGGCTATTGTGTATTTTTAATTGGTATCCATCTGAGAAAGCAAAAACTACGTTTATGAGGTCAAGAACACAGGAATGTCTTTCTATGTTGTGTCTTTGAATATTACATAAACAGAAAACTAATGGGTGAGAAATGAATAGGAAAGGGGAGAAGGTCAGAGTGGACATAGGTGTTCCTGATGAGTTAGCATCTCTTACAGAACATGGTAAATACCTCATGGTTGCTGAATGTGGCAAATACAGGGTTAAAATGTGTGCATGCCAGAATATTCCTTCTGACTGTTAATACCAATTGTTAACAGCTGGGGAAGGTCTATTAACTACTGATCATGGCTCAATTGGCTAAATTCTAGCCTTGCAAGCGCCCCAGATCCTGTATGGGCAACCAGTTGTGTCCTGGCTGCTTATGGTCTGAGGAAGCACTAGAGGATGGCCCACAACCTTGGAATGCACCCACATAGGAGACCCAGAAACTCCTGGCTCCTGGCTCAGCTCAGCTCAGCTCTGGCTATCACAGCCACTGGGGGAGTAATCAGCATAAAGAAGATTGTTCTCTCTGCCTCTCTACATATCTGACCTGCTTTCCCAAGAAGAATAAATAAATCTTAAAAAAAAATAGCTTGGGGAATGGCTAAACAAATAATCAATGCCAATTGTGTTAGCTTTTGAGTTTCTCTAAATCCAGACCTTCAGAGAAGCTCATTTGACTTGGAGGTGTTCCTGGTAAGAAAATTAACCTTATCTAGCCAGTGCTTAGCTTGCTAAATAGTTGGGAATGCTGTGGCTCCAATGTTTAACCGAAGGAACCTGGGCTGTTTAGAGGGGCCTGGAAGAATCAAGTGACCGGCAAGGGGCTTCCTTTTAAAAGTCCGGGCTGTTGGAGCTGTTTCCTCGGGCTGTAGTCTCCTTGTTCTCTTCCTTTATATCATCATGTTCCTAGTTTAAGCTATTTTTTTAAATATTTTTTTTATTGGAAACAGATACACAGAGAGGAGAAGAGACAGAGAGGAAGATCTTGCATCCACTGATTCACTCTCCAAGTGGCTGCAACGGCCCAGGTTGAGCTAATCCAAAGCCAGGTGCTAGGAACTTCTTCTGGGTCTCCCACGTGGGTGCAGGGTCCCAAGGCTTTGGGCTGTCCTTGACTGCTTTCCCAGGCCACAAGCAGGGAGCTGGTTGGGAAGCAAGGCTGCCAGGATTAGAACTGGCGCCCACATGGGATCCCAGCACATGCAAGGTGAGCACTTTGGCCATTAGGCTAATGCACCAGGCTCCTTAGTTTGAACTTTTAGCATTGCTGTACTCATGCTTTCCCTTCCTGATCTTTCCATTGTTCCAGGGTTTGGAACAATTTAAAACCCAGATTACAAATGTCTCATTTTGAGTGAAAGATGTTTTTAACTTCTACCTCAAGGATCATTTTGGTTTTCAGTTCTTTGGAAAATGAAAACTTGTGAAGATAAACAGTAATTATATAGTAATCCTTTATTTTATATGGCTGGAACTAGAATGAAATCCTTTTATACATTATAATTATTATTCTTCACATAAGCTTTAAAATGCATCTCGTGCCCATCTGTCCCTGTTATGTATTGGTCAAGAAAATATATGATATTTGTGACATTTATTAAATTGTTTGGCTGTCGTGTGGCTGCCTGACTGATACCCTTAGGTCCAGAAATTTATGTGTCCAATAGTTCTGAATCTCTAAATGAATGTGTGCTGCTTGGGCTTGCATTTCATCTTGAATTGAGAATGGCTGTACATTATCTTTCTTAATGTTGTGACTCTGAAAGCAAACCCCTAACAGCAAACCCGAACAGCAAACCCCTAACGGCCCTGTTGAGAGCGTGTTGTGTGTTCAGACGCCAGCCAGAAGCCACTTCGTTCTGGATCACAGTTCAAACTCATGCTCAAAATCATGTTAAATTTAATCTGGATTTTCATAAATACAATTTGTTGTTTTATGAATAAATTGTTGAGCTATCCCAGTCATAGAAAAATTAAAGCAACAGTCCGTTGTCAACCTTCATTAATTGTTGTGTCTCCTTGTGTTTGTCACTGCAGTCTGCCTATGTCACGGGTAACCCTGTTGTCATCGATGGGGGCTGGAGCCTGTGAGAGCTCCCTGCTGAGGAGGCAGGCCCTTCTTACGCACGGTGAGCTTGGCTATGAAGAACACACACACATCAGCTCTCTCCTGTCAACGACATGAGAATCAAAATAAGCCCTTTTTAATAATTTTTTCTAACAGTCTGATGCTTTCAATATATTAATCTCTTTCTAATCCTTTCTGAAATCAATGTAAATTGAGAAAATAAAAAATATTGAGCTCATTGCAGAATACTTGTTTAAATAAACTTTTATTTGTCATTAGTTCTGGTTACTACAGGCAGTTACTATTTACTGGGTGTCTTTTTTTTTTTTTTTAAGATTTGTTTGTATTTATTGGAAGGTCAGATACACAGAGAGAAGAGGGGACATAGAGAAAGATTTTCTGTCCACTGAATCACTCCCCAGGTGGCTGCAATACTGGAGCTGTGCTGATCCAAAGTCAGGAGCCTGTAGCCTTTTCCGGGTCTCCCATTTGGGTGCTGGATACCAAGGCTTGCGGCCGTCCTCAACTGCTTTCCCAGGCCACAAACAGGGAGCTGGATGAGAAACGGCGTGGTCAGGATTAGAATCAGCACCCATATGGGATCCCAGTGCATGCAAGGTGAGGACTTTAACCACTAGGCTGCTGCACCAAACCCCTGACGGGGTGTCTTAAAGAACAACATTTATATCTCACAGTACAGAGACAGGGTGGTAACAGATCAAGGTACCCGCAGAGCCAGGGCCTGGTGCGAGCCTGCATCCTGGGCTGCACATGCACATCTTGTCCTGTACATAGTGAAGGCGATAACAGCTAGCAAGCTTTCTCGTGCCTTCTGAGTACACTAACCCTATCCATGAGCCTTTAGCTCTCATGACCTACTCACCTTCCAAAGACCCCACTTCCCAAATATCATCACAATAAGTAGTAGGACTTCAAAGTATGGATGTGGGCGAGATATAAGCACTCAGTCAGAGGCAAGCATCCCGCCTAGCGGTTAAAATGTTCATTATGTTGCCCGTGTTCCATAACAGAGTTCCTGGGCTCACTCCCTAGCTGGTTCCTGACTCCAGTCTCCTACTAATTTGGATCTAGGAGGCAGCTGCGATGGTTTAAGTCCTTGGATCCTTGCCACCCGCGTGGAAGAGCTGGATGGAGTTCCTCATTGCTGGCTTTGGCTCCCCTAGCCATTGCAGGTACTTGGGAACCCAACCAGCAGATGAAAGTGCTCTCTCTGCCTCTCAAAATGGAAGTGTAAAGATCAGTCCATTGCAGCTTAGTTGATTATGAAGAAAAGAATTTTTTTGAATTTTATTATAAAGACAGGAATATAAATATAAAGACAGGGCTCCCATTTGCTGGCTCAGCACCCAAGTGGTCCCGATGTCCAGATCCAGACCAGAAGAAAACCAGGAACTCAAGGCAGGACTCTCATGTCGGTGGCGGCCCGCCCACTTTCTTGCATGGTCATTGCCATCTGCCAGACTCCACATTAGTGAAAACCGGAGCAAGGTATCAGAGTATTTGTTGAACCCAGGAACGCTGATAGGGGATACCAATATTTTAACAGGCCAAATACCCGCCCCAGACCCTCTCAAAAGCAATATCCTAAGGAAAAATAATTTCTCTCTTTCCATGTTTTAGCACTCAAAGATTTTTATATAATGCTGCATTGTCCTGTGTGTAGATACTAACTTAAAATGTTTCCATCCTCATAAATCAACACTTAAAGGTAGGAAAAATTGTGACCTCAGTAACTTACAATAAAGTGCAGCAAAAGTAATTTAGATTTTTTTAAAAAGATTTATTTGTTTTTATTAGAACAGCAGATTTACAGAGAGGTGGAGAGACAGAAAGATTTTCCTTTTGCTGCTTCACTCCCAAGTGGCTGCAGCAGCCAGAACTGAGCTGACTCAAAGCCAGGAAGTTTCCTCTTGGTCCCAATAATTTATAGATAGATAGATAGATAGATAGATAGATAGACATATATATTGCTTTTACACTTAATGGATGCCATTACTTCTTAATTACTAAAGACTAGGAAACTAAACAATCCTCATTAAATTAAGCAATGAAATTGATGTGGGCTCAAGAAATACATGGTTAACTGATAAGATTGGCAGTTTGAGGATTTTTTTAATGATAGGTACAGATTTCTTATTCCAGGGACTTGTGCTGTGGTATAACGTGATTCTGGAATCCCATATCAGACTAAAATTCAAATCCTACCTGCTCCACTTTCTATCCAGCATTCTTACTGACCATCTGGGAAGGTGGAGATAGATGACCCAACTACTTTGGCACCTGCTATGCTCATAGAAAACTGAATGGCGGTCCAGGTCCCTGGCTTCAGCCTGGCCCAGCTTCAATAGTCCCAACCACTTGGGAAGTGAACAATTGATGGAAGGTGGCTTGCTTGCTTGCTCTCTCATCTTTTCCACCTTTTAAATAAATTTGTTTTATATATACATGTGTGTGTGCTAAAAAGAAAAAGCAAATTCCAGAGAAGACATACAATTTAGAATTTGGAATTTGGGGGCTGGTGCTGTGGCATAGCAGGAAAAGCCTCCTCCTGCGGTACCACCATCCCATTGAGTGCTGATTGGAATCCAGGTTGCCCCACATGTGATCTACCTCGTTGTTAATTGCCTGAGAAAGCAGTAAAAGATGGCCCAAGTTCATGTGACCTTGCACCCATGTGGGAGACTCAGAAGAAGCTCCTGGCTTCTGGTTTTAGACATGCCCAGCTTTGGTCTTTGCAGCATTGGGGAGTGAGCCAGAAGATAAAGGATCTCTCTCCAAATGTTTCTCTCTCTTTTCTTGTAACTCTGTGTTTCAGATAAAAATAAGTAAATCTCTTGAACATTGAAATTTGTCTCTGGAAAAATACATATAAATAAACCATAATAAGAAAAATGGAATTGAAGAAAATGACATCAAGAAAACATTTCAATTTATGAATGATAATTCCATAGTATTGTTAGGGAAGAAGTCTTGTGATTTTCATTTTAGGCTTGCATTCGTTTTGTGTTTCTTGCCATCTCCAAAGATCAAGGCCGTGAGGGAGAACCAGTGTTGTGGCACAGCGTGTTAGAGTGTAGCCTGCGCCTTGGCTCTATTGGAGCATTGGTTCTCAGCAGGTTTGCTTCCACTCCAGCTCCCTGCTAATGTTCCTGGGAAGGCAGCAGAAGACAGCTCAAGTGCTTGGACCCCAGCCATCACACAGGCAACCCAAATGGAGTCCCAGGCTCCTTAACTAAGCCTGGCCCAGATCATTTGGGAAGTAAATCAAAGGATGGAAGATCTCTGTCCCATATATACATATATATTTAAAGGCCAAGTGGGGACAGGCATTTGGCACATGGTTAAGATGCCACTTGGGACACATATATCCTCAATCCGCATGCTGAAGTTCATGTCCTGGCTCTGCTTCTGTTCCAGCTTCCTGCTAACGCACACCCTCAGACGCAGTGGTGATGGCTCAGGCCCCTGCCACCCACACAGGAGACCCAGACTAAGTTCCAACTTCTCGGCTTTGCCCTGGCCCAGCCCTGGATATTGCAGGCATTTGGAATGAATAAACCAGAGAAAGGCTTTCTCTCTAATTTTCTGCCTTTCAAATAAAGTGAGGATAAGTAAAAACTTTTGTAGAAGACCAAATGGTATGATGTTCCTAGATAACAACTAAGTGGGAATTCTTTGCCTTTTCCCTCTAGACCAGGGAAAATTTTGAAATAAACAAGATAGCATTTTATGCATGAGGAAGAATATTGTACACGTAGTTGAGTTGCAATTCCCAGCAAAGGATTTTGACTAGCATCCTAAAAGTATCCCTTGATTATTAGGTTTGCTCAGGGATTCTGAAGTAGGTATTTTGGGGGGATAGGGGGAGGGAGTGCTGATTCAATCCCCAAATGGTTTCGTGACTAAAACTGGGCCCATCTGAAGACAGGAGCCAAGAGACTCCTCCAGGTCGCCCACTGGGTGCAGGGGCTCTCAACACTTGGGCCATCTTCTACTGCTTTCCCAGGCCATTAGCAAAGAGCTGGATGGGAAGCAGAGCAGTCAGAGGCAAACCGGTGACCATATGGGATGCTGGCATCACAGGCCTTGCTTAACCCACTACAGCACAGTGGCAGTCCCCATAGCTGCTCAGCTAAGGAATGAAAAGAACGCAAGCTTGGAAGAATAACAGAAATGCTGTCCGCTGTGAGCAGAGATGCACGTACGCTGTGAAGGAAAGAATTCTCAATAAAGGCAATGAACTCCACAGCAGGTTCTAACAACTGCTGTGTGCTACTTCTCTAGGCTCACCATAAAGTAGAAAACATCACAAGCAATAAAAATGATGTCCATCGAATCAGGCGATGTGTGAATGAAGATCATATGACTGGCGCAAAAGGAAAAATATATTTCCCGCGCTAAGAGGAAGCTGGAAAGCCCTAGATGTTTTTGAACGCTTTAGGAAGAGTTAAGGAAAATCATCATCTTAGATGCTCTCAAGAAGGATACTGGAGTGGAGGTGAAGAAAACTGGCGCTTGGGTCAAGGAGAAAGAAACAGGTGAGTGGCGTGAGCACACAGACACACAAAACACACCCATCTGAAGGGCTGAAGGGCAACTTACAAAGAAAAGGAACCAGGAAAATGGGGGTGGAGGGATTAAATGAAAAAGAATCACAGCTAAGGATAAGAACGAGTCTAATCCTGCCGCTTAAGTCGTCCCACCACAGCTGAAAAGGCTCGCCCGGACGAAAAGATTGATATAGGGACCAACAAAGCAAGCCATTGGCGTAGCCGGGCGTGCAAGCTGGAGCCGCCCGCCCTGGAGGAGCGCCTTTCCGGGAGCCTCCCCTGGGGAGCGCACTGGTCCTGCCGCCAGGGACCCGCCTGGCGCGCCCTGGGAGCTGGGCCTGTGTGGGGTTTGTAGCCCCTGGTAACGCACGGCGGGCCCTGAGTCTGCGCGTCTTGAACTGAAACCCCGCGGCGGAAGCGCCAGAGCGCGCCCCACCGTCCCCTCCGGCGTCCCGGGCGCAGACCTGCCGCGGCGAGGCCCGGGCAAGCAGAGCCAGCACCGCCGCCCGCAAGCGCTCAGCTCTCGGCAGGCAGTCACCGCATGCGCGGGTCGGCCTGGGGCGAAGCGCGCAGCCCGGAGCGCCCTCGGCAGCCCCGTTAGCTGCATCCTCCTCGGCCGAGCAGACCCGGCTACCACGCCCGGCTGACTGGTGAGTGGGCGCGAGTGGGCAGGCGAACCTGGCACCTGCGGGGCGGAACGAG